CAGTATTGGAGGTCCGTGGAGGACATTCTCCCCTGACACTTACACCGCATCCAGCCCTTCAAGCGCAGCTAAGCCCAGTGGCATTTGTTCCGCCGGGGGTGGGCTCATCCTCGGCCTCGTCCGCGGCTGGTGGGCGGTTTGGGCGAGCCTCCGGGCTCGCCCTCGGATTGCGCCCAAGGTTATCGGCCTCTCGGGGCCGATCGCCTTTCACCCACACCACAGGAGACGTCGACTGCTCTCAGAACGGCTTTGAACCGGACGACGACCCAAGAAGCGAGCACCGAGCGAAGCTCGGTGCGCCGTCTTGGGCTCGAGGGAGGAACTTTGAAACTCTGACGCGTGTCGCGCCTCTCTCCCTCAGAACCCACTAGCAGCTAGAGACAGCGAGTAGTAGCTTCAGCGCCCGCCCGCCCGCATCCTGTATACATTCGGTAGAGAATACATGCTAAAAACCGAGACATTCCTCCAGCAAGCCGGGGCAAGCCTCCGGGCTCGCCCTCGGATTGCGCCCAAGGTTATCGGCCTCTCGGGGCCGATCGCCTTTCACCCACACCACAGGAGAACGTCGACTGCTCTCAGAACGGCTTTGAACAGGACGACGACCCAAGACCTTGTATCAGCTGTATGTTAAGCTTTAGATATTCTGGTACGCGGGATGCCTTGCCAGAACAATGCCAGCGGACTGAGAGCCAAGATGCACTTATACCCTTCTGCATTGAATCTCTCTGGTCTTCGGTCGACCCGCAATCGCTGACCCTCGCTCACCGCTTCAACAGTAACGAGCTCGTGAACCACCTGTAAGTAGTACTTATATCATCCAAAAGGAGATGGTACCCTACGCAATGCTTTTCTCGGAGGATATTCAGGGACAGGTTAAAGGATAGGCAGATCCATACAGGACGAAGAGCTGAAGACGCCGAGTAGGAAGCAGAGAGAGCAGGTACGTTGAGAACGTAAACAATAAAGCCTTCTTAACCGTGTGAGAAAGAGTACACCCACCTCCCCTGGTTTCCAAACAGATCGTTGCTGCTGCTTCGAATTCGATTTGACGGACTGAGTGCCCATGCTGCGCCAGCGGAGACAGCAACCGAGCATATCTTACTGTGCGTTGTGTTCAACACACAGAACAGCACTATGTCTCTTCCACGTCCCAGACCAACACCAAATGGTCGTCCCCACCAGAGGCAACGTGCTTGCCATCGGGCGAAAATGCCACGGTACAGATTGCACATGGATGCCCTTCGGACGGTTGCCCCACCGGGTCCCCTGTCTCCGGGTCCCACACCCGGACAGTGCAGTCGCGTGAGCCGGACACGATCCGACGCCCGTCGGCGGAGACCGCGAGCGTGCTCACGGTGGCCGCGTGCCTTCTCAGCGGACCTAGCACTATCTCCCCCTTCATGTTCCACACTCGGATCGAGCCATCTCCAAATCCCGAGACAACGCGCTTACCGTCTGGCATGCACGCGTACACATGCACTGTCCCGTCACGACAGATCAGCGACGATCGGCCGTTTTTCTCATCCCACTCGTAGGTTCTGTCGTAGTGAGAGCCGGAAAGGACGCGTTTCCCGTAGCGAGACTTGCAGTACGCCACAAAGAAGACGAGGCAGAAGTGCCAACCTACGGCCATCCCGCTCCCTTTCCCGATCTCCCAGAGCCGCAACGTGCGGTCCTCTGATCCTGAGGCGTATTATCCGCCGTTGGGAGAGAAGGCCATGCAAAGCACATAGTCCTTGTGTCCCTGTAGTGGCGCGCCAAACTGTTTGCCTGTTTCTGCGTAGCATATGCAGATCGTGCGGTCGCTTGAGCCGGAGGCAAGACACTTCCCGTCCTGCGAGAACACGACCGACCTGACCCTGAGCGTATGCCCTCGAAGCGGCTCCAAGACCGATCGGCCCATGCTGGTGTCCCATAGTCTGATCGTGCCATCCATCGAGCCCGAGGCGATTCGTAGTCCATCCGGCAAATTCGCGAGGGCAACAACGGCTTCGGTGTGCCCGCGCAGTAACAGAGTCAACGGCGCCCCTGACCGTTGACATCAGCCACCGAAGTCGAGATGAGGATATGGCACAGACTCACGAATGTCGGAGGTTGTGACGACAACTTTAGTGACGACAATTTGATCGATCATGAGACGCCTCGGGGCCTCCGGCATCGACGGTCGCCAAGACGGATCAGCATCCCAGCAAACCTCCATCAACGCCCAAATGTGGTCAATCAAGGACGAGCCGCTGTGCGTATGCAGACTGCAGTGGCCTCGCGCCTTCATTCACCTTCAAAAGCACGGTGTAATCGAGGCGGATGTCGGGGAAGGGCACTCTTCCATCGAACATCTGCTAAGGGCATGAGCGCATGTGCCAGATCGGCGAGAGGGGGGATTCCGAATCACCTCCCAGCAGGTCATTGCAAACCCATAAACATCCGACATCGGGGTCAGAGTCTTGATCTCTGCCATAGAATCAGCCAACTCCGGTGCCATGTATCGCCACGTACCCCAATTGGTAGACGATCCCGAGAGCACTGCGATGGAGCCGGTCCCAATGACTGTCGTGGCCAACCCGAAGTCGCTGAGACAGGCGCAACCCACACTGTCCACGAGGATGTTGCGCTATGATGGCTGAACATATGCACTGCGGTTCGAAGATTGGCTGCTTACGCCTTTCAGATCGCCGTGTACCACGCCGTTCGAGTGCATATAGTCCAAACCGCTCGCGACGTCGATCATCTACAGCTCACGTCAGAACAGATGGCGTTGTAGTAGAATCATACGCACGGGCTGCCTGCGGTCGGCCCGGGGGAAATAGTCCAGATACGACATGATGTCTCCATGTTCCATCCATTCCGACACGATGAACAAGTGGTGCCGCGGGGACACGCTGAGGAAGGGCACGATGTTCTCGTGAACGAGACGCTTCCAGAAGACGGCCTCCTTGCAGAAAGCCTAGCCAAACCGCAGGTTACTCAGGATTGGACGTTACCCTCTTGTACTTTGCCCGATCCTGCGCATGCAAACGCACAATCTTCAAAATCTTCGAAGCCACCGGAACTCCGTTGTGCATGCCTCTCCATACATCCGCAAAGCCGCCGGAAGAGCAGGGCTCTTCATCGTCTGATTTGACCAGACCCGACAACGCGTACGAAGTAGGCAGCAACCCCGTTTCTCCGCACAGCCGGCTTAGCTCGTGCAACGACGAACGGTAGCCCCGATCGTTCTGCTTGATGGAATCGAGGTGCTGTAGCATTGCGAACATCAGTCGCTGGCAGCTCGCAAGGGCGGCGGCTCGAGACTCGCCTGGTCCAAAGAATCTACTATGTGCGCCTGCAACGTCGAACTCTTGTGTGCATCCTCCATCGACAAGTGCTGTTACCCGAACGCAACAGCGTACGTAGTAGAGGTATATTGACACATCAAATTTGGAGATCGTCAAAACCTCGAAGGCAGGAACCGCAGCGGTGATGGAGAAGTGGCTGCAGTACATAGCATTTCCGACTCCCCCGGAGCTTGCGGAGGTTGGAGTTGGTTAACAGGTGGGATTTGGCGAGCTCCTGGAAGATTGTGACTCTCTGTGACCACACTGTGACTGCCGCCAAAACGTGATTGAATCGTGATTCGAGCGTGATGTTTCGTAACATGTGGCGATGTCCAAACTCTGCCCCCGTTTATCACCGCTGTCACGGACTCCCGCCCTATTTTGGATTATCGTACCTATTCAAGAAGAATATGTCGGAAACGTCGGCCGATCATTGGGTCAGTCAGGGTTTTCCATTCGGGGTGTTAAAGGAATAGGCCTGTCTTTTGAATTCAACCGCTTCATGGCTTTGCTCGGTAAGATGTACGATTCAGGAAACAAAAATCACCGTGAGCGATTCTCATGGTCTCCATTCAATGCTAATGCCTCCGGGACAGTCACTCTTCCAATCTACACCGGACTTCAAGCTGTCATCGCTCATGTCCTTCGAGGGCAACCTGAAGGAGACTATCTCTATGGTTGAGTTTACGACGAATATGTGGATCAAGCAGAACGGTTCTTCTCAGATTTCGCTCAACATCATATTGGTGACTGGGTGACTATCCGTAAGGATCTGTAAGGCCGAATAGAATAGATTTTGCTTACAAATCCACTAAGCGAGCCATGCCGATTATTCGGCATTGTCGAGCCAATTTGTCGGAATACAGGGGACGTCGTACAGACCTTTAATCTGGAGAGGGGGGTCGACCCCCCCTTCCAGACCAGAATGCCCGTTTACAGACTTGAATTTGTCATGCACGTGACTTTCCCGCCCTCTCATTCGCTGTTCGGCTCTTCTCAACGGACCTCCGCGGTTTATATGCCTGTTTCCACCCCACGCTTGCAGTGCCGTACGGGAGCATAAAATTACAGCATATCCTACAGGTCGGGGTTTGAAGTGTTTATTCTGTGTTTCTGTCGCTCCAGATCTTACGGATAGTCATCCACTGTTCTTGTTACTTGATATATCACTACCAGTGCACTGTAATTGCCGTGATGTGATAATACGTTAAATGCCTTAGTTGCACCCATCCGCACGTCTACAACCGGAAATGAATCCTAGAAACTTCCCTGACCAAAACCGCCGTGACTCCACGATGGACGGCGGCCATACAATGATACGCTACCGAAGTATCTGACCGGCTGAGATCCGACACCGGTCCATCTCCCATTTTTTGTAGTGGATGAGGGTCGGTTCCGCTCCTGTAATACACCCATGAATGCTCTTTTTGCGGGCACCCGGTAGCCGCCTACCTGTAGTATAGATCGGAGAGTATTCCTCTCGAGCCTGGTCAAATGGTCAAATGGGGAGTCGGACCGGCGCGCTCATGGCGCGCCATACCCCCACGTATGTGATCTTCAAACGTTCCCATTGTGGGCGATGAGCACCACGTCCAATCATGGCACTTCAGAGGAATCGCAAGGACAATCCGTGGATTTGAAGCAAAGGCACGTATGAACTCTGTGTTTAATAAACGTATCTACCATTGACGGATCTCAATAGACGGAGGGACATCCGACAAGGCGTATCGACCGACCTCCGCCAACACGAGCAGTGCTCGCTTGAGAGCCTGTTGACGTCCATGGTTCATCCTTCTGATCTCGCAACAGGTCACCCCCTGCTGTGCAAGGGTGACTCTCATACGATCGAACACGGGGACACCAGTCTAAACAACCTAACGGTGGATCCCCATACTCTCGGCGGCGTCCTTCCGGACTTTGACCTCCCTCGGATCAGCGACAAAAATGAGGAATCTGTACCGCAGGGTACGGGGAGGACGGGGACGGTCCCTTTCATGGCACTGGATCTACTCTGCGAGGAGTACTGGGAAGGGAAAATCGAGCGTGTTTACCGTCATGACTTGGAGTCATTCGCGTGGGTCATCATATACCTCGGCTATACCAACGACGAGACGCTCAAACCGCTACCGGTGGTCGACTGGTACACGTCTGATTACGAGGAGTGCCGCCGCAGGAAGCGTGATTTCTTGTTCAGATCAATGCGGACGGTGACAGACTCCGCGCACATTGTGTACGGGTCGCAACAGCCGTGGCTTTTGGCGATGGAGCTCATGGACTGGGTCATTGCCGTGGAAATCAAGAGGACGCGAGACCAACTGATGCAACTTAGGAGCACAATGGCAATAGCTGACGATTCCCGGGAGGATATGGAGGCGGACGGAGCGCGAGAACGCACGGAGTTGTTGAACGTATTTGCAAAGCACTTCATGGAACACCTGGACCTGCGATCGGGGCAAGCTTTCAATGAGTGGCTCAAGTTACCTGCCGACGACGCCTGCCGGGCGGTTACACCAGGATCGGCCGACTGAGCAGCGGGAGGTCAAGAAAAAGGAGGAAGAAGAAGGAGCCGACGTAGACCGCACGCACACATCAACCGATATAGTAGAGAAATGAAACCCTATCTCCTTCTGCCTAGCTTCAGAGCAATCTCGGGGAGTCCATGTACGATAGACATACTCAATACTAGTGACTAGCAACACTACACTAAGGGCCAGGCAAAGGAGCCATGATCGCAGGACGAGATGGACGGACAAGGCTTGGGATCTTACTGTACTTTTACGATCGTGAGTTCAATCGATCGATCGATCTCGTGGTCAAACGCTACCTGGTCGAGCCCAATATACTAGCAGCATGCACGCATGAGCACCACGGTCCGTATGGTCCCCAAATATTGACTACGTACTGGAGTGGTGCTAGGACTCGGGCACAACCACTCCGAAGCAAATACCGTACGACGATGATCGCGGCAACACGAAATACGGTTCCTCGGCAGTAATCATACATCTCACGAAGACGAGCCGCGAAGGCAAAATCGGGGTACAACTAAACAACATCTTCAACGCGGCGCAGTCCCTCCCTCCCCTCCTTCCCCTCCTCCCCTTTCTCCCCCCTTTGAATTCGCTCAAGAAAAAACGACGGCCGTTTCAGACGCCGAACGCGACGGTCTGGGCGCCGTAGATCGCGGAGAGCACGCGCGCCTTCTCGCGCCCGTCCTCGTCGCCCGCGCCGGCGGCGACGTACAGCGGCACGAAGTGTTCCTCGCGCGGGTGCGCGCCGCGGAAGCCCGGGTGCTTCGGCAGGTCGAGCAGCGCGCGCTTGCGTGTCGCGGGCTAAAAAAAAACCAAAAAAAAAACACGTTGTTCATTCTCGGTTCAGCGGGGTATTAACATGGGTGGTGAGAGGGAGGAGGAGGAGGAGGAGGAGGAGGAAGGGAGGGGGGGAGGATCCACTCACGTCTTCGGTGGCTATGGCGGCGGTGACGGCGTCGTTGAAGGCCTTGACGGACGAGGATGCCGTGGCCGGGGAGAAGGAGGAGAAGTCGCGGAGGTTGTGGACCGTCAGTCCGCCGGAGAGGACGAGCACGCCCTCCTCCCTGTTGTTTTTTTTTCGCACCATCGCACTCGTCAGCGGTCCATTTCGTTCGACGAAGAGCAGAAGAGGAGGAGGAGGAGCGGCGCGTACCTGAGCTGGCGGACGGCTTTGCCGACGGCCCAGTTCTTCTCCGGCGAGAGGGTGGAGTCGATCGAGACCTGGACGACGGGGACGCTGTCCGGGAGCGACTCGCCGAACATGAGCCGGAAGGGGACGAAGACGCCGTGGTCGAGTCCGGGGCCGTTGAACCCGCGCCCGTCGTGCCCCCGCGACTCGAGCTTGCTCGTCGTCCGCGCCAGCTGGCCCGCCTTATTTACGCACGTACGCAAACAACAATAATAATAAAAAAAGCGGAAGTGAGTGCGAGTAGAAAAACGAGGTGGGAAACAAAATGGGAGAGGCGAACCTCTTTGTAGAGCTCGACGATGCGCTTCGCGAGGGCGGCGTCGCCGCGCGATTTGAATTTGAGCTCGTACAGCTCGGGCTGGAAGCCGTAGTAGTCGTATAGCAGCGGGTTCTCGTCCCCGTAGTCGGTCACTAAGCGCGGACAAGGGGAAGGGGGGGGGGGCGCCGCCATTCTCAGCGCGTCGTTCTCGTCGTTGCATAGATTATAAGGACGTACCGACGCGCTCGCCGGCGGTCTCCCAGTGCGCGCTGAACACGACGATCGCGCGGGGGTTGTACTTCTTGAGCAGCGCCGGACCAAAGTCGCGCAGGAAGGCCGCGAGCGGGCCGGCGGGCCCCATGGCGTCCATGACGGCGTCCCCGCCGCCGCGCGCCCCGAACTGGCGCGGGTCCGGGCGCATCGCGAGCATCGGCGAGCCGTGGCCGAAGAAGAAGGCGGGGATCTTGGGCGGGTTCGCGGGGAGCGCGTCGAGCGCGGCCTGCCATTCGGGCTGGGTGGTGGGCAGCTTCGCGGCGGTGGTGTTGGTGGTGGTGGTGGTGGACATGGTGCGCAGGAGGGGGAGGGTGAGGCGTTGGATGCGGGGGAACAGGATGGCGATGGAGAGCGCTAGGACGAGGGAGGCGGTGATGGTGCGCCAGGTGCTGTGCATGGAATGCTACCCATGGCTGAGGACGGAAGGTTATATAGCGCACGAGGAGGCGACGGTGCTGACGCGGGGCGCGTAAAGCGGATGACGGCGGTTATCTAATCTCTCGCTTAATAAGGAAATGTCCTGGGAACGCGTTCGCAGGCGCATTACACCGTCGGCTCGGAGTCAAGCGCACTTACGCTCTCGTCCTCCTTTTCCTGAAAGCTTGCTCGCACACACCTGGTTGACTGACTCAGAGATTTGGTGCTTTGTACTACTCAGGGGCGGAGAAGCGGAGGTTGCTGACGACCGACAGCCATGGCGGCGCGGCCGAACGTCGGGGGATGGCTGAAGGGCACGACGGTGCGCAAGGGCGCAGGCGGGACCGCGAGCACGGCCTCGAGCTCGCGGTCGCATACGCCGAGCGTGCAGAACACCGGATCGACGGGCGTGTTCGCGGGCGGGGTGAAGGATCCGTCCGGGCGCACCGCCGAGTACTTCGTCAGTCTCGCACCTGCCGAGGCATAAAGCTCCGTCAAACTGACCGACCGCGAACCGACGCCAGGCGATGGACGACCAGTGTCCGGTCTGCAAGTCGGACCGCTACCTCAACCCGAAGCTGCGCCTGCTCGTCAGCTCGTGCTACCACAAAATGTGTGTCGTACGTTTCACGTTGTCGCCGACCTCACCGCGTACTGACCGAGAGCGCGCGATCGACCAGGTGTGAATCGTGCATCGACCGGCTGTTCACGCTCGGCCCTGCGCCGTGCCCGATCTGCAACAAGGTCTTGCGCAAGCTCGCGTTCATGCCGCAAACGTTCGAAGACCTCGGCGTCGAGAAGGAGGTCGCCATCCGGCGGCGCATCGCAAAAGAGTGCGCGCGCGCGACTACTCGTCCTCATCCCTCCGCCCTGCTCACGTCCCTTCGTGCAGGTTCAACAAGCGCCGCGAAGACTTCGACTCTCTCCGCGCCTACAACGACTACCTCGAAGAAGTCGAAGACATCAGTGCGTCACCCTCCCCCATCTTCCCCCCACCCCCCCTAACATCCCCTCACCCGATACCAAACAAACAAACAGCCTTCAACCTCATCAACGACATCGACCTCCCCGGCACCGAAGCGCGCATCGCCGCCTACCGCGCCGCCAACGCCGCCCTCACCGCCTCCAACGCCGCCCTCGAATCCGCCGCCGCCCAAGCCCTGCGCGAGTCCGAAGACCTCGCCCGGCAAGAACGCCTCCTCCGCGCCCGCGCGCTCGCCTCCGAAGACCAGTCGCTCAAAGCCGCGCGCGAGCGCGAGCGCACCTCGCTCATCGACACCCTCGCCGGCGCGCAGGACGCCGACGAGGCCGTCCGCGCCGTCGAAAAGCTCAAGCGCGCCCACGCCCTCCAACAGCAGCAACAACAACAACTCCAACTCCAACAGCAGAGCCAGAGCCGGAGCAGGCTGTTGGGACGGCGCGCGGCGGTGCCGGACGCGCCGCACGTCCCGCTGCAGGACGCGTATGACGCGTACGACGACCGGTACGCGCTCCTGCCCGCGTACGACGATCCGTGGAGCGAGCCCGTCCGGCGCGACCGCGACGGCGTCATGCGCGCGGGCGGGTACCGCGTCGAGGAAGCTTGGGAGCGCGCGGTGCGGAGCGCGGTCGCGGGCCTCGACGTGCTCCCGTTGAGCGGGCTCGCGGACGGGAAGGGGGCGGTGGTAGGGGTGGGGGTGGATAAAGGCGGGGACGTCGTGATGGCGTCTGCGTGAACAGCGTAGACTTCTAATAGTAAACTTCATTTTCTCGTGTATTATATACATCGTCGGAGTATACGATAGAGAGCAGGCATATATTATGTCCCTGATGAGAGGTAATATGTAAGGTAGTTTAGTGACGCCAATGTCAGAACTGGATGTTATGCCGTGTGTGGGACGATAGCGTCGATCAGCATCCGACCTCGCTGGTGATCACCCTCCGCGCCTTCCTCGCGCGCTCGTCCAGCGGGTCCGTCATCGGGAAGTACAGTACCTGATACTTGTTCTTCTTCCTACACACGCGCGCGCGTCAGCAACCGCGACAAACAGCAACGCAAAACATGACAACGACTCGCCTGAGGTCCTTCGCCCCGAACCGGAACATGTTCAGCACCTTCGCCGGCTCGAGCGCGTCCACCGCCGCCCTCCCGCCCGCGACGAGCCTCGCCCCGCTCGCGCCGCTTCCGACAAATTGCACCTCCTCCTCCTCCTCCTCCTCCACCACCTCCTCGATATCCTCGCCGTCGCTCGCGTCCACCACGATCGCGTCGTGCATGCCCGCGCCCGTCGACCCGCCGCCGGATCCGGCGGTCCGCGGTTTCTTCGCGCCCCGCAACGGGTGGAGCGCCATCTGCATCAGCTCGCCGATGTGCCGTCGCTTGCCGCCACCCTTGCTGCTCGACGGCGCCCCGGTCTGCGTCGTGCCGGTCGTCGTCGTCGGAGGAGGAGGAACGGCGCGCCCGGCTGCTGCTGCTGCCAGCGCGTCGCGCGGCGGGACGGATTCCAGGCCCGCCTGGCGGAGCTCCCTCTTCGGTTTCCTGCTCACGTGACAGCTCGAGCTCAGGGAACGAGGAGGAGAAAAAAGAGGTGTGCTGACCTCGACGGATCGAAGATGAGGAGGCGCACCTCGCCGCCGCGCGCGAGCTCGTACCCGACGACCGTGCGCGAATGGCCCGCGTGCTGGAGCACGAGCGGCATCCGGTCCGTGCACACGACCGGCGCCGCGCCCCGGAGGGCGTCCGCCACGTTCGCGGTTCCGTCGGTGTTTGCGGGCAGCGCCGGCGGGGTGAAGTAGGATTGGATCCAGTCGAGAAGCGCGGAGACGCCGCGCGGGGTGGTGGTCAGGTCAAAGTCGACGAGCTGGGCGCTAGAGCAAGGCGGTTGATAACGTCACTCCGCGGACGATAAAGAGCGGAGAGAGGACAGAGTACTTACGGAATGCCGCGGGAGATGAGGGCTACGTATAATTCTGTGCAGGGATGCGTCAGGATCAGGCGGGGTGAAGAGTGAGGGGCGGAGGTTACCAACCTGCCGTGCCGATCCATTTGCTGGTTCCTACGAGCTTGTGCTTGAGCTGGTCAGCACCGTCTGCGTCATATCCTGGTAAACCAGCTGATTTCAACAGCAGTTCGTGCGATGCGAGGAGCAAAAACAACGTACCTTGCTTCCATGCAGCCTCGATCCATGTTTGCAAGTTGCGAACCCCGGGAGAGGGTTCTGCGTCGATGATCGGCCAGTAAAGTTGTTGAAATGGTTGGTCCATGAGCGCCGCGCAGGCCATCAAGAAGTTCCGGTACCTGCATGTCGTTCGGTCTGCAGATCAGCTTACCGCCGCATATCGTGGAGCATATATGGAAGGGAAACGAAAGAAAGAGGGAGATAAAAAACCGAACGCACCCGCACCCCCATCCCATGTCCCAGTTCTCCGTCGCAACGTGCACCGCGCGCTCGTAGCACAGCACCGCGCGCTGTGTTTTGCCCTGCGCGTGGCTCTTCAGCAACGCGCGCTTCAGTACCGGGATGAGCCCCGGGGTGAAGTTAGGCGGCGGCGAGCGCGAGTGTGCGGGGTACCAGAACACGTTCTCCTTCGTGGGGTCATGCGGCCGAAGAAACGGAGGCATCACGCTCTTCGTCGTTATCGTCGGTGTATGACCAGGGGGTTTCGACCTAGAGTCGGAAGCGGGGGGTGAATTGGCGTGTGCCTTGCGTTTGCGGGGAGTAGAGCCCGCGCCGATGGGTTTGAATCCGCGCGCTGGGGGGGAAGAACGTGAGCCCGATGACCGAATGAGAGAGCATGGGCGGACGCACGCCGTTTTCGCTGCGACTCGTCACCAAAGTGTGTTTCGTAGTGCGCCTGCCGCTCGTGCAGCCGCTTCTTGCTCAAGTCTACAGAGCATATCTGGCATCTGTCGGGGTCATCGCCGTAGTTCACGCCGGTCTGCCTGGCGCAAAACGTCGAGTCGGATGGCAGGGGACGCATATATGCACACGAACGCACGGCGATTCCAGAATCTCGATGTCGTCGTCTACAGCGTACCCTCCGCCAATCCTCGAGGGATGAGCTGTTATCGAACTGCCGCTCGCCATACCACACGTTCTCTGGGATTAGAGGAGAGGGTAGAGTCGCCACCACCGATTGCAGTGGCGGACAGGATAAAGCAGTAGCCCCTATCCGGACCCTAAGTTAGGAGCACGTACGCGTTTCGAGAACGCGCGTCAGGCGTAGTGCCGGCGTGCACTCTCTCTGTTTCTCCCAGCTAAACGATGTCTAGGTCTTACGATCGCGGTACGTTTGCCATTGATTGAGTCGTCTGAGTGATATTCAACGACATCCAATAGCTCTTACCGTCTTCTCCCCCGACGGCCATCTCTTCCAGGTGCGTTACTGGACAAACGCAAGCGTAGATCCATGGACTGACGCATCCCATGCGATTAACGTAGGTCGAATATGCGCTCGAGGCAGTAAGAAGGGGAACATGTGCCGTGAGCATCTACTTCACTCTTCAGAATGAGAGATCCTCATGGCGACTCGCAGGTGGGCGTCCGGGGTAAAGACGTCGTCGTCCTGGGCATCGAGAAGAAGTCCGTCCTCCAGCTCCAAGACCCCCGCACCGTCCGGAAAGTCGTCATGCTGGACGATCATATCTGTCTCGCCTTTGCGGGTACGTGCCGCAGCTTATACGAAGTGATTCGAAGAAGAGATCGACTGCGAAATGTACAGGTCTGCATGCCGATGGACGCGTTCTGATCGACAAGGCACGGATAGAATGTCAGAGCCACCGGTTAACTGTTGAAGATCCCGTCTCCGTCGAGTACATTACCCGTCACATAGCCGGCATCCAACAGGCACGTCCCCGATTCTCCTACCATCGGTTTCGCTGCTAATATATCCCCGCAGCGCTACACCCAATCCGGTGGTGTCCGACCCTTCGGTATTTCGACCCTCATTGTTGGATTCGATCCGCACTCGTCTATCCCCCGCCTGTACCAGACCGAGCCGTCCGGGATCTACTCGGCTTGGAAGGCGAACGCGATCGGACGCTCGTCCAAGACCGTGCGTGAGTTCCTGGAGAAAAACCACAAGGATGACATGGGCCGGGACGAGGCGGTGAAGCTCACCGTCAAGAGCCTGCTGGAAGTCGTCCAGACCGGCGCGAAGAACATCGAGCTTGCGGTCATGGAGGGCTACGGCAAGATCACTGTGCGTCTCTCTCCTTCTCCGCCTCGTCCCTTCCTGCGCGTTCCACTGTGCTGATATGGTGCTCTGCGACACGTCAGACTCTCAAGCTTGAAGAAATCGAGGCGATCGTGAGCGAGATTGAGCGCGAGAAGGAAGCCGGTGCGTCCCTTTTCCACTTCCGTTTTGTCCGCGACTCATTGTTGTCGGTCTCGTCTTTCAGAGGCGGAGAGGAAACGCAATCGGCTGGCTGCGACGGCTGCGCGACAGGCGGCGATGGGCCAACGAGCAGAAGGATCTGGCACGGGGACGCCCACTGGCCAGTAGATGTTACCTATATCACTGCCCATTGTCGTCTCATCTCATGGATCAATGTTCGAATACCTGCTTGCTCTCGTGTGATGGTGGGAGATGTACCAAACTGGCGTCTTGTTCGGTCATGAGGTATCCTATTCATACAGACATGCTACTGAGCACAGTATATTTTATCGATCCAGAACCGACGCGTGAGCAGACGTGCAGAGAAAACGATCAGCAAGACCTCACGGCCCCGCGGCTGGCACTTCGGCACTTTGGACCTCAATCAGGTGCGGAGTAGCTGGATCGGCAGGGGCGGTGGAGATGGAGGCGGCGGTGGGAAGAGCTCGTCAATCATGCCCGGCAAGGACCTATCGACACGCTCCTGCGTGACAGAAGGCCCGCCGACGCTCATTCTTCGCGTCCTCCAGCATCCGCGGTGCGAGCACATCCGCTGCGTGCATCACGAGCTGGACATTCTTCGATGTTTCCGGGATGGCCTCGTGCTACAATATGTTGAGCGTCAGCGTGCCTATGACGGTCGCAGATTAAAGAGATACGTTCACCAGTCGATCCACGTTCATCTTCCGGTCGAGCAGGTCCAAAATGTGGATCCATATCCGCTTCAAATCCGCCGTCGGCGCGAGCCCGGGTGGACGTGATCGCCAGGGGGTGGTTCGTAGCAGGGAGGAAATTCGGGGAGGAAATTCGGGTAGCACGAGATGGTGCGGCTTTAAACACGCGTAGAGAGGTGAGCGGACATGATGGTATTATTTGGCGCAGGGGTACTCTTTCTGGAAGAAGGGATAGAGGCGCTTGTTTGGGCGGGGTTCTCCGCTTGCGCTTGCGGTCAGCGGGCTTCGATTTCGGGGAAGGCGTCTGGCAGAAGTCCAGTCATCTGCGTCGAAATCGTTTCTCGATTTCGATAACTCTCACGTCCCATCCTGCCAGCTCTAAACTCTCCGAGCCGTCCGATATTACGAATTCTCATTGAAACGCGGTGGTGAACGGTATACGTCGACTACGTCGGAGTGTAACCGTGCGCGAAAGGAAAGTAGTCCCCTCTGCTTCCCTACTTCTTCATGCCCCGTAGCTGCTTAGCTTCTCGATCCTGGTGGAACCGCCTGCAGGCGTCGTCGGCAGGTAACTTGAGCCACTCATTGAAAGCTTGCTCCGACCGCAGGTCCAGGTGTTCCATGAAGTGCTTTGCGAATACGTTCAACAACTCCGTGCATTCTCGCGCTCCGTCCGCCTCCATATCCTCCCGGGAATTGTCAGCTATTGTCGTTGTGCTCCCAAGTTGCATCGCTTGGTCTAGCGTCATACCGGCTTCCACGGCGATGACCCAGCCCACGAGCACCCTCGCCAAACGCCACGGTTGCGGTCCGTAAACCATATGCGCGGAGTCTTTGTAAGGGTTAGGGTTAAAACCCTTACAGATCCAAAATACCGAGTAACCAAGATGACCAAGATGGGCCTGGTCCCCCCTGAGGTTGAGGTTTAGGTTGAGGATAAGAGTAATGTAACGTGAAGGTTAACCGGGACACTCTAGTCGAGTGGCTAGGTTGGTGCGAGTCCAGCCTGTTCCAGTTTTCATCCGAACGTTACAGTCTTTCACCATCTTCCTCGATCTGAACAAGAAACTATGCTTCCCGCGGCGGCAATCCTCGTAATCAGACGTGTACCAGTCGACCACCGGTAGCGGTTCGAGTGTCTCGTCGTTGGTATAGCCGAGGTACATGATGACCCAAGCGAATGACTCCACGTCGTGACGGTAAAGACGCTCGATCTTCCCTTCCCAATATTCGTCGCAGAGTAGATCCAGTGCCATGAAAGGCACCGTCCCTGTCCTCTCCGTGCCCTGCGGTGCAGAATCCACGTTCTTGTCGCGGATCCGAGAAAGGTCAAAGTCCCGAAGAACACCGCCGAGAGTATTCGGATCCACGGCTAGGTTGTTGAGACTGATGTCCCCGTGTTCGATCGCAAGAGAGGAGTCGCCCTTCTGCAGAGGATCCTGAGCATCCATGTCACGGTGGGTCGTGAGGTCGTTGGACGGGTTTTACTGGCGGCAGCGGGATCGGCGTGGCTTTCGATACGACAGGAAGCTAGGGTTTCGAGTTGAGAGTTGCCACGTGCGCGTTACAGGTAGGAGACACGCATTTTGGTAGACACATCACGGTGCAATCGTCTTGAATTGTGTACCGTACTGTGCACCGTGTTTCGAAACTGTTCTCATACAACATAAGAGTAGAGTTGCATAAATGCTGCATCGATTTTTTCCGGTCGTCAGCAACCCATTTGAGGATTGTCTGACGTTGTTATTACTGAAGTATGATCTCTTCGCAGATTTCGAATCGATACGAAGCAACAAAAGTCCTCAAAAAACGCCAGTACATCATGATGTTAACTATATCACTGCTCATTGTCGTCTTATCTCATGGTTCAATGTTCGTATACTCTCGTGTGATCGTGGGGCGTCCGGTTCGGTCATGAGGTTTCCCATTCATACAGATTACATGCAACTGAGCACAGTATATTTTATTGAATCAGAACCACCGTGTGAGCAGACGTGCAGAGAAAACGATCAGCAAGATCTCATGGTCCCGCGGCTGGCACCTCGGCACTTCGGAACTCGGCCGGGTGCGGGGTAGCTGGATCGGCAGTGGCAGGCTCTTGGGGTGGAGGCGGCGGTGGGAAGAGCTCGTCGATCATGCCCGGCAGGAACCGATCGACACGCTCCTGCGTTACCTCCCAGAAGGCCCGCTGACGCTCATCCCTCGTGTCCTCCAGCGTCGGCGGTGCGAGCACACCCGCTGCGTGCATTACGAGCAGGACATTCTTCAATGTTTCCGGTACCGCCTCGTGCTACAACACGTCGAGCGTCAGCGTCCCCATGACGGTCACAGATAAGAGAGGTATTCACCAGCTGATCCTTTTTGTCCACGTTCATCATCCGGTCTAACAAGTCTAGTATTTGGATCCATATCCGCTTCACATCCGCCGTCGGTTTGCCGTCGCGTACCTCGAACTGCATGAACGCCTTGCACAAAAGATTGCTCACGCGCAGCCGCGTCTCCGGCATGCCTTGTGGATCTGCACGGAGCGTGTCCGGGTCCAGCAGGCGCTCGAGCAGCGGGAACACAACCGCGTCGAACACTTGCTCGACCTGCTCTCCCTGAGCGAGTCCGAGCTGCGGGCCGAGCAGTAGCCGCTGTAGCTGCGCTAGCGCCGCCTGCCGGATCTCGCGCGCGGGGTTCGCGCCTTGGCGCGCCAGGCAGGCGAGGAGAGGGAGGGCGAGTGTCGGCCAAACTGTTCCAGCGGGAGTTGAGTGCGTAAGCACGCTACCAGCACCCGGATCCGAAGGGGGTATTGCAAGAGTGGCGTACCTTGGTCAGTGGCCAGGCCGGCTTGCGCGAGCGATGAAATAGCCTTCTTCAGTTCGACCAGCTGGTCGATGGCCTTAAGTCCTCGTTCCATTATTGGTGAGCTGCGATTTTCAGTGTCAGAAGTACATCGTTGCGAGGGCGGTGATGTCACGCGCACTCTGCGGACGTTAGTGGCGTGTGCCGACCGCCTTGTCTTTGGTGGTCCAATGTGACCATGCCCGCCCTGTTAGCAAAGTCTTCCAGCGCCGTTACCTGAAGCTTCCTGTCAGCGACGGGCATAAGCACATTCGCCGAAAGACACTCGCCAGTCCCTCGAGGTTGTCCTGGGTGACCATGTCGTCAGAGACGAGCTTGGTCAGGAAGTCGAATCCCAAGCGAGAGGCTTCCATGTTGGTCATCATAGAGCGGAGTAGGGCGAACGCGATATTCCACTCGGTATGCGATCTACGAACGTGTAAGATCGAATACGCGAGCGCAGTAGCAGACGGCCCGATTACCGAATGATCGTGGGGTGCTCCTTGATGATCAGCGACAGCCCAATGATTCCCTGTTCGGCGACCGCGCTTGTGATTGTCCGCGGCAGTCGAGCAAGTAAGTCAAACGAGACGTATATTTGGTCGCGTAAGGAAGGCTGTATAACGGCATCAGCATTCGTACAATCACCGAATACAAAGCGTGTTGACCTTGGCTGCGAGCAGTCGACACATGCGCAGCAGGCCAAGAACCGCGCGTTCGATCAGTAAGATGCTGTACTGTGTCGGATTGGACAACAGGAGCGTTATGTGCTCGACAATGATCGACCTGTTCAGAAGTCAGCGGGTGCAACGGAGCAAGGCAAAACGGAAATACCATGTTTCCTCGATGTGCTGCGGCGTTTGAGATGCGATGCTGACCATCGTCTCGAGCAGGAACACCGAAGCAGGATCATAGGGCAGCACGTGCTGCCATCCATCAAGCGCGGGTGAGACGGAGCCGACTTCGTCCGACTCTTGCTTCAAGCGGGCAACGGTCCGTTCGTGGGCTAACGCCTCGAGCGCTTTCAAGGCCGCTACAAGGGCGTCCACGTTTAATTGTCTGAAGGCGGCGGTCAGTCATGGTCATTACGCTGACACCAAGGAACTGACGTGATCTGTCCGTAAAGCTCGTCCAACCTGCATGCCGCGATGCAGTCGATCGTGGAAAGCGTGTTCTCGATGTCGGTCTCGCTGGCCTCCGGAACGAGATCCTCCGAACTGGCACCATAAGGTGTCATCAGATACGACGATAACGCCGAAAGCAAGCCACCCTCATTCCTAGGTGCGGGGCGCGCAGGTTGACTGCCTCGGAGGGGTATCATGGTGGTTCCGCCAAGGAAGTCCTCCATGTGGAGCATGCGTTTGGGTAGCAGCGTATGCAAGAACAGGGTCTGGAACATCTCGAAGATCTGCGTAGCAACCTTGAGCGAAAATGGATTTGGTTGTTCGCCGGTATACTCACCTGAGTCCAACCTTCCCTTAAGGCATTGCCGTTGCCGTTGACTATGTTGAACAAGACAACCGCAGCAAGTTGTGCCTTGACGTTCGTGCCGAACTCAACAGACAACGAGGACACGGTGACCTGTTGCCCGTCTACATCGACCACCGCGTAGTTCGGTAGCTTCGCCGGTACCCCGTCCGATACGAGGTTCGTCGCTGGGGAAAGTGAGACGACAATGTAATCGAACACGTCGGGCATTTGGAAATGTCCGGCGAGCGTGGCGCACTGCCTGAATCCCGATATCGCACGTTCGATGACATAGTCATCGTCGAAAGTGATGAAGGCATGCGCGATGGCGGAGATGACCGGGGTCCAGACCGCCTTGAACATGTCGGCATCGAACTGTGAAGTATTGCACATCATGAGGTCACCTAGATAGGGCATGTCTGTCAAATTGATCCTTGGTGTCAACGGCGGCTCGCATACCAGCTTGTCGAGAGCGTGTGAGGAGCTCCTTCCACGCGTACTCGAAACCGAGCTGCCCAGTGTGTTCCTCTGGCATGACAATTTCCCTCTTGCGGATAGAGTTATAGATGTCATGCTACACACGTTGTCAGTGAACCGCCGAGACCGCATCGTCAGAGGAGGACATTACCAGGAACTCGTCAGAGAAGTTGGCGCCGTCGTTGACGCCGCGCAAGTTACGCTGGTAATCCTCAAATGACATGCGTTTCTGCACAGCCATAGTAAGAGAGCATTTTGATCAGAGGGAAGGTCGGATGCTTACCCGGATTTGCGGGTTATGGAGGTCAGTATTCAGCATGATCACCGAGTACGACAAGACATAGACCGCATCCTGGTTTTTTATCTCAGCTGAGAGTATGTATGAGTGACGAGGTCATAAATGCAAGCGAAGCAAGCTTACCCGGACCCGAAGCAAAGTATATCTCAGCGAACGTCTCGGTGATACGGGATATTTGTTGTGATTCTCCGGGGAGCCGAAAGGTCTCCAACATTTCCCTCAAGGCTTCCGCAATCGGTTTCTGAGCATTATGCATCAGCAACGCCTACCGTTATCCAGCACCAGGGTCACGTACACCCTTAAAGTCAAAAAGGCCGATAAATGCTTTGAGGATCTCGATGTTGTCCGGTTTCGAGATGAAGTCGCCCAACAACCGTTTGTCTATCCTAGTACAGCTCTTGAGAAACCTGGCCAAGCTCTGCGCCTTAGTCACGTCCGGCCCGAGGTCGGCATAAATGAGGCCATTTTCTTCCAGGAACGCGAGACCGGCTTTCGGCTTTTGGTTGAATCGTGCAGCACCCGCCATAACTAGGTTCTTGCGCGACTTGTTCCCCTTGAGTTCTTCCGGTGTGGGCCAGTTCTATTCGGCGATGAGCACCCCGTCACAAATAGTATATATCCGCTCGACAGACCGATGGCCATGGTTCCGCTGTCTGTATTGTTACGGTGTCGGTCAACTGCACGCATGCAAAGAATTGTAAGACGAACCGTATGTGCGCGTACGGTCATATGATTTACGAACGCAAGTAGCACTTCGAGGCAGATGAACTGAGCATTGCGCTGGAAAGGCTCCTGCGGTCCTGAATAAGGCGATGGATAGACACCCTGAGATCGGCGTATCGTCAGCCTCACAGCGAATTAATTACAGCTCCGCGGATCACCTTGACGAGGAAGTCGATCAATCTTGAGAACAAGTTCTCGCAGTTGATGTCGCAGTCATAATTGGTATACAGGTCCACCATAAGACTCGGCTGGCGGGCAATTTGGCTCAGCGTCTCCAGCATCAGCTCGCGCGTCTCGCCTCGAGCAGGGGCGACAGCGGGCCTGGCCGGGACGGAGCCGGCATCTTCTACACCGTCTGAAGGCTGGGCAACCTGTGGAGTTCCCGGCCGGGACGGGACCCTGGAAACGGCGTTAGCGCTGTTCGCGCGAGTCGGTTTGAAGCCTGGCGGTATAGGCGGCGCGAGGCGATCGATGGTGAAGGCTAGGAAGAGCTCCTGCTGAAGCTTCAATTTCGTGGGCATGGTTTGGAACATGACGCTGATGGTCCGGAGGGCAAAGTGGAGCACGGTTGTGTTATCGGACCGGGCGAGTTGGAAGAGGTATTTGCACCCGTGGTCTACGACGAGCGCTGAGAGGGAGGGGAATTGACCAATCTGCGTCCCTGAGGTCTCGAAGGCTTCATTGAGGATGCGCAGCGAGACGAGACGAGTGGAGTCCGTATGCAGCTTGTCATTGGGATCGAGGATGTTGACAAGCACGCGCATGAGCTCGACAATGGCGGGTAGCCCATCTGGAATAATGGTTTAACTAGCAGATTCTGTCAGGAGTACCAACGAACACTCACATTCGGGCGTCTGTTGATATGGCGCATCGACCTGCAACTCCGGCGTAGGAGCAGCACTGGCGGAAGAAGCATCGGCGGGTACGTCTGAATGAGCCTCGGACCCTCCGTCTCCCGATGGCCGCACGTCTGTCTGGACCGTCATCTTGACTTGTTGCAATTTCTCCTCCTCGATCTCCGGATCTAGCTCCTGTAACCGTCCAAAGAGCTTGCGCACGATGTTGTGTATGGTGAGTTCCGCGGACCTCCGCAGGATCTCTGTATGCATACGTGAGACCTATTGGTGCGCAGAGTTGACGTTCGAACCATACCGCTAAGCCGCATCTGGCAGCAGGTAGTCAACACGGTCTCAAGCATCTCGCACACCTCGACATCTCCTAGTCGCCGCCCGACATTGCCACACATGCAATCTTCGATGACAGACATGATCTTGAGCAGCACGGCCTCGTCTCCCGAAGAATCGCTTGCCTCGAACTTGCAATTCGAGACGGTATTGCTCATCTCCGCGAGCGCCGGCTCTAACCCCGGGGCCTCCGGACGTATGAGCTCGCATTGGAAGAACGCGTGGACAGAAGAAAGTGCAGCAGAAGTGATAGGTCCCGTTGAGAGAGGCGAGCGAATGATGGCCAGGAAGGGAGCGAGTACGGTCGTTAGCGGGAGCGCTAGGACATCTGTCGACGCGTATACGCAGTCAAGATATCTTCTGGTTTCCTAAGGTCACAGTCACTCACCATCTGCGTCTTGTACAGTCCTCTTGAGAACCTGGAAGCCAGACATCAGGTCCCTCTCGCGACCTCCCCTCCCGCTGGGCTGGATGGGATGCGAAGGTCCGGCTATCCGCAGCCCCAAGCTACTCGCGAGGGCGGAGTCGTATCCACTTAGCGTCACGGTAGTGTTGGCCCATCTGGAGTTCCTCCGCATCACCGTAGTGACGGAGACGATCTCAGCACATATTATGTGCCGGTAGGATACACTGCCCATGGCCAAGTCCTAAATGGCGGATTTCTCTCCCAAGCAAGTACACTGGCGCAATTTGAGAGAAGCAACGACCAGCCGAGCAGTTTATGAGCGAGGACACGCGACAGACGCGTCCAATATATAGACGAACACAGGGACGACCAAAGTTTACCAGACACGTAGTGCAGCGATCGGAGGTACAAGTAGCCCAGACTCTTTCATTGAAAGTACCACGTGAGTCAATGACATTCCGAATCGGCATAACCCCCAAGGCAACTTCATACAGCGATAGCAACAGTAACTTTGATAGTATCCGTTGAGGGAAGCAGTCGAGAGAGTAGGCGTATACATCCAAGCAAGAAGTCACTAATATCACCACCGCAGCCATGATCAATCCCCAGTCCCGCGAGATGTTCAGAAGAATTTCATCTTGGATGTCCTGATATACTAGTGAGGAAGAGCTCCAGAGATGTACGGGGGGATATGCATACCTGACTCTGCCGTATATGCCTACAAGTAGGGCAACAGGGGCAACGGTATAGGCAAGGAAGCGCACAATCCATGTGGTGTGTGCGACGACCCAAGTCGCCCATTCACCCGCGAGGTAGACGGTAAATAACATCAACGGATAGATGACGTATCCGAGAAGGCGATGATCTGTAATTCATCCAACGGTGTCTGCATGAGCTATTGACATTCATGGCATATAAGGCCCTTGGACTAACATTTCCAAACAGATTTTGCTTTCATGCCTCCTCCGAAGGCAGCGCCGCCGAACCACACGCTTGCTAATCTCGTCATTAGCTTTCGCTGCGAAAAATGAAGTTTATATGAGGCCGGCGCTTACCTCCTCCGATGAGAACCTGAGCTACCAGTAATACGGTGGTGATGATACCGAACGTTCCATGCCAGGTGGTGAAATGTGCGGCACCATGAGTGATCTAAACCAGCATGAATGATGAGAGCAGGATACGGATGGTGCATGGGGACGATACCTTATTATAGATCATAAACCAGGTTCCCATTACGACTGCCGCAATTCCGACCAGCTGAATGACTTGGTGCCTCGCAAGACCCGCGGCCTTCGTCTTGGGCTGGGAAGTCGGCTGCAGGGTCAGGATACCTACAAGACGACTGCAACTTAGTGCAAAACTTAATTTAAACGTGCGGCCGTACCCAGCGTAAAGGCTGCCAGAGCAAACGTCTGTAAAGGCGGGTGCAGGGCAAACCAGCCCACAGAACTCGGGTCGTTGAAGATAACGAGCAACCAGGTCGTCACTGTCAGCCCCTGCGCAATAGCGGCGTATCAGCGACCCAGGTACTTATGTTCGTGAATGCTCTCCGAAAGAACCCACAATAACCGAGATCTATCCGTATTGCTAGTCAGTACCTCGCTTCCACTCCGAATCAACGAGTCTACACACTAGAGCGACCGTCCTCCACAGTCCATCTCCCGCCCGTCCCTCCGGCTTGACGGTCTGTTCTTCTCGTCCCATCAGCGGTTCCCCAGCTTCGTTCTCCGCAGGAATAGGTTGGTAGTCGTTGTCGACAGCGACCTGAGCGGACATGATAGTCGGGATCGACGTCGCGACGTCCGCTTTATAAGACGGTGCGGCCGCGCCTGAGAACGTGAATCAAGCCTGGTCCTGCGCGCGTACGTGGACAAGCAGGGGCGGCATATCAGCTTGAGAACCGGCGAGCAGCTCCGAGAGAACCGCGGGTACGGATCGCGCGCACGGCGGGCTGGAATCTCGATGACGTCGCCACGTGGACCGGCGGGCCAATGCGGTGAGCCCGATATGTCGACATCGTTCTTTGGAGGTGTTCAAGGATGAAGGCAACAGCATTTTATTTTATTAACGACAGTGACGATTAGGTGTAGATGATTAAAGCTAGTACGGAAAACTTTACCGATTTCTGCGGGTCCCGAGAGAGAGATACACAAGCAAGAAACAAAACGGCAACAATAACTCAGGAAGAGAAAGAAGAAGAAAACAAAGTTACTGTATTAGATGAGAGATTCCCGTGGTTCTGGCGTTCGCTCGTTATCATTGCTGGGGGACGTTCGGCCAGACGTGGTCCGCCTTCCACTTGTCGATCATGTCGCTCAGTTCTGGAGGTCCCATGTGCGGGTGCTTGACGGTGTAGCCGACGACTTTCTTGAACTTGGCGTTGCTATACGCCACGACGTGCTTCTGGAGGTCGTCCGTGCTCATGTATCCCGTGAGCGGGGTATTCGTGATGGGCGGATCCGACTTCTGGATCATCTCCGTCCACCCGCCGACATGATGTTCGTTGATCTCCTCGACGACGTCTTCGAGGCGGAACTGGGGCACGTCGCGTCAAAGGAAGGGACTGCATGCTGTATATGGGACAGACTCACTTTCGCCATGGTGTTCATCACGAAGTTGTAGAAGTCGAAGGTGGTGCCGAAGAACGCCGTGGCCGTCTGACCTGCCTTGAGGAGAGTCGTTTCATTGTCGTCGACCTTAACCCATCGGCGTTAGAAACCGTATGCCGTACTTCATCGGGTCACATACCAGGTTGAAGAGGGGTGCAATCGCCTTCGCATCATGCGGCAGCATCCCATCAACGTCATTAACCTTACTCTTCTCATTATGGAACCTGAGCTCCTCGCCAGCAATAACATCCGCTTCCTTGCGTCCGATGCCGGCTATCCAAAGAGCAGCAGCCCACAAGCCTCCCGCAACGTCATCGACGTGTACGGTATTGGTGGGATGCTTTCCCGGCGGGTGTCTGATAAAGAAGGGTTAGGCGGAAAAGGCGCAGATGAGGGGAAAGACGTACAGGGCCTTCATGGGCTTCTTCATGTATCCATAGACAGCGGCCACGGTGATGAAAGTGCAGACTGTGCCCTCGTGTTATGATCGTCTCGAGATGGCAAAGTCAGGAACGTGACGTACTGCGGCCGAAGTCCGTATATGGGCCGTACACGTATCCAATGCGGAGAACGACCAGGTTCAACCTGTCGCAGGTGAGGTTAGCTGGTTCAAGGAGAGAGAAATGTGAGACCTACCCTTCGATAGCAGCCAACATGCGCAGCGTTTCGTGCCACCAAATCCCTCTAATTCCGTCCGGCTTGACGTCTTCCTTCTCTTCATGCGAACCCTTTTCGGACGATTCGTAGAACGGATGTTGAAGCCGCACGTATGCCTTGACCTTGCGCTTCGCCGCCTCGAGACCCACCAAGCGCGAGATGTTGAACGTGTGCATGAGTTGCACCTACGATCGTGTCAAGTTCAGTAAAACCTGGGCAAAGAGACTTCCGACGCTGCGCGACTACGCACTCCTTCCGGTCGGTCATGTCGCGTTTCGCCCGTCAAGTCGAACACGTACTCATACGGGGCCTGCCCCTCCGGAGGGTCAAACGCGGTCGCAACGGCGGCTGGTCGCAATGTCGGAGACCATTCCTCATCAGGACAAGAATGCACACGCACCAGCAACCGTCAAGTTGGCCTGACGGTACTCTACATTTGGCTTCTCCAGTATCTTGGGAAACTCGGAACCGATGTACCTAAGAACCGAAGGGGGGTCAGACACAGCGATGCGCGGGAGGAGGGCAGCATTGCGAGGGCCTACGTTGTGGGTGGAGCGACGGAGAACTTGTCCACGATTCGGAGATGCTGGGAGACAATGAGAAACGATGCCCTTCCGTCACGGCAGTAGAGAAACCAATGCGCACTCCAACCAGCGGCTCCCCTTCTAATGGCACAAGCAGCGCGGCCAACGCCCTAGAGCATGTGTTGACCCCGCCTACACATACATGACACACCAATAACGCCAACTCGTCAGTGATCGATCAAGCAATACGTTCAGCTGAATATCGCACCAAGGATGATCACGTTCGGTTTCGAGCCCATCGCGTCGTATCAATTTCTGGGGACGGGCCGGAGATTGCGGAGGGATCCGAAAGAGAAGAAAAGGCGAGAGGGAGGGGTGGAAGGGTATATCAAAGTGTGTTTACAAAGTGCTGTGCAGGCTAAGTATATAAGTAAGTGTGGCACGGTCAATCAACGAAAAAGGGACTCCGACTTGGCGCGCCGCTCGCAGTTTCGCGGGGCGTGCGAGCGCGTCAGGTAGCCTCACGGCGCCCTCATATATCCTTTTTTGGTCTCTTCCCGGACGATTTGCTCTGCCACGTCTCCCGGTTCCGACAAAGGCACACCGTGCAAGCGATGTAGCAACTGCCAGCGTCGAATCTCCAACCCCGGACACGTCGCGAAGCAAAAACCCTCAAATGCCCGCGGCGGTCGTATTCGAGACGTTAACGGCTTCCATGACCTCTCCGCGTCGAGATCAGCTCAGCATTGCAACTGCCGTCCCTGGGCTCCGGTTCCCGATGCGTCGGAAACCTTCATTTTGCAGGCATACAAAAAAACTACTGCTACCTCCGCTCCATCTGATCTCTGAGATGCAAGTAGACACTGGAGAAATCTTTTCGTATCAACGACTCGTTGCTGTCGATGACCTGCGCGTATATCTTCTCCGCCACCTCTCCGAGGGGAAGCGGACTGTTTCGGGCCTTGGCGATCGACGAGGCGAGCCCCAGATCCTAAATTCCGTAGAAATTTGAGCATGACTTGTTACCGTAGGCACGTCGTCATCCACACGGACCTTCAGCATGAGCGCCGTAGCGAATCCTCCTTCGTAATCCCTCTCGCAGGGTGGCGATTTCTCCGGCAAGGCACCCGGAACCGGATTGTTCGTGTTGGATGCCCAGCAGTTGCCCGTCGAGCTGTTGACGACCCCGGCCAGAACCGCGGGGTCCAGCCCCAACCCTTGCCCGAGCAACATCGCCTCGGAGATGGCTATTTGCTGCGTAACGGTGGGTGTAATGATCAGGAACAGAGTCACCTTTCGGTAGGGGCAATACAGACCTGGATCCCGAGAACGAGGTTGTTGCATATCTTCGCAGCCAGACCTGAACCCGACGGACCGCAGTGGATGATCCGCTGCCCCATACGCGCGAGTAAGGGCGACGCGAGGTGGTACGCTTCCTCTGTGCCCCCGACCAAGAATGACAGTGTTCCCGCCTTCGCTCCGACCACACCTATCATGTGCATGTATTCAGCAAGTTGTAGATGAAGAAGACCGCATAGTCATCCCGGACCTCCAGAGACCGGAGCATCGACCATCTGTCCACCTGTTCTAGCTACAAGCTCGGCGACGTCTTGAGCCACCCGGACATCGAGGGTAGTAGAGTCGATGAACAGACTGTCTTCCGCCTGCTCCTCGGAGAGGGTGCGCAGGGCGGGTAGGATGCCGGAATCGGGCTGGGTGTAGACCTGTTGCACGTGTGGGGAAGAAGGGAGCATCGTGATCACCGTCTGCGAAGCCAAAGCAGCCCTTCAGTACACGGTGCCCAAGGGATCAGGCTCAGGCGTCGTAGATAGATATGAATGAGACGAAGAGCGTACTCTGCTGGCGTCTTCGCAATTGTGATCTTAGATCCGGGAAAGTGAATCTCAAAGTTCCTTTGGAAGGCTTGGGCTGCCTCTGGGATGGCATCGCAGACTACAAAGCGAGACGTCTCGGGCTCCAGCGCGAGCTGCTTGGAGAACAGGTTGAACGCCATCTCGCGGCCCATGTGGCCGAGCCCGATGAAGCTAACGCTCTTCGCCCTCGGAGAGGCGCTATGTAATACTTGCAAGCACCTGAAGCTGGGACGCATGGTGAACCAAGAAAGCAGGAGATGGAGGTTAAGTACGCGAAGGCCTATGCTGAAGCTCCGGGCTGCGATCACTCGATGCGGGGAAACGTGAGAATTATCCCGTGACGGACGCGCAAACCGTCATTCGCGCTCGTCAGCTTACGTCCGGATCAGACGCGATTGGCGATGGCCACTGACGAGATAATTATGGACACTAGAACCCGCTCTTACCCAGTGACCACAACATGACACGGCTGCCCATTCTCCACTTCAACGACGTGTATCGGGGTACGTACAACGTGGCACTGTATGGAATTACGCTCGGGTCCAGGATCGTGACAGCCAACAACCACAGTCAATCCGTTCAAGCTCGAACCAACGCGACCGGAAACCATCGATGTTTGCCAATTCGCATCTATGCTGGATGACATTCGCGATAAATGGTCTCTGCGTGAGGGAACAGAGACAGAACGCGAAGGGCTGGTCCTGTTCTCTGGCGACGTGTTTTCACCCTCGGTAGAGAGTTCGGTCACCCGTGGAAGCCACATGGCGAGTACACCTTCTCAATTAAGAGAGGGATGCCAATGTCTAGTTATAGGTACCAGTCATGAACGAGCTACGCCCGAACGTTTCGCTCACAGGTACAGCACATCCCACGATATACTAGCATAAATGCACTCAACCGATGTCGCAGGGAACCATGACTTCGACTGGGGTACCTTCGGATGATATGTACAAGCCGAGCTGTCATGTTGACCCATATCCACTTAGGCTATCCTCACCTCTGCAAGCTCATCCAAGGGACCAATTTCGTACGGTGAACTTTGGATGGTGGACCGTGATTGACCGTTGATTTGCATTCATTCCTAGCCATGGGTACTGTCGAACATCGTGGACATTGAAACATCCAAAGTCCCAGGACATCTCCTCGAGTACTACGTTATTGAGCGTGTTGGGGTACGGATCGGCGTCATTGGCCTCGTGGAGAAGTGAAGTCGTTCTCGTTTTCTATCTGCGCATATTATCTAATAATGTTTCTGTAGGGAATGGATTGGTACTGTTTCATCCTGGCCAGCCAATTTCAAGTACCAAGACATGGCGGAGGTGGGCCAGAAACTGTCCAGGAAGCTGCGGGACCCGAATGGCGAAAACTGCGACATCATCATCGCCCTAACCCACTCGAGGTACCCTCTCCCACCAGTACCCGCTCTTCCCTTTTGTACTCATTCGTATCGTCAGGGTACCAAACGTCGGTCGTATTCATCACCAATAATGCCGAACGTTAATCAGCTTTATATCAGGATCTCGCCCTCGCCAAGGCCCTCTTCGCCCTCTCACCAGATGGGCAGAAGTCTCTCGATGAACCCTTTGCTTCCACCCACGGCGTCGACATTCTTCTAGGCGGCCACGATCACCTGTACTATATATCCCGCGGCGTAACCGCCTGGGAAGGGTACGACGTTAACCAGGAAGTCCTAGGTGCCGAGGCAGACAAAGGGGATGTCTTGGTCGTCAAAAGCGGCACTGACTTCAGGGACCTCAGCGAGTTTGAGCTCGAACTGGAGGATATGCCGGAGGGCAGCGTCAGAAGGAAGGTCATCAAAAGTATCAAGGGTGGGTCTCGACGCCTTTCTGTGTGGCATGTGTTCATCCCAGCAACCTTACTAGGGAAGCACCATTGCACCCAACCCGGATCCCGACGATCTGAAAAGCTGCAAGCACTGATAAAAGAGCTGCTAGGGTCGGTGTCGGATTCCCTAAGCGCGCCGCTGTGCAGAACAACCGTCGAGCTCGACCTCCGGTCCAATCTCATCCGGACGCAGGAGGTACGCAGACGTTACTTCTCCCTGTTGCATTGCTCTTCATTGTCGTCGAGCAGATGGCGTCCAGTAACTGGTTCGCCGACATCCTGCGGCACACATATGACGATGCGCCCGGCGTCAAAAGCCGGGGCGGTGCCGACGGTGTGTTCATCTGCGCCGGCACGCTCAGGGGTGACTCCGTGTACGGACCGGGGGACGTCACACTCGGAAACATCCTCGAGATCCTGCCATTCGACGACCCCCTAATCGTGCTCGAGTTAGACGGAGAGACGATCTGGGCCGCGTTGGAGGCATCCCTCGAGACATGGCCAGCGCAGGAAGGGTATGACGCCTATGTTCTCATGCTCGAAAGGAGGCTCCCTTTTGACTGTGCGCAGCCGGTTTCCGGTGATTTCAGGATTCCGCGTATCCTGGGACTCGCGCAAACCGCCAGGACAACGCGTCCTCGGCGTCTGGCTCTCCAAGCCGGACGTGCACGGCGAGAACGGGGAGCCGATCCCGAGGGCGAAGGGAGGGCGGACGTACGCGATGGTGTCTAGGGAGTACATGGCACAGGGGCACGACGGCTTCACGCCGCTCAAAGGCCAGAAATACCTCGTGGACGACGAGAGCGGGCAAATCACTAGTTCGGTCGTGAGGCGGTATCTGCTGGGTAGGCTGTCTCGGAGAGTTTTCCCTCCCCTTCCAGTGACTGATGACGCGCCGAACCGCCAGGCTCGCAGTACATCCATAAAATGGCTCGCCTGTCGAAGCAAGCACCGCGGACGACGTGTCTCGACCGGCGTACGCACGACATTGTCTCGCGCGAGCTCGAGCGGGCGAAGAAGTACAAGAAGGCGGACACCCACTCGTGGGCGGCGATCGCGTGGCAGCACGCGGCGTCGCTCGCGCTGCACCGGACGCGCCGAGCGAGTCATTACCGAGACCACATGAGCGTCGCGACGAAGGAGCACATGAGCGGCGTGGACTGCTTCGACGGGGCGAAGACGAGGGGAGGGGAGGGGCTAGCGGAGGCTGGCGCGGGCTCTGCCGGTCAGAACGAGGAGGATTTGTTGGTGATCACGCCGGAGGTAGATGGGAGGTTGGAGGACGTCGGACGCAAGTGACTTGAGTTCGGACGTTGCTTGAGTTGAGAGGTTTCTGTGGATTCAGTCGCAGATAAGCTATCATTGCTGGGTCGACTCGTTGCACCTGGATGGTCCTGGTGCCTATCAAAAGATACAACGCAGCCCGTAGTTTAGAGATACGGCATGTGCGTTGTGGACCCCACGAGATGGAACTCCCCTCAAGGCCGGCTGAATTTGGAGGAGTTGGCCGCGTCGTAATACGTGAGCGAGCGGTTCTACGGAGCGATTTTGGCTAGTCAAAACAAGACGATGTGGTTCTCGAAGGTGCATGATGCTGCACGGCGTTTCCATACGAATCCTCACCCGACCCGGAATATCATCTTTGGAGTCGACAAAAGCCGCATTATAACCCTCAAGCTGCGGGTATGGGAATCTCTGGTAGATTCGTTGGTGGTGGGTGGTCGCCGGTCAGGGACCGTCCGTAATGCGTCAGGAGACCGACCGCGGACCCGAAACCAGCGCCTCCGAGTATCACTGCCCAGAACACAGCATGAGATACGAGATAGGTCTGCGCATAAGATGCCGGAACTTACAATGCGCCAAACGTGCCCTTTTCCACAATATCGCGGGGGTCAAGACGGCGCCGAGTAAGCCACCGATGGTGGAATGATCATCTACACGGATGCTGTCAGTCTGTTGTGGAGCATGACATACACCGGTCAGTTCAGCATGAAGGACTGTAAAAAGATAAAACGCACGTCGTATGCGGCCCGTATCCGCCGTTTTCGAATGTCAACTTCAGTTGACCATGCGCAGGTCGCGTACCCCGTTGCAGCTCCTCCTGCCACACCTGCGGCTCGGCGGCATCGAATTAATACGCATACATCAGAGGAGCTATATGCGCACCGGCAGCACCTCCCACCCAGGTGGCACGTAGAACGCGATTGACAGATAATTGAGCGCGTCCCTTCCTAGCAAGCACGTATGCTACATATGCTAGAGACTATCATCAGCTTATACGCATGGTACCCTTCGCGCCTGGGTACCTGGAGGAGTTATGAGCGACGCCCATTCGTAGCCCTTTGTAGATGCACGTCGCACGAGGAACTCGGTGTCTGCGGAGCGCGCCGCCGCAAGAAGTTCTGTCATGTCAATTTGCAGAAGAGGACAGAACTATGGTACCCTGTAGAGGTAGGGTAAGTGAGTAGTGTCCTGTAGTGTCGTCGCTGTCGCAGACGATGAGCGCGAAGGCCAAGACGACGTCATTTCTGTTCACTGCCACTCAGACAGACTCTCTCAGATCTCTCCCTTCTTCGTCGACGGTCGAGCGGCGCACCATGCAGGCGGGGGACACATCCAACCTCCTCCGTGCGGAGGCTGAGCTCCTCCTCACCCAAGTGTGTCGCCTCTCGTAGCGTCAGCGAAGAATGCTTGTCTGAGAAGCTGCTCCGCCACTGTGTGCTACGATTACGGTCCCGAAAGACCAGGAAAGAGAAGGCAGAGCGCATCAAGCATCTTGGTGAACCCATTGAACTCGCCGGGAAAGCCCTCGATATTGTGATCAAGGGCAGCTATGCGTACATTGCCGAAAATACGACGGTGATGCGGAAAGTGGATCTGGAGGTACACCCGTCCCCATCTTCAGAATTATTGAATAATATTGACCCGATGCATCAGACGGGGAAGACGGCAGCGTTGTATCGGGGTCACACTGCGCCTGTTACCTCTGTTGCGTATTACGAAGCCGGCGTCGATGGAGAAGTAGGGCCGACAGAGCTCATGATCACCGGCTCATGGGACAAATCGATCAAAGTCTGGAAACCAGCAGTGCGTGTTCACGACCTGGATTCTCGAGCTGTATAGCTGATTGTGGAATGGAAAAACATATAGACGAAAGAAGTGGTATCGACGACAGTCAATGCTCACGCAGATTTTGTCAAGACCCTCACGGTTATCCCGCAGCTGAAAATCTTAGTTTCCGGGAGCTCAGACAAGATTGTGCGCCTATGGTACGCTCAAGCTTGCCTCTTCATACTGATAGTGTCTGACTTGAAATGGCATAGGGACCTGTCGACACTGCCCTCCGACAAACCTTTGCAATGTGTATCCTCCATCTCTGCCCACACGCGTCCTGTCGAGGCTCTCGCGGTTCACGTTCTTTCCCCTACGTCAGCGACCCTGTTTACCGGGGATACCATGGGCGTCGTTCGAGCCTGGCAATTGAGCCGTGAACCTGACGGACGCTGGCGCACGATAGAGAAGGCGGAGTTGAACAACCATAGGACGCGGATCAACGACATGGCCTATGCGGAGGGGCTTTTATGGACAGGTTCGCGCCGGACTTCTTGATTGTCTAGTGCACGTTTCCTAATACCCTGATACCACGATCCAGCGTCCTCGGACGAAACCATTCAAGTCACACAGTACCCACCGCCCTCGTCACTAGCTACAGCACCACCTTCACCTCCAAAACCGCTCGTGACTATTAGCCATCCTCTCGCCGTCCGCTGTTTCCTCCCGCTCACGTGCACACCGCTCGGCGAGCCCTACCTCATCACCGGCTCTGGAGACACAATCCGCGCCTATGACCTCTCCGACCTCTCCGGCCTATCATCCACCTCTTCCCAGGTCTCCCCCAAAGTCGAGGCAGAACTGCTGAGTGAGGTGGACGCGCACTGGCATGACGTTATCGCGCTTCGTCTTTGGATGCGAAAGACGACGAACGAAGATGGAAGGACGATGGTCGAGCCCTGGATCGTGAGCACGAGCCTGGACAGCACGATAAGAAAGTGGAAATTGAGCGGTGCGTTACATAACGTTGCAGGTTTCTTCTACATTATCTCACTCCGCGACCCATTCCCTAGAGCTGCTCAAACCCACGCGACCTCCGCCCAAAACGCAGGCTCCGGAGCCAGCGATGTCCATCACTGAATCGGGACTGACAGAGGAAGAGGAACGCGAGCTTGCAGAATTGATGGACGAAGATTGAGGGTCCAATTCAGTCTTCTGAGCTGGGCGTCAGTGGACGGCCGCACTCCTCACTGTTCGAGCCAGCTGGAAATTTGCAATGGCCAGGGACTGCCCGGAAGGTTTTCTGTTCGATGAATAAGGATCCATACTAGCCATACTTGCGATGATGCCGTACGCGCGGGAAGGCCTTGTTAAAGACCTCGTGGGTATGCACTCGCCGGGAGCGTTATGTTCTCATTTCATTTAAGGACGATGGCTACAGATGTCAAAGGCGCTACTTTGGTCGTAATTCAAGCTTGTTCAACGACTGTGTACGCCACCGATACCCACGCCAAGGCAGGTACATAGAGATCCACATTCCCTCCTGCCCGCGACTGCGCGAAGATTGACTTTGCGCGCGTCAGCACCGTTGGGCAAGGGCAAACTCATCCGAGTGTCATCGTTAAAGCGAACTATATTACATGCAGTTAGGACACAACTTCCGCGCGATCCGGTGGACGTTCCGCCACTTCTCCACTAGCTTTTGAAATCTCAAAGTTTAGCTTTCGTTGGGTTAATAATGTGGCTGGCAGCGGCTTGCAAACTTTGAGCAGCTGTCGTTATAATTTCATCGACGCTGCATTATGGAGGGTGTCAGTCGGCAATTCACCGCGAAAGTATAATACCATCGGCTCACATCTCCTTCGCAGGTTTGACCTCCTTTTCGCGCGGTGGCAAGTCAGTCCGCGTTCCTGTCACAGGGGTGCAGCACGGCAACTCACATGAACGGATCCAGCTACTTGTCCCATGAGCCCTGCAAGAAGACATTTTTTGTTTAGTGCTCTCATCCTCAACACAGATATCGTACACGGTCTTACACATGCGACCCTCGATAGATCTTTCAGGATGCTTCTCGAGCTCCGCCTCGTGCGGAATCTTGCCCTTGGACGTCAGCTCGCGTATCTCATTCTGTCGCTTATCCTCCCTATCATAGTTCAATCACGCACGCAATCACGGTCAATGTTGACTCCAAGGATACATGCGAAAGGGAAAATGTTCACCACTCCGCCACATACGCCGTCTTCCGAACGTGCATCGGCCTGCCAGAATACACGAGCGTCTTGACGGTGTCGTCGTACCCCGCGCTAAGCACGAGCTCTTTGTGCATCTTGGGGGCGCCCGCCTCGACGCTGGCAACGAAGCGCGTTCCGACCCACACGCCGGCGGCGCCGTAGGACAGAGCGGCGGCGAGACCGCGACCGTCGGCGATGCCGCCCGCGGCGATGACCATCACGGGCTCGCCCGTGAGCGGCGACTTGTGCGCTTTGCAAATGTCGACGCAGGCCGGGATGAGGATCGAGAAGGCGATGTTACTGTGCGGGAGACCATGCCGTCAGTGCTGATCATGGACACAGCAATAAGCCTCGGTACCCCTGTGAGATGGGCGCCGCCAAATGCGATTAGTCAAGGATCGAATCGGTTCAGGATATTGATCCCTCACCGTATGTCCGCCACCTTCGCCTCCTTGCGCGCAGATGATATCAACACCTGGAGATGAAGGCGTGAACTCAGCGACTTAGGCTTCAAGGGGTCTACCCACCTTGATCTAATGCCTTCTTGACGTGCTGCGCGACGGGATTCGATAAGTGTGCATAGAAGCACAGTGGGTAAGATCTAACCTTTGGGTGTCCTACCATGCTGACACATCCTTCAATAAAGTGTGAGAGGAATATCGACGCCGAGAAGACTCACTTCATGACCGGGATCTTAGCGGCGTGGAGCTTGTCGACCATCTCCTTCGGGGGTACACCCACGGCGCAAACAAACAGCGCAGCCTTGTTCTTGATGATAACGTCCGTGAGTTCAGGAAGCTGCCCTTTTGTGTAGTCATACTGCAGGAGTATCCCAAGAATCGATACATTAGGCGGAAGGGCATCGATATTCGGTAGCGTGACTCATACATTGGTCTTTCGAGCGTTGCCGCCAACTTGCGGTATCAGGAGATCAACACCAAAAGGGGCGTTCTTATCCTCAAGATTGGCCTGTCGTAGCCGATCAGCCTAATGCGCCACCATTGCAACAGAATACGGCAACTAGTAACCTTGATCTCATTGATAGACTCTTGCAGCACTTTGGGTGTTTGCCTCAGGCCGCCTATAACGCCGATGCCGCCTAGATACGCTTTCAGCGTCCCGGCATGCAAGCGTAGTCATTGGTCGACTTACCCGCGTTGGTGACCGCTGCGGCGAGCCTCGGGCCGGCAGCAACATTCATACCAGCCAGCATGACCGGGTGGTTGATCCCGAACAAGCGGGTCAGCGGTGTGGAGAAAACGGAATTAGAGGATGGCATGGTGTCGTATCGCTCGTAGCAACGATGTGGGCTGGAGAAACGCTGGGTTCCCCTATCCCTGCCCTGGAACTGCGGTTAAGAGGGAATGCGGGGTAAAACGCGGGTGGACGAATAACCGAGCGCCGGTTATGCCGGTCACGCGGTTTGTCGCCCATATTCACTGTCTCTCGTGCCTCTTCACGAGGGTAGCGCCCTTCCGACTTCCTCGGGCTCGGCCGCTCTCTTGCTCAGCCCGCAACGCAGCCATGGCAGACGCACCAAAATGCCCAGTAGACCACGGATCGCTGCCGCAGCCGGTGAACAGCGCAGAATGTCCAGTAGATCATAGCGCTCGATCATCGTGGACCTCCTTCTTCTCCTTTAACAAACCGTCGTCCTCTAAACCAGCACCGGCACCGGAGCCGGGCCCGTCTTCGCTCTCCAATTCTCGAGAGGTGTCCTCCATCCCGAATGCGAAGGGCGAGAACTGGGTGTACCCCTCTGAAGCGCAGTTTTTTGCGGCGATGGCAAGGAAGAACCACAACCCGCACGAATCTGATATGCGCACCATCGTGCCGATACACAACGCCGTCAACGAACGCGCGTGGCAGGAGATACTGAAGTGGGAGCAGGGAAAGGGCGGGGAGGCCTGTGGCGGGATCAAACTGGTCAGTTTCAAGGGACGGCCTGGCGACCTCAGCCCCAAGGCTCGGTGGAAATCCATCCTCGGGTAAGCACCAATCTCTTCCGAGGTGTTGGAGGGGCCTCGAGCGACTAACGTGTGGCAATAGCTATACGAAACCATTCGACCGCCACGACTGGCTTGTGGATCGGTGCGGCGTCCGAACGCGATATATCATCGACTTCTACACCGGTCGGTCCCTCGGCCCTGCTCAGGCCCCGTCGTTCTATCTAGACGTTCGCCCCGCTCTCGATAACTGGGAAGGCGTGAAGATGCGCATAGGTGCCGCTTTGGAGAGCTGGTTCGGTCCAACTTTACAGACCCCGTCGTCTCCGCCTCGACAGACCAGACCTTCCTCGTAGTGCGCCCATGTATTTCTACGTCAGTCTGATTCACCCCCATTCATTCGCCTTGGCGGGCCCTCGAATGGCAGTAGACGAAATGCCTCCGATGCAGTAGACAGAACCAACGGACTTCGCCTGGTCCTTCCAAGTTTCTGCACAACAACGCCCGCGATCGACGATCGGAGGGTAACGTCAACCCCGGAGCCTTTGCTGGACGCCGGACGACAATCTGAAGCGAGCCCTTGAGCCGCGGCTACTCTGTAGCGCGCGCTGGCAACGGCTTTAACGTGTCGTTTGCTCAACCGACGGCGGCCGATCTCGCAGAGCTCCCGCAATTGTTCTTGCAATTTCCCAGATCGGTGGTCCGCTCATCGCGGCGGCGGCGTTGGCGCCTTTTCGTCCATGTCTCAGTACGTATACGATCGACTTTATGGTCGACCGACGAACGGTTCGTGTCTTTTGGGTTCGTGTCTTTTGGGTTCGTGTCTTTTGGGTTCGTGTCTCCGGCTTCTCAGACTCATGCCAAGCTTTATGGGGTTGCGATGGTATATCCGCCGCACATTCTGACGGTTGCTTTCGGGCGCGACTCGGGGACTCAACGCTAGTCCCCGTGCTTCTTTGAAGAATACAGCAGAGAGGCCCTCATCCTTCCTTTGACGGATCGAGTCGAAGTTTGCCGCTCGTTCCCTGTCGAGCGGGAGTTTAAACGGTTCAGCTGCTCACCTGCGTCAGCGGAATCTGGCTTCCACCGTCGCCCTTTTCCAAGAACATAAATAACCGTCTCTTGCATCGGGTGCCGCTATCTACGCACCTCACCTGTCGTAGACTGAACGCGTCTCGATTGTAGTGCCAGCCATCAAAATTTCTATCACAACCTGTAACCCCAATGACCATCCCCATCTCCATCACCTCAGGATTTCCTACCACGCAGGCTGAGTGGCAAGCCGCGCTTGATGCGCTCCCCGCCAACCCGCACAAGATCCCCGCCTTCTTCTTCGCCCACGGCTCGCCCTTGCTTGCCGTGCAGCTCGACCAGTCCCAGTTCGCGGATCGCGGCGGCAGTGATTCCGCGATCGAGGAGGTGGGGCCCTCGGGCCCCCTTGCAAAGTTCCTGCGGGACTTCGGCTCCACGCTGCTAAGCAAGTATAACCCCAAGGCGATCGTCGTGTTCAGCGCGCACTGGGAGACGGCAGGCGAGCGCGTGGGTGGGTGATGGAGTCACGCCCTGCTTTACCAAGCAGGATCCCCTGATGATGTTTCGTCCCTAGTGACTGACTATGGGGACGAAAACCCGTTGCTGTACGACTTTGACGGTTTTCATCCGGAGCTCTTCGAGCTTCAGTTCAAGTCCCGCGGTGACGCCGCCCTCGCACAGCGCATCGTCGAGCTGTATAAGGAGGCAAGCCAACCCTCATCCTTCTTTCCCCACTATATTAATCGATCATCACTCGTAGGGCAGTCAACTGGCGCGCAAGACAACCAAGAAGGAGCCCCGTGGTCACGACGGTCGCGGCTTTATGGGCCCTGGCCTCGACCATGGAGTCTTCATTCCCTTTCGAATCATGTTTGGTGATGCGCTTCCGGACGACCTGCCTATCGTTGAGGTCTCTATCGACGCGAGCCTCTCTCCGGAGAAGAACTGGGCCGTCGGCAAGGCGATACGCCAGCTCAGGTATCGCCTCCTTCTTCTCTTCCTCTGACCTTTGACGAGATCAGACGACGCTGACGGCGATCGGACAGGGAGGAGGGCGTGCTCATCCTCTCCGGCGGTCTGACAGTGCACAATCTGCAAGATATCGACTGCTTCTCGCCCAGCACGGCGTCCTCGGCCGTCAAGGCCTTCAACAACACCGTCACTGTCGCAATGGCCACCCCCAACGTGAGTCCCTCCATCGTCCTCTCGTTTGCCATCCTGCTGACCGTATGGGTACGCATGCTAGCCTACAGAGCGCAAGCGGGCGCTGCTCGACCTGCCAAAGCACCCAGGCTTCCGCGCGACCCACCCGCGCGAGGAGCACTTCGTCCCTCTGTACGTCGCCGCCGGCGCGGGCGACGAGGATGGCCGCGAGGAGGCGCGAGTCCTTTCCGCGATCTACGGCGCGCATACGGTTGCGTTCGGCGTCTGAGATCCGAGCCCGCCACTCCTATCGCGTTGGTTATCGCCTGCCAGAACCTGCTCCGTCGGTACCACGCCTCAAACGCTTCAGTGAAATTTAAATTTGCGGGGACAGAGCAAGTAAATGCCGAAACATTATACAACTGTACAAGCTCTATGAGGCTGCTGGAATTGACACAATCGTATTATGACGGATGATGGGATAGATTCAAGCCTCGCAAGACCACCGACATGTCGCGCGACTCACCGCGCCGCATACAGCGACATTGCTACGATACGATAGCAGCTCACCGAGCTACTCCATCCTCATCAGCGCGCACTTTTTACCGACTATGAGTGATATATGATCTCTCATTCATGGTGACCTTGTGAAATCCAACGAGATATAACTTAACATTGCGCTATAACGATATCTGTAACGGGTATTGTAGGTCCGATCCCCCCCTTGAAGCTTGAATTGCCACTGGTTGATGGCCAAAATCGGCGGAGGGTAGGTAGGTAGGTAGGTATATTTCCGGCGCGGTCCCAATAGCGGAACAACCGGTTGCCGCACCGCACGCCAGTACGTGCGGCTTTGCGCACACAGTGCATCCACGGTTCCCGTGAGCTGTATAACAGCCGACACACCGCTTCAGCACTGGTACAAATAGGGGAGCAGATGCGTGGCAAGTGGCAGTGCTGCTTCCTGCATCGATACAGAGGCGTGTCTCTTCTATCCTGGTCGTTGACCACATCGGTGTCCCCTATCACTGTCGAGATGAGCGGACGTCAAGGCGGCAAGCTCAAGCCTCTGAAGGTCTGTTGACTATCTAAGTAGTCTCGTTCGACACACTGACAAAGATATAAGGCTCCGAAGAAGGACAAGAAGGACGAGGACGAGGATGACAAGGCATTCAAGGAGCGCAAGAAGCAGGAGCAGGAGGCAATGAAGGCCGCAAAGGAGCGGGGTGAGTAGACTGAAAAAAAATCCGCAATCTGGAATCTGGAGTTCATGGTGTGCATGATATTCAGCGCTGAAGGGCGGTCCATTGGGCGGGACTGGCGGGATTAAGAAGTACGTCACGTTCTTTGCTGGTGCATGGCCCGAATGTGCTCAATGCTTGCATATAGGTCGGGGAAGAAATAGACGCCCCTTTCCCTCAGCTCGCTACCCTCAGTGAAGTGCCCGTTCACAGATGCATCGGCCAGCATATCACATCTTCGTGTGGACCACCTGGCATCCCGCTCGAACGCTTCGAGTCTCCCGCACCACGTATGGGCACGGCATCTACGCGGTATCCTATGCCGAATGTTACACATCCTCCAGAGCTCTGCGAAACCATGCACATACATATCGCCTCAGATTTTCTGCTCTGTACCGTCCTATCGTTAGGACATTTGCAACAAGTATCTACCGTCGTGGGTCGTAACGTAAGGGGCAACGCTGTGAGATGTCCGAGGGCTTGCTCAGGGCCGCGTCCTCATGTCCGAGGCCAGAGCGGTGCGTGATCGGGAAGAGCCCGCGCCAGGCGGCGAGTCGGATGGGGAAATTGGCAACGAGAAAAAAAAACATGAGAGACGCGGGGCCGCTTGCGCTGCGTTCCTCCCTCCGAACTCCGGCTCCTCGAACGGGCCTTTGCAGCTAGAAATATTGGCGGCGCCAGCGGCAGGCGTACAGGCGAGACGCGGGCGGGCGCGGGGCAGCAGCCTGACGATGAGGACGGCCACGGGCGACGCGCGAGAACCTCTGATCCAGCCGCCACCACCACCACCGTCAACAAACCGTCACCTCCTCCGCGACACTATCAAGCTCCCCATGCTCGGGCCGCTCCAGGGCCTTCCGCCCGGCCACCAGCAGCAACAGCAACAGCAGCAGCAGCAGCAACAACAACAACAGCAGCAACAACAGCAGCAGCAAGGCGGGCCGGGGCAGGGCAGCCAGATCCCGCCGCCGCCGCCGCAGAGCGGGCAAGACTTTACGCTCAGCAGCGTGCTCCACTTCCTCCAGACGGAATGGCGGCGGTACGAGCGCGACAGGAACGAGTGGGAGATCGAGCGGGCCGAGATGCGGGTGCGTGTCTAGTCGGTCGTCGTTCGTCGTTCGTCTCGCACGCGAGGCGGAGGGGACCCAACGCATGCTCACGGTTCCGTGCGTCGGCAGGCCCGCATAGCGCTGCTCGAGGGCGAGCGGCGCTCCTTTGACAATGTCAAGCTCGACCTCATGCGCCGGATCAAAATGCTCGAGTACGCGCTACGCATGGAGCGGTACGTTTTCTGGGCCTAGCGACGCGTCGACGACCCACGCTCACGGCCCCTCGTCCCTCCTGCCTCCCTCAGCTCCAAACAACTCGCGCAGCCCGCACCGGCGTCTATACCCCCCTCCAAGCTCGCGGCACTGCAGACCGGCTCGGCGGGCACGTCGCTCAAGGACGACGCGGGCAGCCATAAGGACGCCAGCGGCGGTAGCTCACCTCGGAGCGAGGGTACGCGACGCTCTCCTGCCCCTCTCGTTCTGAACACGCCGTTGAGCTCCATATCCTTCCAGACTCGCCGCTTCCACCAGACGCCAGGGTTCCGAACGGTATCGCGACGCGGAGCGAAAATGGACGGGCCGCGACCTGGGGCACAAGCAGCTGGGCCAACGCGCCCGGTGGTGCCGCTCAAGCCCTCGCGAAGCCTGCTACTGGCCGTGATCCCAAGAGCCGGGCACGCAGTCGTGACTTCTTGAAACAGTGCGCCGGTCCCTCCTCTCGCGTTTCCGTACCTCATCCTCACATATCTTCTTCACAGGTGCCTGCAAGAGGTCTCCTACCTCACGTCGCCGCAGGCCATCAATCCGCTCCCGAACCGGCCGCTTCTCAATTCGAGTTCGCTTCCCCTTGCGCTGCCGAACGTGCCTTCCTTCGAACAAATGGCGCTCAACTCGCGCCCACGCAAGGTGATGCCCGACGTCAGCAAGGACGGTGCCGCCCCGGGCTTCTCTGGTAGCATGCTGAATGGCGCGAGTCTCATGTCCGGTCCACCCTCGGCGCCGGCGTCCAGCGGGCCGCAGATCCCGCTGCTGGAGAGGGGTAACCTCGGGAGCGGATTGCTGCAGAATCAGGCTCCGGGCTCGCTGTTGCAGCAACAGCAGCAGCAGCAGCAGCAACCGCCCTCGAACGGCGCATCGGCATTCGGCGGGCCGCTCCACCAGCCGCCGCCTCCGCAACCTCCCGCGACACAGCAGCAACCACCGCAGCAGCAGGAGAGGAAGGAGGACGGGGAGGAGGCGAGGCAACTGACGGCGATATTCAGGCCAGACGACGCAGGCGAGTGGAAGGAGAAGCTGCGGCTCGCGCATGAGGCGAGCGAGCAGGCGCGGCTCGAGAGGGAGCGGGCGGCGGGCTGGGAGCAGGACGGGCGGGATGAGGATGAGAAGGAGGAGGAAGAGGCGGAGGCGGAGGAAGACGAGGCGGTCGTAGGTGAGGGCGAGGGCACGAAAGTGTGGAAGGCGAAGAGGACGTTGAGAAAGTAAGGAATCCGCCGGTTCTTTGTGCTGCTCCTATGAGACCGATGCTGACCTTTGTCGAGTAGTCACCTTGACGCCGTGCGCGCGATCGCGTTCCACCCGACCGAGCTGTGTCTCGCGACGGGCAGCGACGACTGCACGGTCAAGATATGGCGGATGAACGTCTCGGACCTTACCTCATCGACGTACGCCGGTTTCCACCCTTGTATATGCACCAGTCTGACCGATGCATCCGTCCGCAGCGCGCGGCCCACGACCGAGGTCGAGCCGCAGCTCACGCTCCGCGGGCACTCGGCCGCGATCACGCGCCTACTTCACGCGCCCTCGAAGGGCCTGCTCTACTCGGCCTCGCTTGACTCGTCTATCCGTGTATGGGCGCTTCCCGCGCACGGGCACACCACGTACGCGCCGTACGACCACACGCGCGCTCGGGGCGAGCTCGTCGGGCACACGGATGCCGTATGGGATCTCGCGCTTGTGCGTGACGAGGGCACGCTCGTCAGCTGCGGTGCCGAGGGCGCGGTGAAGGTGTGGGACGTGAGCGGGCCGAGTGGCGGTGGGAGCTTGATGCTCACGTGGGGGTACTACGGCCTCGAGCGCGAGAAGGAGGGAGAGGGAGCCGAGGGCGAGGGCGGGGATGCGCCGGGCGCGACGGCGGTGGAGGCCATCAAGACGGATCTGAAGAAGGTCGCGGTCGCGTACCAGACGGCGGTGATCAAGATCTTCGACGTGCAGACAGGGAAGGAGGTCCTCCGGTTACAGAGCGTGCCTGGTCAAGGTTAGTCATTGATTGCACCGAAGATTGCCGTACTTAGGCTCACCTTTATGGCAGATAACACTCCCGAAACGCAGGTCAACAGCCTTGCTTCGCATCCGACGATGCCACTTTTGGTTACCGCGCATGAGGATAAATATATTCGCATCTTCGATATTTCCACAGGTACGTGTTTTCTCTACCTCGTACTGTCTATGCGATATGGGTCTTAACTCCCATGGCTAATGTAGGGCAATGTACGCACTCGATGCTCGCCCACCTGGATGGCGTCACCTCGCTTTCGATCGACGCGGCCGGCTTCTCGCTAGTCTCCGGCAGCCACGATTGCTCCGTGCGCTTCTGGGACCTGCTGGGCTCCAAGACGTGCGTGCAGGAGATCACAAGTCACCGCGAGAAGGCGCGCGAAGGCGTACTCGACGTCCAGTTCCACCCTTCGCTGCCGTTCATGGCCAGCGCTGGCGCGGACGGCGTGGTCAAGCTGTACGGCTGATCCCGGCATGATTCTCCACCCGTTATCATCATCTAAAATACACCATTTTTCCATGTCTTTTTCTCTCTCTCTCACCTCGCACGACGCCTCTTGTTGTCTACGCTTTGACTTCCTCCTCAACCCGGAATGGCCTGTACCCACCGCATTCGTACCCCTGTGCCGGCGCGCGCGCTCCAGCTATACCTACATTGTTCGCTTTCTGTCCTCTTCACGGAGGGATCGCACGTAATTTCGATGGCGGAAGGATCTCGCTCGCATATTATACTTTTCGCTGTATATCTTAAGTCCGGTCATGAACGTTGGGAGAGTGCACGGTCCCCGGAGGGGCACTGGAAGACGCGGTAATGCTACATGCAACGAAGAGGTTATGATACATTCGGGGTGGGTATAGACCTCCGTATATTCCCGTTCTGTTTATCAGATAACTGCGCAGGGTAGGCCGCCGTGAGCGAAGGTGGGTGCCAACGAGCGTTTGTTGGTACTCACAAATACGTGCGCCTTGTTCCAAGGCGATCACAACAGCGCCGAGTCCTTTCGCCTCGACAAGTGCCCTCACCTGGGAGGCGATGACCTGGTTGACGGGCTCGCTGAACCGACCCTCCAAATCGTCCTTGCAATCTGGAAAGGGAAATCAGGGACTGAATGTGGCAAGCCATCCGGAAAGAAGACGTACGCATGATGTACACGGCGACGCCCTCCAGACTACCTCGCAGTTCGTTGTGGGCAGCAGCCGCCCGGTTGGGCTTCCGTTTCTTGCGCACCGGATCAGCGCCCGTGCTCGCTCCAGCGGACTTCCTGGCTTTGACGACCTCGCCAGCGAGGATGGCGAGCTCGTCGGCGAGGTGCTCGGGCGTCATGTGTCCATACAACTCCTCGTCCTTCCTTCCGGATGGCCAAGAACATTCGATGAATATAGACGAGAGCGAGGCGGGGATCTTCTTAGCCGCCGCGCGCCATATTTGCGTATTGAGATCGTTGTGCGAGACGCTGCTCGGCTCAACGTCGCCGAAGAATAGGATCTCTTGGCCGGAGGGGTCATGCCGTATAAAGTACGCGCTCGATTCGTAGACACCTGAACGATGCGTCAGTGCCCGCATTGGACAACGGCGCCAGCCGCCCGTGAACATTTGCTCACCAATTGTGTCATTCTTTCCATGGCTCACGGGCATTATACGCGTGGATATATCGTTACATATGCTCTTATATTGATTATCAGCCTCGATTCTGGAGAAGACAATCGTAAAGCCCTGAACACGAGTCTTAAGTGCCCGCACTCACATGGTAAGGAGCAGCTTATGTTGCTCGTCGTTTTCATCCCGAGTGGCGAGGGCCGGCCAGAGACGATCCGAAAACACGTTCTCCAGATCTACGAGGACGTCCTTGTGACCGTATACGCGTTTCTGGCAACCCAAGAGCGATCCCGCAGAGATGACCAGGCTGGCGACGTGGTCAAGGTGGGCGTGCGTTATCAAATAGCACCTGGAATCGGTTAGATGAAGGTGAAACCAGGGATCGGCGTCATATACGCACTTCACGGAAGCATATACTTGGCCAGCAGAGACAGTCGTTCCCAACAGACCAGGTTTTGACTTGAGGATGAGGTCCAAAGCACCGACCCCTGAGCCTGCCTCCAGCGAGACGATGCCCTGTGGCTCATCCCATCGCCGGTCACAAGGCTTTAGGAGATATCTTGGGGGACACATCAGATCAGAGTTGACAATGTCGAGATAGCGCATATAACCGACGAAGATAGATTTGTCTCGTATGGGCCGCCTCCGCAACCGACGACCAACAGCTCGAACGTAGGCATGAAGCAACAAAGCACAGAGCGGTCGACTACCGATACCACCGCTGACGTGCTTTATACCCCCTCTGTAGCTGGATCATAGACTGTGGGCCGCGAGGCCTGACAATTGCCTTTGGGATTTGGGCGGACGACGAGGGCAGACAAGGAGCGATGGAGCCAAACACTCGTCCGGTCACAAAGATGAGATGCCACGCTGCGCTGCCCACGCGCATCGCGAGGACAATGATCTCGGATGATGCGCCGACTTCCGAGGCATGAGCTGAGTTGAGGATGACTTTACGCCTCCCTGCGTCGGCTTTCCGATAGATGCAGCTCTCAGGAAGAAGGCAAGGACCCGAAAGTAAGCACAACGAACGTTCATTAACGTATGAAGCTGCAGGCGACGAGCACGGAGGTGAGAGGAACGAGACAAGGATATTCTTATTGCAACGAAGGGGATAGCATACGTTAAGGAAAAAATGGGGAAGCTAAAGAGCGTGTCCGTCGTGTCGAGAACAAGGGCCTTTATACAAATACCGTTCATTGACCCAGCAGGCTATTCAAAGCTCTCGGCACGTCGTATCCGTGTTTCTCCAAGGCTTCTACGGCTTGAGTGCGGCTGAAGCCCATTCCACACAGCACCTTGACGGGCTCGACGTCGTCGTCGGCCATTGGCGTAGCCGTTCCTGAGTTGGGTTCTTCTACTATGGGTGCAGCGAGATGAGATTGAGATGCGCCGGGCATGGGAGGGAGCTGTTCGAGCTTGTCCTTCTTCTTCTTTCCGAATGGTAGGCGAATCTGCTGGGAGTGATAAGCAGTCAAGACAAAGGGACGAAAAGAGTTGAACGGTACTGACGCTCAGGCGGGAATGCCTCGGTGTAACTTCCTTCCCTTTGGGAGCATGATCGGAAGACGATTCTTTGCCGGAGGAGGCGGTAGACGGTCGCGGTTTTGGCGAGCTGTGGCGAGGTGGGGGCGACACAGCCCTGGATGAAGGAGACGCTGAGCGGCCTGTGAGGGAGCCATAAGTGGAGCTCCTTTGAGGCGAGGACGGCGGCGACGTCCTCGGGAAGGACGTGGCAGAGCCCGGAGACTGCAACCGAGAAGCTGCCGACGCCTTGGAGGACGCCGTGCCAAAGTTGTTGAGGGCGAGAGCCTGGGTTCCACCTACCCCTCCGAACGCGTCGTCGAAAGAGATCCCGTTGCTGGATCCATTCGGGGCGGAGGGATGGCTGCTCGAGGGCCATGTTGAGGTCGTCTGACTGGCCGAAAGGCTCGAAGGTTGCGTTGAGGCGTCTGCCACTCCGAAGGCGTCGTCGAACGAGATCGAGGGTTTCGCCTCCGGAATCTGTGGCTTCGCCTCCGGCGGAGAGGCAGCAGTGCCATTGGCTTTGAACCCGAAGACGTCATCGAATCCACCGCCGGTGGTAGATGTGGATGGAGCGGGCTCCGTCGCTGTCGCCGTCGCGACCGGCTGTGGAGACGGGATAAAGGATGTCTCCGCTCCGACGGTAGAGAAGTCGAAATTGTCCTCGAACGCGGTGTCAAAAGTGAACGGAGCGGCAGCGGGGACATCGGAGTTCGCCTTTGAGGGGGTTGCGATGGTGCCCATCGCTTCATCAAACGCGCTGGTATCCGCCTTCGGCACCTCGGTCGCCGGCGCGAACGGCGCCCCGAAGGGATCAGCAGCGCTCACTCCAAGTACCTCGGGCGATTTTGGAGCGGGCGCTGGCGAAGCTGGCGGGAAACCGGTCGTGGTCGCGGCCGTCGTGGGGGTGGAGATGCCGAAAGAATCGTCGAAGGCAGAGAGTCCGTTGGCCGCAGGAACTGGTTCGGGCGCTTTAGGGGTCTCCGACGAAGGAGCCGCTTCCGTGGTGGGCGGGTTGAAGTCAAGCGCACCAGGCATGGACTGAGGACCTTCCTCGTCGTCGCTGCTGTCGGTATCTTCGGCTTCGTGCTCGTGGAGAGACTCCAGGTCTTCTTTGACCTCTTTGTGTTCTGGCTCTTGGGCGGCAGGCGCGACCGTGTCTAGTCCAGGCGGAGTGGGCGGAGCAGACTCGACCTTCGGGGCACTCTCTTCTACGAAAGGAGTGCTATGCTGCGGTGCCGTCGCGGTCGAAGGAGGTGTCATGAACTCATCAGTTCCGGTGGTTGAGATTGGGGACATGGCGGCAAGGTCCGGAGGAGCCTGCGGGGTCAGCGTTGCAATGGGTTGGGTCTCTTTTGAAGCCTCAGCAACGGCTTGGGCGGCGGTCTCAGCAGGCGATGTCTCCAGCGTGCCGAAAGCGTCGGAGAATCCGAACGGATCCTCGGAGCTGGCCGCTGCAGCAGGTGCAGGTGCGGAATGCTCGGCGGGAGCGGCGGTGGGGGTCGGCACATCCGCATTCGTGAACGGCAAGAAGGGCGACTGGGACCGCGAGCCGCCGCCCATCGCAAGGCGCTCGAAGGGGTTGTTGCTCTTCCCGCTCGGTGCGGGGCTCGTCACGCGCGAGCCGGTGACGTCGGGCGTGAGGGGGAGCGGCTGGGCAGCAGCGAGCGCGAGCGAGTCCGGCGAGCCTGGGGCGAACGTATCCGGCACCGCGGGCGGCGAGGCCACTACCGCATGCCCGTTCGTGACGCTGGCCGGCACGGGCTCGGGTTCCTTGGCAAGCTCCGCCTGCGCACGCGCGAGCTCCTCCGCCGCCTGGCGCGCCTCCTCGTGCGCCTCGCGCTCCTCCGCCGCGATCTTCTCCCGCTCGTTCTCGCGCGTCAGCAGCTGCTTCTTCGCGACCGCGAGCTTGCCCTTCTGCAGCTTAGCCTCCTTCCGCGCCCTCTCGATCTCCTGCTTGATCATCTCGACCTCGGTCCCGACCTCGGCCATGCGCCGCTGTAGGCCGCGCACCTCCTCCTTGTCGCGCAGCAGCGCGCCCTCGACCTCAGCCTTCTCCACGCGGAGCGCGCTCAGGTCGCTCTCGGCACGGATGAGCTCCTCTCGCGCCTTCTGTATATCCGCCGCCTGCGCCGCGAAACGGTCCTTGATCCCTTGCAGCACCCGGCTCTCCGTCTCGTACGCGGCTTTGGCGGACGAGAGCTGCGTCTGGAGGCTCGATAGCTCGGCGGCCTGGTTCGCGAGGGTTTGTTCCATATGCTGGCGCTCTTTCTGGGCCGCCTCGAGCGAGCGGTTGGTGGACCCGAGCTGGTTCTTGATGTTACCGATCTCGGCGGCCTGCTCGTGAAGCTTGTTTTGGTCACCCTCATCGTCGCCGAGCAAGTCTTGGTGGAACGCTAGAGGACAGTCGGCTCGGTCACCTCCTTCGGCAAAGGCAAGATAGATGATTGCTTACACGTTTGAGCTACGAACGATGAAGAACCGAACGGATCTACCGGAGCACGGGCAGGCTGCGGTGGAGAGGTCGGCCGGGCGGACGGAGATAAGACGCCCGTTTGTTGGGGTTGCAGGGGCGGAGATGTAGTTTGCGCGGACGGTGGAGGTGTATCGTCCCAGAGTAAATCTCGGATAGCCTCCGGAACCTGCGGAGCTGGCGCCGGGGCGGCGGCGGCAGTCCCGCGCATCGAAGGTGGGATTAGCGTTGGAGGGAGCGTGGTGGGAATGTCCTTTCCAGCGAGCTTCCCTTGGATGAGGTGCATCGCGACGGCGAAGCCGTCACGGGTCAACCGGCCGTCATCATTCATATCAGCCAAGTCCCTGCGAAACATCCCCCTCAGCAACGGACATCAAGCTGTATACTGAGTATGTACTTACCAGACTTGCGCTAGCACATCCCCGGGCAGCTGCGATTGCAGGAAGAACGGCACCGCGACATCTCCTTCGATGAACCCTTTCTTCTGCGTGTCGAGCGTATCGAAGAACTGGTCCGCAGCCGCCTTCTCCTGAGGCGTCACGTCCCAGGGTAACGCGGCCGGAGCACTGGTCGCCGGCAGCCCAAACGCGCTGCTCCCCAATGCGGCGGGCGCGGGCCGCTGCTGCAGCCCGGAGGCGGTCTGCTGTGGGTGGAGCGGCTGGCCGGTGTACTGAGGCTGCAATATCGAGGACGAGATCTGCCCGGTATGTTGAGGCTGCAGTATCGACTGGATTTGGCCGGTGGTCTGGGGTTGGATGGCGCTGGGGCTTCGCCCCGGGAAGCCGCCGTTGACGCCGGGGCTGGAGAACCCGCTGCTGCCGGTGTTGTGCGTCGCGACGCCGCCGTCCGGGCCCTTGCCGCCGCCCGCTTGTTCGTATAGGCCCGGAGGTAGGCTGGTGGGTACGAAGGAGAGTTGGCCAGACATGCACGCCTGGATTAGGTACATCCCGATGGTGAAATCGGTGGAATCGAGCGAGCCGCGTTTCTGGGTATCTGCGAGGAACCTGGACAGTACGATTGAGCGAGATTGGTGAGGGAAAAGCTAACGAGTTGCGTACCATATTTGGGAGAGCTTGTCGACCGGAAGCTTGGATTTCATGAATACGTCACGAGCCTTGTCGCCTGGCGAATGGTCCGTTTACGGGACGATTTGGTATGCGCTGAGCACGTACCACTAAGGAGTCCATTGACGGGACCGCAGCTGACGAACAGTTTCATAAACTTTGCCTTGTCTTGGGGTGTCAATGGCGGAGGTACGTTGACCGTCTTCGGTGCAGGCGATCGTGGGGTTGCGCTCCCAGTACCTTGCTGGACGACAGGGGATGCGATGCCTTCAAGCCTCGGCAAAGGGCCAGCTGGTTCACGAGCATTCAGTAAATGCATGCTGGCCAGCGCTTGTGCCAGCGAACCGACGTACGCTTGCTGATCAGGCTCTCGCTCAACGGCTCGCCCTTCTGCGCCCAGCCCATGAGGCGCACGACGATCGCGACCTGCTTGCGCGTGAGGAAGCCCTTGTTGTCCCTGTCGGCGAGCCCCCATATCTCGCCGAGGAGGGTCGGCGAGAGCTGGGAGCCGCTGAAGGCGTCCACGGCGGCATCGCCGGTGATGATGCCCAGCTTCTGGGGGTCGGCGCGGGCGAAGATGGCGTTGACGAGCGCGAGCTCGCCCGCCGTCGGCGAAAAGCTGCTGGACATCGAGCGTCCGCGAATAAGGTAAAGTGGGGGAATAGAAGGAAGGGAGTGCAGGGAAGTCCCGCGTGGGTGATGCGCAGGCCCCGTTTACGCGTCATCTGAATATCATGCAACCCTCCCCCGCTTAGATGAACCCTTACCGGTTTCCAAGTGGAAGAGTATGATACCCTCGTGTCTCGCGGTTTGTCTGGCGGATCTCATTCATACCGTCGTTGGACCGCATTGTACGAAATTCAAGCGCCTGTGAATCGCCTTGCACTCACGTAACCGGTGGGCGGTGGCCCGGACGCGGAATCTCGCGGAAGCCAGGCGGTACAGCCACATACATACATCACGTGATGACTGTTCAAACCCTGCGCGAAGGACGCGTTTCGTGTTTCCCTTGTACTCGTTACCCCCTCGCCCGCTTTCCTGTCCGTATACACGTTCGATAAGCAGCGTCATGGACCAGATTACGTCGCCGCTTGCACCACCGCGCTCTGCCAGCGGCAAAAGCTCTCTCTCCGGGGCGGCGAATGAGGGTCCTCAGAATGTGACGAAGCGGTGCGCTTGGGTCGCGGCAAGTTCGCGAGCGGTTTTGGCTAACGCCCGAGAAACAGGCTCAGTAACGAGCTCATGGCTCTGATGATGTCGTCCTCGCCGGGAATCGTGAGTTGTCGTGCGCTTGCATCGCCGACACGCATTCATACCGAATTGCTCTTACAGTCTGCTTTCCCGAAGTCGGACGCGAACCTCTTCGAATGGGCGGGGACCATTGAGGGAGCACCAGGAACAGTGAGTACCGTCGGGACATGATTAACATGCATAGGACATAGTTCTAATCAAGCTCCGCAGATATATTCCGGTTTGACCTTCAAAATCTCAATACTGTTCCCTCCGAATTATCCGTATGTCGCGCCGACGATCAAGTTCGACACGCCGTGTTATCACCCGAACGTGGACATCACCGGTGGTGCAATCTGCTTGGACATTTTGCAGGTACGGACTCCGTGCGTTCCCTGTGGAGCTGGTAAAAATGACCCTCGTGCGCCCGTCTAGGACAAATGGTCCGCCGTGTATAGCGTGCAGACGATCTTACTCTCCCTGCAGTCGCTGCTCGGAGGTTCGCACATGCCCATAGTACCGACTCGACGGCAAGGCTGACGTGCGCCCTAAACAGAACCGAACAACGCCTCCCCGCTGAACCCGGACGCGGCGTAAGTCGTTTTTTCTCCGTATTTATGCTTCGTTTAAAAAAAAACTGGTCATTAACCACCTCGTCGTCCGCTCTCCAGACAGCTCTGGGACGACCCTGAACGTGCGTCCGGTTTTTTCCCCCAACCTCTCGTCGTTAACCCATTGATGCGCCCTGTTCTGCAGAGTACAAGGTGCAGCTCATGAAGTTCTACCGCCCCATCGGCGACTCGTCCTGAACGCAGCTTCTCTTCGCACCACGTCGTGATCCGTTGTCGCCGCCTCGCTGTCCCCTCCGAGTCCTTTTATGTTTTCTCATGTTGTATCTCTCATGTTCGTAAGGTATAATGTATACATTCCAACACGTTTTTGCCATAGCCATCAATCATCCCAGCCTATGGAGGACTCAGAATCTGCGTCGATTGCTGCAGTGATCTCGCCGAACTCGCTGCTTCATGAGACTGGTACGATGCTGATGATAGATACGTGAGTTCTATGGGCATTTCTTCTGGCACAAACGTATCCGAGGCACAACCTCCCTTTTCGCTTCGCGTTTGCCCTCTACGACCCCCTCATCACATTTCACCGGATCCGTAAGCTGGACGTTTATCCACCGCTATGGTGATATTCGACCCTGCAGCTGCGCGAAGTTCCCGCAGCACCTTCGGGGGAAGTGAACGTTCACCAGTACCAGTGAACACCACCTCCAGCGTAGTTTTCGATGCCCTATAACGCCGTAGGAGCTTTCGCCAGATGACAATGGAGTCGGCATGCATCTTGTCACCCTCCAGGTCCATACAGATCCTTCGCAACTTGGGAAGCAGTCCCTCCGGGTTTCCGACCTCCTCGATCTTTTTCATTGATAGCATGAGGATCGGAAAGCACGTTATGTGTAGCTCCGATGCCGCCTTGGAATGAGCGAGGACGTCCGACAGGATCGATTCGTGAGAGACATCACCCATCACGCTGAGGCGGAGGACTTGGAGATGGGCGAGTCGCATGCCGAAGACGGCGTCACGAACGTAACTCCATTTCGTCTCCATGGAGAGAAACAAAGATGGTTTTTCTGATTCACTGCCCCAGGAACTGACTGACTCATACGCATGGAGCGTACACGAAGTACACTCCCCAAGAAAGAGCATCCGGATAGGAGGACCATCATCCCGACATGTGCCGTGGCTCCGGAGCAGATTCGCCAACGGACTCAAGTCGTACGATGCGCCGTACTGGCAGGAGAAAGCCGAAGCAGCGGTGGACGGAACTGTGATCTGGTTTGTCCAGTGGGATATGTATGGTGCAGGGGCGGACAGTTCCATGAGCTCTAGTTGGTTCAAGATCGCAATGTATTTGGGCGCTTCGAGGGATCCGGATGTCGATGTGTATGCCGGTCTCGAATCCGCGTCAATTACGAGAGTCTGCAGACGAGGCATCGCATTTAGAGCGGTGACCTCGCCACGGGGAGGAGAATCCATGGGCAGGCGCCGTAGTTCAAGTCTCGTCAAGCCGCCGATAAGCGTGGGATGGCGGAGTACGCCCCAGCTAAAAGCAAGATCGCAGAATTCAAGGTGACGGAGACGAGGCACATACAAGTCCATGAAATTGTCCAAGAGCTGACACGAACTCGACCCCGATATCGAACACCGCCCGAGAAGCGGGACCGGACAGCATGACGTTGGTGATAGTGAAGGGACAAGCTATTCGTGCGATGAAGATGGCAAAGAGCTGAAACTCGGGCCGCATCGTGATACAGCCGGGTGATGGAAAGCGGCGCTTCCTTCGACCGCAACACAAATACCTGCGTCAGCTCTGGCGTGTCGCGAGGTAAGATGGTCCAAAGAGCAGGAGAGTGAAGTGCGATATCTCTCCAGCGGTGGCATACATCCATGAAGGTATGACTGTATGGGTAGAGATGATGCTTTGGAGATTTAAAGAAACGATCCGAGCCTGGATCGGGCAGGCAGTGGTAGAAAATCATCGATATAATTTCTTGGGGAAGATGAGATACGGACGCCAGCTGGTTGTACCATCCTGGCCGATCCGTAGCATCCTTATGACTTTGTTCAAAAGCTGGCGTTGCTAAGGAATAAACGGCACCCCTGGCAATCGAGGCTTCAGATTTGAATCTGTGGAGAGTTCAAATGTCAGAAAAGTGGGCGCGAAAAGGCGACGTAAGCTTAAGGGTGGTGCACATTTGGATCTCAGTTCATAAGTTTTTGTGCCAGGAAGAGCAGCTAGACCACAACGTTCGTGTACGCGTCGTATGCTCAACGTCAGCATAATCGCAAGCAGGCCTGTATAGCGCGTCCCCAGGCAGGGCGGAGCGGAGCAAATTTGAGTATACTCAAATGCAACAATCCCGGGAAGGTCCAAGGAGTCCGAGCTGTGAAAAGAAAGCACGTGACAAGATATCTCGAAGTACGTCGAGACAGCCACCTCCGCGATCCATCATCCGTCCGTCGTTGGCAACGGTGGCCGCTTCCGAATTCCTGGTTGCTCTGGTTCCACATTCGAGCCGCATATCACCCTCTGTCTGCTCGCAACAACCTCTTTCTTCCTGCATCAACCCCGAGGAGCCTTGTGTCGGTTGAACCGATCCTTTCACCCGACCTAGTAGACGCGCTCGCTGCTCGTGGTCGTTGTTCTCGCTCAATCCACTTTGCTTGCAAGTTCAAGAACAGAGTACGTGTCTTGAGTACCTCTATGTGTGCCAGCAGCTGACTCCGGTTCAGAACCTCAGCTGGTCTGCTGCCACTCATTAGAATTCTCCACGTTTCCTTCGCTGCGACGTAGACACTCAGCACCAGCAACCATCATCATGCCCCGCCGCCCGCCGCCCACCTCTCTCCGCCTCGTTGCCGGCCCGCTGCCACCTCGCAGCAAACCGCGGCATACGCTGCCCTCACTCCCGATGCCCGCGTTCTACCCCACCGCAGAAACCCGTCTGCGCGAGAAACCACGAGCCAGCCGCGACGCACCCGTCCTCGCCATCGACACCTCCGTACCTGCGGCATTGGCCTTTCCGGCCGGCGCGTCGCCCATCTCGGCCGACGACTCTCGTCTGCGCCACTCGCGCTCGTCGTCTTCGATATCCTCGACGAGCTCGACCCCGGCCTCTCCAGCCGCGAGACAGACACGTGCGATACGCGGACCCTGGGATCACTCGAGCAGCATCCCCTTCCAAGTGGACGTTGACGCGTTGTTGGCCGCGCCCGCCCCTGCAGCGCTAACTGTCGGCCCGACTCGCTGAGATACTTGCATTGTTGTAGCAATGGATTCAGTATTTTACCAGCATATACTCTGGGAAATCAAAGGAAGATTGTCATCCTTCATGGGGGTGCGAACTGGAATTATGGTCCGTTCGAGGGAGTGCCTCGACTGCTTCAGGGTGGGAATCGCGGCGAAGACCTCTCCATACCAAGTGGATTGTCACGCATTTCGGCGCTCGGCGCTCGCGACCGTTTCCAGTGTGGGATTGGCATGCTATGTTGCGCAGAGCCTGCATACCTCCCCACCTCATGACCAGAATGCGAGCACCAAGTCATCGATATCCGCGCAGGTCCACTCGAATAGCATAACAGCCGCACTGGTCGCTTCCGCAGTTGACGGTGAACGTGATAGGTAATAGGTTATTGAACAGATCCACATTAGCCGGATGTGAAGCGCAGCATATACTATGCAGATCATTCGTTGAAGTGAGTAGTTCATAGTCGTGTCCACATGCGAAGTCACTCTGCAGTAGGATCGTCTGGAAGCATCCTAACTAGGCAAGACACTAATACTAGGTGCCACATTCAAATTCAACCATGATAAGGGTCGCCGGGTATATACCATCACCCGCGTAAGCTCTGGACCTGATTGTTATGAAGCCGGCTTGAAAGCTCCGTGCCTTTTGAATAAACGTAGCACTGCATGCACGTTCGCCGTCCCGTTGTGCGCGGACGACCGGCAACATGCAGTAGATATCAACCCCTGCACCATGCATAAAAGGCTGAGCGAATGAGCAGGTCATCCATCACTTCAGAACGTTCATCCTGCTTACTGAACCGTGAACTCGGCTGGTGAGTTCGGCAACGTGACTTGATGCAACAGAAACAGCAGTGACCGACTGCTATAGCCTTACGAAATGATCGCGAAACTATCAATGCTCGCCTGCCTCGCCGCCCTCGTCGCGCCTGGTGCCCTCGCCGGCTCCGTCGAAATATCGCAGTTCGGCAGGCCAGGTTGCACCGGCCTCGCCTCGACGCTCATCTTTGAGTCGGACATCTGCATACACGTGCCCGCCACCGGGTCCATCGCTGTTTCGGAAATCATGGGCTGCACGCTCGCCGCATTCTCTGGAGCTGGATGCAGTGGAAGTTCCACAGGTGCGGTCGGGGAGGGGTGCTTCAGTAGCAACGGGTCGGAGCAGTCGATACAGATCACTTGCTGAGGAGGTCTTTGTCCCAGAGTGCAAGCAAACGTTAAAAAATGACATTAGTCGACGCCGCTATCAGACTAAGGCTTGAAATGTGACTCTCACCAAAGGGATAATATCAGAACAATACAGAGACGAGACAGTCACATTTTGGATCGTAGTCAAGCAACTATACGAGCACAAATTGAAAGGCAATGAATTGGCCAGACGGTTTTGTTGAGTCCGATAGCATCCAAAGCAGGATACAAAAAAACACGGTGTCAGAGCGAGAGCAAAAACGACGCGATTGGTGTGACGGGCGATTGGGTCAAATGAACGCGTCAGCGATGGCGGAGCATCAGAGTATCCAGCGACAACACTTACCAGTTACCTTCGTAGAAGCCGCAGCACACGAGTTTACACAAGTTTTCGCTTCTCTATGCCTCGCGAGCGCTTCTACAGTGCCCTTCCGATCTCAGCAACTATGCGGCCGGTGCAGTATTGAGGCCCGCGACGGAGCGCCAGCAATGTAAACCCGTGGCTCAGCACAAATACCGTAGCCGGCGACCAAAAAGGCAGTTATGGAAGTGTTCATGCCCAAGTTACCAAGCACTGGAGTACGACAAGCACACTAGATGGCAAACAGAACGCGACCGAGGGTTGTGCATAACCTGCTGCGGTACGCGCACGATGCTCTAGAGTTTCACCAATGATGGAAGAAACAGAATGAGCAGAGCAGAGTAATGGTCATATTTATACAGCTTAGCAGGCCTGTAGCGCATCTCAGGTAGGGCAGAGCGAGCAATAGTATTCAATACTATTCAATAGGTGAAACCGAGGGGAGCTGTGAGAAAGAGTGCACGTGATGTGATTTCTCGAAGTGCGTGACGCAGTCGCGTCCTCGTTAATCTTCGTCAATCCTCTTCCAGTTATTCCGCAACAAAGGAGTTAGGGGTCGTCCGATATCTATAAGACCAAGGTCAGTCCGCTCATTCGTATCCTCAGAGCCTTTGTTCTAACCACATTCGCTTGCCGCGACGCTCTCTACTCTCTATATCACGCGATGTCTTTCTCTCTCTTCATGGCCCAGCCCACCGCTGCCTTCGGCCGTCGCGTCCTTGGCTTCTGCGCCAGGGTACTTTCGGTTACAGCTTCTGTTACCAACGCTACAGAGGATGATGCCGATATTCTCGAGTCTTTTAGCTCCATCGGGTCCGACGAACATCATGTCGACCTGATCTCTATGGACGACGATGCACTGGCCACCCGACCCCGCACTCCTCTGTCGGCCATCGCCGCTCCAGAGAGTGTCACCGCCGGACCTAGCCGTCTGTCATACGTTGACGACGAGAAAGTTGTTGAAATGGTCAGTAATCCATTCACACATCATTCACGTTCACCGGATGTGCTTAACCACCTCTTGTAGCTCGCGAAGATGGCCGCTCACCGCGCTTCCCTGATCCCGATTCCTAAAGAAATCGGTGCATCCGAGAGTGTCGACACTGAATTTGGTCATCTGTTCCGGAACGCGGACGCGAGCACCGACGACGAAGATCATGTCTTCGAGCCCAACTACGTCTTCGATGGCGACTTCAACGCCCACAAGGCTTCAAGCCTCGAGCTCCCTGCAAAGCGCACTGCAGCCGGAGAGAAGGTATGCAAGGTCGTTACGATTGAGGCCATTGGGTATGTTCGCGTTCTTTCCGATCGTTCGTCGCTCATGCTTCCGAAACCAGCCTCCCGGCCCCGCACAGCGGCGGGTCGCCGATGTCTCCGTCCTCCACGGAGAAAACCATCGTGAAATCTGAATGTATGGATACACTCCTGGGCGCCAGCGCTTCCTTCAGTGCCGCCTGCGAGGACATCTCGGCTATCCACCATACTCTGTTCACGCCCTTTGCCGAAGTCGGCCAGTGGACCAATCCCGCTGCCGCCCTCCCAGAAAGCTGCTCATCTATCGCTCAGATCGCCATATCTGTCTCGTTTTCTGCCGAATTCGGCCAGTGGTCTACCCCCTCTGCCGTGCTTCCAGAGAACACGACCTCCGTCGACGACATCGTGGCGATCCATGCTTCGCTCTTCGCGTCTGCATCTACCCTTTCCGCTGAAGCCGGCCAATGGAACGACCCCGCTGCCGCGCTTACGGAGAGCTTCTCCTGCATCTCGCTGCTCCTTGTACCATCGCCAGGGTCGGCGGTCAAGCCGCCCGCGCCTTCCCCATTGGACCTTGTCTCGGCCCTGGTCGCGGCGAAGCCTACGCCTTACTCGCTTTCGCGATCCCGCTTGGTCCAACCGCGCGTCCCTGTCAAGCCTCAGTGGCCCCACTCGGACGTGCTCGCGACACCGCTCGCGCTCAAGAAGGAGACCCGTCCTCGGCCTAGCTCCCTGCCTGTTGATCGAGAGCCAAAGCTTCCCTCCCCGGCTCAGGCCAAGGCGGCGACTCCTCTTAGGACTCACCTCACCGCTCCCCGTCCTCCTCCTCTCGCCAAGGTGATCCTGCAGCGGAATGCTTCACGATCGCCAGCGACACATACTCCTCGGCCCTCTGTGCAGGCGGATAAGACACGCGCTGTGTCCGCGTCCCCTCGCAAGCTATCCTGCCCACCGGGCGAAAACGCCAAGTTCCAACAAACCTCGGTGCGGTCTCCCTCTCGTCGCTCGTCGATTGTCCCCGTCACGCCTTCGGCGCGCTCGGGCAAGACGCAGCTCAAGCACCCCCTGCAGTGGCGCTAGTGTGCTTCATGGAACGAACAAGGTGCCTCTGTCGTACGCCCTAGACTTTAGCAACATTTCCCATTGGCCCCCGGATTCCCTCAGTGCCTCTCGTGTCTCTTCCTTATAATGATCCGGATTATGTATGAAAAAGCAATGTAGCGTAGAACCAAAATCAACCAAAAATCGAAACAACGAACGCAAACATGACTGGAGCTGGCCGTACGAACAAGGTCTTGCTTCGTGGGGGAAACATAGCTCGCAAGAAACCCCTTGTTCGCAAAGTTCTCACTTGATGTGCACGTAGGGCCGGTTATGACCTTTGGTGCCACTATCAGGAAGGGCCGCTGTGAGGTAGATACAGACGTTCGCCATCGGGGCCCCTCGTTCGGAACATGTCGTCGTCGTCGTCGTCGTCGTGTTAGGGAGTAACAGAGGCTACCGAGGCGACGATATGGCCCGTTTGATATCCGGCCTTTTCTGCGCATCGTCGAACCGCCTGACAATGACCGAGCACTGCGTCGTCTTGCAGATGTGCTTCGCCTCCTTTTTGATCTCGTCGGAGAATAGCGTTAGTCCGGCGGCGCGCTCGACCGCTTCGACTGCATGATCCGTCATCAATGTTAAACGGGTCGCGAGCTTCGGCGAGAGAAACAAATTGCTGACCAGGCATGACGAAACTCTGTAAAGGCGCGGAATCTGGTATTTCGGCGTTGGGCAGGACAAATGCGCCCGTCGACACGTCCAGAACGTCCGGGGTCGCGGGAGAGGAGGGCTTAGTGGTGAGGACTACCTTGGCGAAGTGCGTGGGCACGGCGACGTTCGGTGGAGAGCCGATCACTTCGTGGTGCTTTCAAAAAATGGTCACTGTCAGATGTGGGTACGAACCTGAAAGAGCGACGAATGTTTACCACACGCCATTTGCCGTCCGGATCAAGTTTGGGGAGGTAAAGCGGTACGGTGAACACGTAGACGTCGGCGAACGATGTCGTCAGCCTACGACACCAGTCCTCTAGATATGCCCAATCTGACCGCAGTGTCAGAAAACAACGAGGGACATACGTCGAAGCGCAGCTTACAGTGCCTGTTGAAACCAGCGCCGACTTGCGGGGCGATGTTGGTGAGCAAGAAGGTTTCGTCCATAGCCTCTTGCGATATTTTAGCGTCTGCAGCAGGGACCCTGAATGAGATGCGCGGTGGTGAGCGTGTTGTGTGGTTGAAACGGATTGGGGCTCGGGACTGACATATGACCCCGGTCGTAGCCGCTCCTGAAGTAATCCGAGAGTTTCGCGCGGAAAGCGCTGGGTATTGACTCGTCCTCCTTGAATACAGATCGCGAGCGGTCTCCTGTTTCCGAGTCCGCGATTGGCCCGTCCACGAGGGACTTGCCTAGGGACGCTAAGGTAAGATGCTCAGCAGTCTGAAAAGTCGATAAACGTCAGTGAAGTTCGGTTGGCCATGAAGGCGAGTAGGAATCCATACCCATGCCGGATGCCGGAGTCTTCTGTCATACGCAGCAACGTACGCTTTGCGTATGAGCTGGTCGGATATGGGGCCTACATAATATAGCATCAATTCCTCATATCTTCCGGGAATGTAAATGTAGAAGCGTACCTGGGTTCCCGTACTTCAAGACGGGCTCTAGGATACCAGCAGCGGCCCCTGCGTTCAAGATCTTCGCGCTACCTGTAGGTCCAACGCTCACCACAGGTGGCGTTATGGCGACCGTTTTCGCGCCCATGGTAGGCGCAGGTACGGTCTGTGCTGCATTGGAGGAAGAAGGCAGACTCGTGTCGCGCCGCTTGCTACTGGTGACGGCGGCAGCGACGCCTCCGCCAACAACTGCGCCGACAGCAAAGAACGCGGCATGGATGATGCTTGTGCTGGGCATGGACGTGAGGTTTGGTAAAAGGACGGCTGCAGAAATCTTGGACCCGCGGAAGACCTGCCGGAGACGGAAGAAAGCGCGGCGCGGTCACATGTTTCGTCCTCTTGTCCTCCGACCGTCCGATGTGGAAACGAGCTTCACTGCGTATTGGCCTCCAATGTCAGAAGGTGCAACTCATAGCGCTACGGCCAGCACCCTTATTTCTGCTTTCTATTCGATAATCCCCCCCCCTCCCCCCCTTGATGGCGCAACTTAGACACCTTACCTTCTGAATCCCAGGGCTGTCTCTGGGTTTTACACGCACGATAGACTTCCGACAGCCTACGGCCCTCGTTTATGATGCCATTGGCAAGTTGCGGATGTTTGAATCATGCACCACGTCCATCTACCTCTAATCATATCCTAAGGACAAATCTGAGTTGTGACCGACGATGGCTGAACAGCTCGTCACCCATACGGAGGCTGCCTCAAGGTTTTGAACACGAGGTGCACCTTTACTGTTAGCGATTACGGTTCTCGCCAATCAGGTGAGTAAAACCGGTCGCAATGAGGGACAACGCAGGCGACAAATGCTTCCGTCGTCGATTGCATCGACAGCAACAAATCGTTGGCTGCCGGTCGAGTCCAGTCATATTTTTCTCGTTGCTCCTCGAGCAGATGCACATGCGAGATCGTCTGGGTAGTACATCGTAGAGATCGATACGTTAGATGGACGATTTGTTTGGATGAATTCATGAAACGCCTCGTGGAGTGACTGTGTATGTAATCCTCGATAACAGGGTCACTGGCAAGAAGGGACCGCCTTGATTCAAATTGAGGCAACGTTGTCAGTCCACCTTTCCCATATTCTCTGCACGTCTCTTGTCTGCTCTCTGTTACGAACGACCCGCATTGTAGATCTCAGGACATCATGACTAGTTCCCCCACCCCTGACATCTCGTCCCTGTCCATCTCTTCGCCTCCGCAGCAACGCCCTTACGACAGTTACGACTATGAAGGGTCCACCAACGGCAAGCCTCAGCAGCAGCAACAGCACTACTTCGCGCCAAGCCACGGCCTCTCCGCGCCCGCCCAGTCGCCGTACGGAAACTTTGGTCAGTCGCCGCTGAAGAACCGGCCACCCGTGCGGGGAGGCTTGCCCAACGTAAGTCGCGCTTGATTCCCCGGACGACCCCGATGGCGCTGAGACGTTTCGCGCTGCCCATCAGTCGTGGATGGCCGACGCAGGCGGGATGGCGGACCAGCGCTCGCTGTCGCCGCACAACAGCTCTGACCTGTCCTCGAGCGGGTCGCCCCCGCCTATGGGGCACATGATGGCACCGCCTGGCATCTCCACCCCTCCGGTGGGCGGTATCGGCGACGACGAGATCATACCAACTGCGATCGTCATCAAGAACATTCCCTTCAACGTGAAAAAGGAGACTCTCCTCGATATCATCGTGAGTTGTGCCCGTCGCTAGTCGCGCGTGGGCTGCAGGTCTTAACTCACGTCCCACCAGACATCGTTGTCTATTCCTACTCCTTACGCCTTCAACTATCACCTGGACCAATCTGGAGCCTTCCGCGGCCTTGCTTTCGCTAACTTCCGCCAGCCGGCCGACGCCGACGCGGTCGTCGTCGCGCTCAACGGATTCGACGTTCAGGGTCGCAAGCTGCGCGTCGAGTACAAAAAGGTGCTGCAGGCCGGCGAGAAGGAGCGTATCGAGCGTGAAAAGGCGCTCCGCCGGATGCGGTCCATGCAACTCGAGAAGGAGCACATTTCGGTGCAGTCGCCGTACGAGGACTACGGTTCCCCGCCAGTCCCGCCCGCCTTCACGCCCTCCAGGTCGTTCTCCGGCGTGCCTTTCCAAGGCCAGCAGCAGTACTCGCCTCCGCGCGTGCCGCCGATGCCCAACCTCCAGCAGCAGTATAGCGGCCTGATGGGCACGCCTCCTCTTCCTGCCGGCACCCCCGGCGGTTCGGCCAAGACCAGCTCGTCGAACGAGTTGGATCTGAACGACCCCGCGACGCTCGAGATTTACTCTCGCATCTTGCTCTTCAAGGACGACCCCATGCGCGACGAGCTGGCTTTCTCGAGGACGCTGTCCGCCAAACAGAGGAGGGTGGTCCACCTCGTCGCCCAGAAGCTTGGCGTCTACCACTACTCGGTAGGTGAAGGCGAAGAGAGGTACGCAGTCGTTACCCGCATCAACCCTGAGCTGGTACGTGTCCTCCTTCTTCGCCAGTGGCTCCACCGTTTGCTCATCACCGGCTCCTGCATCAGAACCGACCCGCTCCTGCGCTCTCCCGCGCGCCGTCCGCGTACCACCTCCAGCAGGCCGCGCAGCAAGCGCCGGCGCTCCGCGCCAAGAAGTCCATGCCCGACATCTCATCCTTCCGCACGCAGGCGCCGCGGCTCAATACCCGCATGTCGAACGGCAACATGCGCGAGGGCTACGCGACGATCGCCTCTCCCGCGCGCCGCAGCAACACCGGCACGCTCAACACGCTCTTCAACAACGGCGCGTTCGGCGGTGGGGGCGGTGCTGTGCCACCCGTGCCGACGCTCCCAGCCAGCGTCGCCGCCGTCGGCGCGCAGACTCCGACGGCTGAGAGCCCGAGCAGCACTGTCGTGCGGCAGCCCAAGGGCCCTGGCGCGGCGGGTTTCATGAACAGGCGCCCGAGCGAGCAGCGTGTCCACGGCGAGGGCCTTGACGCGCGCACCCATGAGCCGCTCGAGATCTGATGAACAGACAGGACGAACAAACAGTGAGTTATCGAGCCTCCCAGAGCTGGTCTCCGCATCGGTCCCAGTTCGGCATTGGAGGAGGGGCCGGCATTCGGAACGGTTCGCTTCTACCATCGTGCATCATCTCACGCCCTACACATCGTTCTATTGTGCTTTGAACCTTTCTCTTCTCTTGCCACCAGTGAATTTTGGATTGCTCGAAGTCTCCATCCGCCCATTTCCGTGCGCTTCTCACTTAAGTAAACAACTAACTCTCGTTTCCACTAACTGCTTCAATCCTCGTCAATCATCTCTCTCTACGCTTTTTGTCATTAATGCGCCGCTTCGTTGCACTACACAAAAGATATCTCATATCTCTCTCATCCACTCACGTTAGGCCCGGCGATGGACCTTCGCTATTGGTCCATAGTATATATGCCTCTCCTCGCGAGTTTTTCTCCACTACGTTAGCTTGATCTTGTAAGGATTAGTAGACTGTAGTCTCACAGAGCATCTGGAATCAATCGAGTGCGGTATATCATTTCGAGAAATCGCGCCCTTGACGGGCGGTCGATGGGGTTGTATCCTTGTGGATGTGTATGAACCATTCAGAGCATTGACGACTTCTTGTTTGTTTGTATGTAACCAGCTGACTGTCGTTGAGGAATGATGAAAGCAGTAGTATTATTGCACAAGTATACGGTAACCTAGAAGTCAGAAAGCATATCCTTGACGCCATCCCAGTACTCCTTCTGCACGCGATCCGCAATTTCTTCTTTCGTCAGCCATGCGAAGTCTGAAATACTCGTGCTGTCAGTAACAGCCTGGCCGGCGAAGATGTGAGCCTTGTAGAAGAAGGTATATTCCTGATATGATGTCAGATGTGCAGTTCGTACGAGGGTATCTATGTTCGAACCTTGGAAGCACTCTCGGATGGTGAAGATGCGGGTTCATACACCCCTATAGGGTTGCGGCTGACGATCCACGAGTCCATCTTCGAGCCGCATTCTTGATACAAACCCCGTTCTGCAGCCTGGAGACAGTTGTAAGGACCTTGATGAAAGGGTGGCACATATAGGGTACTTGCCTGGTGCAGCAGCTCGCCCTTCTCTATCCTCCTTTGGGGGAACACCCAGTTGTGTCGCTCTTGCTCCTTCTTCAGCAGCAGAAGGTAGAGGTTGCGCTGGCCGGCACGATCCAGGCTCTTCGTGTCCTTCTTGTAGTCCGCCCGATTCTTCCTCCCCGCCTCCTGCACCTCTTCTTCAAACTCCTTCGTCATTTCCACTGCGCTCGCCTCCTTGGCCGCGTCGCTCTCTTCTCCGGCCCTGTGTTTGCCGTATCCCTTCCCAAACGCCCGCTCCTCGCGTTCGCGCTCCTCCATGTTGAACTTGGCCTCGAGCGGCGAGCCCTGCTTGAAGTAAAACTCGGACGGGAAGGGGTTGTGCAGCGCGCGCTGGATGCGCTGCTGGTAGGCATAGTAGGCGCGCTCGAATGTCGTCGGCGAGCGGGTGATAATCGGCGAGCGGTTCACGATGACGGCGGCGTTGATGAGCGGGCGCGGGTTGCGTTTCCGGGTCGCGTCGTCCGGGGGGTTAGCGGACGGTCGGGAGTGGACGGCCTGCGTGTTTTCGACCACCGTCGCGAACGAACGCGACAGACAGGACGCTGCAGCTGGCCTATGAGTTCTCGTCGGAATGTGAGCAGACACGTTGAGCTCACCGGCGGCGCGCCTCCGACATGAGTGGACAGCAGGAATCATCGCGGGTCGCAAAGTCTGAAAGAGGAAATTCGCGCCTTCGCACTGGGCGCTATTTTCAGGCGCATCTGCTTCACCTTCCCAACTGATTTGGGCCATCCTAACGTTCCCTAATGATCACCTCCTCGCGCCCGTAGTCCCGAAGACAATCAATTGTATAACCAAAACTCATAACCTATATCCTCAGTCAGTCTCGGAATGGCCGACGCAGACACCACCCGTCTATGCACTCAGATTGTCCACTCACACTTCGGTCCACTCACTGCGGTGAGTAATGCACCGTTACTACCTGCAACTCTCTCTGTCTGACCTCAGGATAGAATGTAGCATCCACACTTCTCACTCGGGGACGCCTCCCTCTGTCTACTATAATCCGATACACTGGCCTCAAGCCGCGCACCGTGCGCGCGTCCGTTCTCGTCCTAGTTCAACATAATATCCTCTGGCATACGGTGTCTGAGGACGGGAACGAAGTGTTTGAGGTCAACGTGGACGACTGTCTGGCGCGTCTGCGGTTCGGAAGATACGTGCAGCAGGCGGAAGAGCTGCTTGGGAAGGCGGTATGTGGTAACACGCTCAAGGAACTTGACGTTGGGCAAACTTACCACAATCTAGGCAAGGGACATTGTTCAGATTATACTAGACCATGGCAAACTTCGTCAAGCGGAGGTGCTCGCGTATCTCGCCCAGTACGATACGAAGGGTGCGACGTCTTAGATCTTGCGAAGGCAGTCATCCTGACCTTCTTTGTAGCGCAGTCTCGATACTCTCAGGCTATGCATAATCTTGTCTCGTCCTCATACTTGAAGGCGTCTACTGTGCTCTCACACGTCAGCCCGAGGGACAAACGTATCAAGTACGAGGCGGAGGAGAAGGCCAAAATTACGGGCTTCCCTACCGCGAAGCAACTACGTGAGGCCAAGGAACTTGCCGAGGCTCGTCTAAAGCGGGAACGAGACGAAGCGGAGAAGATCGGTTTGGTGAGTGAAACTTGTTATGATAGAGACGAGGGTGACAGTATAACTCGATAGATACTAGAAACGCGTGACCAAAGAGACCGGATATAAGTCTTCAAAAGTGAGTCGGAGATCTACACTACAGAATAGCATGTCGTGCTGATTCGTAATTCTCAGCGAAAAGCAGTGACCGAAGAAGACGTGGTGGATGTATGTATGGTGTTCATATGCACTCTCCGCCTTCTAACTGTCGTGTCTAGGATGATGTCTACTTCCGCGTCAACTGCGAACGGTTCAACGTTCACATCCGGAACAAGGTATGCGTTCGCCCAGTGAGGTTCTACTGAACGTAGCTGAGTGGTCATCCCTAGCTCATAGAGTCAGCTGTTCTTGAACGCTTCAATCAGTCGGCGGCGGCTGTCATCCGTGCCACACTGAAGACTACGGAAGCAAAACAAATGAGCGTCTCGGACGTACGATCAGGTAGGACTACCGTACCCCCTATCTGTTGGTCATGTACTGAATCTGCATGGAGATCCAACCTCGGTGGCCAACATCTCGCAATGTCTAGCCGACGACGATGATCTCGAGTCGGGGCTCGTACTCAACACCTCCAAAACACCATCCTCGATTGCGCTCATAAAACATTACATCGGCGTATTGTCTGCGGCGGACAACCCGACGCCCGCCGGAAAGGCGTCGTCGTTCGTGTCGATGACGAACTCGAAGGTTCAGGTCGAGTTCGAGATCATCGCGAGGAGGTTAAGGAGACGAATCCTGGAGAACGTGACGAGGGAGCGGCACGGGGACGAGGGTGTGCGGATATTGAGGCTGTTGATGGATACGGGGAAGATGGATGAGAAGCAGGTCGGATTGGTCGGATTTTCACCCGTATTCGCAGTGAGCTCATGCAAGGATTGCACGCGTAGGTTGGAAAGATTGCGATGATGGCTCCGAAGGATGTTCGACCATTGCTTTCGGCGATGGCCACCGACTCCATCATCACGATACAAGAGGTGCCGCGGAGTGCCGATAGAAATCCTACGAGGACATTCTATCTGTGGTACGCCTTGCGCAAGGGATCAAGCGTTATCCTCGTCTGATTAACGCGTTTCCATAGGTTTGTCGATGTTGACAAAGCGTACTCCAACCTTATCCGCAGCTTGTACAAGACGTTGTACAACATCAGTCGCCGTCGACGTGCGGAGGAGGAAGAGCCATCCATCAAGGTGCTTTTGGAGAAGCGCGAGCGCACCGACGTCAGCTTGGACGAGAGCCTCCTCACCAGGATGGAACGCGAGACACTGGCGGACTGGGAGAGTAAGAGGGAGAAGCTGACGGTCCTTGAATCAAGGGTGGAGGAAGCTGTTTTTGTATTGAAGGACCTGGCCGTGTTATCACAAGATGATGATTGATTCCCCGAGTCAGGCTGACATTATCGAGGTTTGCTATCGACTTCGACAATGGTGCAACAACTGCCAGTGCTTGCAGGGATTGATGGGCACAATTTGGTCGCGACAATCTCCAAGCCTCAGGAATCTCTCATCGTTGGAGTTTCTATCGTAATTGTTCGATTCATTACTCATCCCTATGAGAGACTTGAGCGGACTGCGAGTGCAAGAGCAAGGATCAACGCGAGGTGTCACATATTATATGTCATATGTCACATTTGTCACCGAACGCGTTTCCGCGCGTACCATGCACGAGTAGCGCTCTGACCCCCCGGCCAAGACGCCGATATAAACTCCCCAAGGATAGGACGAATGGATCGGGCTGATCAACCATCGAGGGCAGCCCGCGCGCGCGATTTCATGGGCTGCATGAACTCCCGTTACGTGAAAGGACACACTTCAAGATCGACCTGTCCGGGCACGGGAATGGAGCTCACCGTCAGTCATGATTCAACGTGAGGATTCAAAAACTCTCCACAGAGCGTCTCGGAATTTCGGCACGCATTCTAAAACAACGTATCCGGAGAAGATTGTGCTACTGTATATCATTGACATACCGTTCCAGAATGCAAATTGCTCGATCTTTACGTATGGAAAGGCACAATTTTCCCCCCCTTTTCGTAACCTTGAGCTTCGCCCGGCCTTTCAAGCCGTCGTCATCGCATTTTCAGCGCCGGCGGGAGACTATAGTCATAGATTGGCGCCCGCGATCTCCTTCGCGGTCAGGTTTGACGCCGGGCGATTGAATGATCTTCACGTCAAATATCTGAACCGGAACGCGCAATGGACGTAGGCATGGATGAAGAAAAGCTATAGTACGGGTATTACTAGGTCGAGAAGATATAAAGGTCGACGATTGATGCGGATGAAAACGACCTCCCCGAAAGCGCTACTATTGCATGGCCTATCAGTCGCGAACTCATAGAAAAACACTGCGCAACAGAAAATTCGAGTGTACAAAACATGCGAGAGCAAGACGACTTTTCTATCTGCGGTGCGCGCGGAAACGCTGACAAGCTGAAGGTGGGCGATGTACTCAACGGTGATGATAGGAGGTAATAGGCGACGAAGCTGAGGTGTTGGTCGAGGCAGAGATCGACTCGGTACGCTGGGGCCGTGGACGCCGAGATCTGGGCTCGGTCGTCTTCTGAGCCGCGGCGCGGGTCGGGGAGCCATTGTGGGCGTTAGCCGACGTCCCGACGGTGCCGTTCGACGACGGCGGGAGGGGGACGGAGGGACGCGGAAGTCGTATTTTCAGAGAGGGGATCGTTTGCGTTTGCGGCTCTGTCTTGATCACCGGGGAGGTGACGATGGCGGGTTTCGACGCTCTGGCTGATTTGCTTCCGGTACCGTTGGACGATGCAGTGGCGGGTGAGGCGATGGCGGGTTCCGGAGGTCTCTTTTCTACCTGGGGCGTCGCAGACGCTTTGGCCCTCGCGGTACCTACAGACCTGCGCGGCCGTCCCACGGGCGCTGGCATAGACTCTGAAGTCGGGGTCGGGGGAACGGGAGTATTAGGTGTTCCAGTTTCCCGCGTGGATCTGCGTATGCGACGGGACAAAGTTGAAACTGGGGTGGCGCTGGCGGAAGGAGTCTAGGGACCATGTCAGCGATCGCCTACTCGCGTTTGTTCGTGTATATACCTCTAAATGACCGTTCGCCTTCTTGGATGATCTCGTATTCACCGGATGCTCGGATATCACCTGAACGGGTTCCGGTGCAGTTGCCGGAGTTGTGCGCCGTTCATCGCTGGTTTGTGCCGCCTCGTTGTGCATTGGTTGATCTCTGTGCGATGCCATGGAATGAGGCTTGTGTGACGCTGTCTGCTTTGGAGCCGACGCGATTCGCAAAGCGCAAAGCATCTTGCCATAGTCATCAGTATCCGAGCGATGCTTGCGCTGCCTGAACCAGTCGGGACGCACCTGCGCGGCCAGTATGTCTTCCATGGAGAACGACCGAGGGCGACTTTTCGGCTGTCTCTCAGGGCTTGACATACGCGTTTCCGCCTCGTCGTCAGAGCTCAGAGACGTGAGAGACGAGACGGTCGACATGGCATCCAGATCCCTATCATGCTGGTCAGATCATTGATAGGAATAGCTTCAGTTCGGATGACTCACCGCGGCGCTTCGTGAACGTCCTCCCGCTCCTGGGTGAGCCTTCCCCAGAAGTCTAACAAGATGACTCTTTCGGGCACCCTATAACGCCGACCATTAACCATTATGTCCTCGACAGGAACCTTGGGCAACGGAGGGCGTGGCGCCTCCGAAAGGGTGACTTCGATGTTCCCGTTGTTGAACTGTTTTGGCTTTGTGACTTCCACGACCGGATTGTTGTGTTTCGGCACTCGACGAGAAGGGCGCTTGAAGGCGATTTAACGGGGGTAGGAGATATAGGCAATATATTACTCACGACAACTTGCTCGGAATGATTGGGGCACATCCACTTCTTGCTGTAGGATGGCATGGTGGCGAGAGGGGGGTCGAGGCAGTCAAGATGCCAATGAAGGTTACAGTAGTCACAAGAGACTATCGCGCGCCATTTGTCCAGGTTGTTCAACTTCGTGGACGAACGGCGAGGTCGTTTGGAGGAGGAGGAGCTTATAGAGGAACCAACGGGGAGAGCGGAAAGGCCGCATTGGAAGCAGAGGACCGGAGTGCCATTCCTGTCTTTTAATCGGAAGGGTTCGCGCTCGTCGAGCTGCCCTAGACGGCTAGATAGAGATCAATATCGGTACTTGAAACCTCTGAGCATCACGTACTTGAGGCGTGGCTGTTTGACCTCCGAGTTGTCAACATAGTTCCCTTGTGGCCCTGTGGCAACTAGACGGCCGGTCAATATGTGCACAGCGTCGGAACTGTGCTCGCTCACCGTCCTTGAAGAATGTACGGATATCTTCCGGCAGTTGGTACTCGGTTGGAATCGAGCTCTGTACTTGGGACACCAACGTCGAGATGAAACCAGCATGATGACCGCGCTGAGGGAGCGGCTGTACGATGGTCAGGGATTGTTACGGCGGTGAACGCGTCTCAGACTGACCTGGGAAGGAGCACATCCAGGACAAAACCATCGGGCGTCGCCCTCGGGGAGATCCTTGGGTTCTAGTGGAGGATTGAGACACCACAGATGGAATGCACGGGGACACCCGTCGCAGTATATCAAGGCGCCTGTTGAGCGACAAGCCGAGCAGTGATCCTCGTTATCCTTCATAAAACAGGCGATCAAGAACATACGCGCGATTCCAGCGATCGCTTCAAACTCACCTGGCGCGGAGACGTGGGGTTTATTGGGATGGGCGCGCTAAGACTGACAGAAACATCCTCCTCTTTGACCCTGAACGCTGGTGCGGCGCTGGTTTTTTCCTTCCCCTTCCCCTTATCCCTCCTCGAACTCCGCGTCGTCCGCCCGCTGACGCTTGCACCTGCTGTGGCTTCGGTGTCCCCGTTATGATTATGAGCGGCAGCGGACCTTGTGGAACGTGGCGGGTCGGATTCGGGTGGCGTCGGGAGCACCACGTCACTGGCGGGAGCGAAGGACGCTGATGCTTGAGGCTCTTCGGGCTCAGCGGGCGGCTGGAGCGCGGACGCAGCTGTCGATCGTGCAGAGGCACGTTGTTGTCGGAGTGAAAGCCTGAACGGGGGGGAGACCAGTCACAGGCACGAGGGAGAAATGAGCGCAGGGTCAAGGTGCACCCAAGGAAAAGAGGATGGAACGGCATGCACGCACACGAAGGACGTTCATAAGACTCGTCAGTGGCTTTCCTATACGCGTAGGGGGACGGGGACTCACGCCTTGTCGATCCGCGCCCGCTTGCGGCGGGGGCCATCTGGTTCGGGGGCAGCGACGGGCATCACAGGCGCGGGGTAAGCGTAACCCGTATATGTGGTTCCAGGATCGCTCGTCGGAAGATAGGAGAGGACCGACGAAGGTTTTCGCGGGTCCCTCTTGTGCAGAGCCTGTTGCATAGATGTGGCAGAGGGCGGGCCAGGGAGGATCTCCGTCGCAAGGGTCGGGTCGCCCTCGAGGTGGGGCGGTTGTGTCACTGGCACACCAGGCAACATATACGCGGGCACATTCGCGGTAACGGAAGCCATTTTTGCGCTCTCGAGCCGGGAGATGGCAAAGGAATGACTGGTAGACGAAGAGAGCGAGCGAAGGTCTCGGCGACCCGCTGTTGCGCGCGGCGGTACAGAGACAAACTGCCCACTCGCATGCAGGACAAAATGCTACACCGTATCCTTACAGCCTGCAATCTACACGCACGACAACCACGGTCCTCTACGTCGAATATATAGTCAAACAGTCGGTTACATCGGAGCTACGATCCTGGGAGAGCGTGTCACAGACGTATTCTCTGCATCGTTCAACGACCCCTGCCCTGCAAACTCGCCGACGATAAGCGATTGCATTGCATGACAGCCAATATATACTTACAATTTCCTGTCCTGTTGCAGGGCAGACTCTGTATTCACCAAGAAAATACGGGGAACGCGCGCAGTTGCGATGGAGGTAACTCGGTGGCAGACTTCCCATTGGCCCAGGGCTCCTCGTCTCCAGCGTAAAGGGCAATTCCGATGATCTGTAGTTTATAGAACTCAGCAAATACGTTTGATAGACGGACTTCGTTGGATGTGATTTGGGTAGTTCCTGTCGTCGCCCAACACAAGGTTCCCAGATCGCGAAAGAGAGCTGCCATTGCAGCGTCCAATCATGACCTGACCTTTGGTCAAGCCCCACCGGGCTTACGGCCCACAACCCAAGAGTGCTAGCGAAGACACTTCGCAGAGTCCTTAAGCGCACTGTCTCTAAATCGATGCGCAGCGTTAACGCAATGCATCGCTATGCAAGGGACAAATGACAGGAACCAAGCGCACCTCTTGGGTACCACTGACCCCGATTGGCGTCGACGACCTGCAGCACCTCACTCAGAATCTGTAACGGTAGGTTGCGGATTTGGAGTCTTAAGGCATTCAGTCAGGCTGGCGGTCGTCGAACATGTAGCCCCGGCGGGCGATATATAGTTGAGGATCGAAGCTTTGTGTAGTTTAACCGCAGTAAGCTCGCGTCGTGCTAAAGCGAGAATATGACAGGTCTCGGTATGACCGCATGATTGGCCTTCTGGAACATGAGTGGGGTCCAACTTGTGTCATCAGTGTCCCGAGCGATGGAAACCACCGCTATCCCAACGCGTGTCCGCTGGCGAGTTCTTCGAGTCAACCAGTCAACCAGGCGAGAGATCAAAGAGCGAGAGGCCCATGGGCTGCCTCGTTCCCGAGCTTGTTGTACAAACCGAGAGGAAGACCACCGCGACGCCAGCACCGACCTGCAGTGGTTCGCATCAACTTGTCCAAGGTCTGTCGCAATGACTCTGACTCTTGAGTCGCATTGCCGTATCGGAATCACGTGAGTAGATATCCTTCGAGTTTCGGACCTATAGCTTTTCTGGCGCAAACCCCGAAGCTCCGCGCACTACATAGGAAGCTATCATCTGTACCTAAACGGTCTGCACATCTGCGTTGCTCCTGAGTCGGACCAACCTGAATGTACATCGAACTCGGGCCAGCGTCGGTGATTATATTGTAAGCACCAGTTGCGGCGATGAGGCGCCAGTACTAGAACAGTGGATCGGATACTTTTATGAATCTACGGGATGTGTTGGCTTGGGAGAAGGGGATGGGAAGTTGGGTTATATTGAACTATCCTCGGGAAGTGGAATTCAATGGATGATCCTTGTAATTGTAGTATGTAATGCATATTGAATCAAAGCTTGGTTAAAGCGCGCCGTCGAATAGAGAACAGCCAGTCGTGAATCCGAGCACCCAATTGTGTGCAGCCTGGATGCATGGACGACCACGAGTTACTCTGGATGTGGATCGCGGAATTCGGAGGACCAGCATAGAGCTGTTTGATAAGACAGCAACGATCTCGGCCCAGCACTGCATTTATGCTTCGGGTGCATCGAATAGTCCAAGGAGAACAACCATTGGCGGCGGCGTCGCGGAAAGATGGCGAAGAAGTCGCGTCGAAACACCCGGCGAACAATATGTTGCCGTCAGAGGCATGCGTTACATGTTCTGTCGCCTTGTGAATCGACGGTAGGGCGGTTTCAGCCAGGCAAAAGAGCTCTTCTGGAGTCATTCGCTCACCCATCGCACAGCCTGCCAGCGGTGTTGGTGAACGGACCGGTCACAGTGCTGTTGAATGACGCAAGCTAGTCGGGTAAATGAATGTATAGCGGGTATTTTGGACGCCACAGCATCATAAACAACCGGCGTTGGAACACGGTGAAGTCCAAACGCTCTAAGTATACGGATCCCACTAGGCTGCTTCGCAGATCATTGCACATGTAAAGTTGAAAACGGTATCATGGCAGTCGTTTCGAAGACTAATGCATTCGATAGCAGCTGTATCGCGCGAGATCTGAACGTCGCCTTGGTCACAGCCAGAGAGGCTGAGAGCGTAGAGGCTGTGGCTGCGCCATCGAATTCGCAGCGGTGGCACTCGCGGATGCCTTACCCCGTGGGCGCTCGCCCGGCCATGCGCTCTATAGATGGGCATGTCATAATCCGCTATCCTGAAGTTGTATCCTCTACTCGTACCGGGAGTCGACCATGCGCCCCTTGCCTCAAATACCAACCACGCCCGACAAGGCTGGCCCTTCCCGTCGGGCGGCAACTCCTGCGCACGCGCAGCCGGCTATAACATGTCCGTGTGTTTGTCGGTGGCGCATTCTGTAGAACGCCGGAGTTGACCTCTGGGTGCCGTTTGTAGCTGCACGGAAGGGCGAGGCGGCGCCGGGTTTGCAAGGTATCTTCAGTCCGATCGAGCGCCAGGACGTACTGGACTTGTGTCCTATCCACGAGAAGGCCAGTAGGCAAGCCGGCGAGATCAGCGGTACCCGGTCAGAGGAGAAGTTGACGCTTGCGACCACCTTGTATCCGGTCTGCACATCTTTCTGAGATCTGTTCTCACAACGCTTAGCTCCCGTTCGCAGAACCTGTACGATTATTTGTTAAGTTATGCCGGGAGCCATTCGGGAAACCTCTCAGACATCAGCTCTTCCTCCCCTCTCCGCGACCTCCGTTCCTTACTTCGGGATACGCCACCCAGCGACATCATAGGCAGCCTCATTCGAAGTTATGACCATCGTATTCGATTACATGAGGTGCGATCCATGCTGACGCAACCAGGCAAACACGTTACTCATATCTCAATTCAGGTTGCTAGCAATCTAGGTGTTGCTGAAGACGACTTCCGGGAAGCAGAGTGTCAGGATGAAGCCGCCATTCGAGGTCTATTCTCGAAGCTGGTTTCGTGTAGCCGATGCAAATCGCAATGCGCTTCGCTTCAGGGAGAGGATGCGCAGAAATTATTAGACCTGATTCACAACGTGAGCCTGAACTACCTTGTCTACGGATCACCTCAACTGATAGCACGTTTAGTTCTTGCTCTTCAAACCAGAAACGCGCGATCAATCAGATGACTCACCAGTGACACCGGCTGATGACCCCGATTCCTTCAAACAAGCGCTTCTGAGGCTCTCTGTCAGAATATCGAAGTCATCAGGCAAGCTTCCCATATCTATGGCCCTAGATGGAGTCACGCTCGAGAATCGAGAACCCATCAGGTGGGGTGGTTTCGCGGACGTATACCGGGGCAGATACCGGGACGAAGTGATTGCGCTCAAGCGCATGAGGATGTACCTCTCCTCGCGAGACAAGGAGCTGAAGGTTAGTTCGGTTCGCTGTCATTCGCTGAAGTAGCATTTTGCTCATCGCGTCGTATCGACAGGAATTTCTTCGGGAAGCGTTGCTCTGGAGGTACCTGAGTCATCCGCATGTCTTGCCCTTCTATGGTGTCGATGGGCGGACCTTTCCAGAGGCGATTGCTCTCGTATCGCCATGGATGCCCAACGGCAATATTATAGAATACCTTAATCGCCAGGAACCTTCCAGCACTCTCATCGAAAATCTGGTTCGTCCCATTGTTCATACATACCTCCGCGATTCGCTAACGCCCGGATGAAGCTGCGGCAAATCATCGCAGGCCTAGTATACCTCCATGATTCCGTTGACGTTGTCCATGGTGACCTGCGTGGGGTCAGTCTTTACACCTTCGCTTCAAAGTTTCCATAAGTGTAACTGGTCCTTGCAGCCCAATATCCTGATCGACTCCGATGGTCGTGCCCGCCTAGGAGACTTCGGTCTCGCCCTCCTGGCAGTAGAGACCAACACCAGAAATTCTTTTCCTTCCGGCACTGCAAGATACATGGCCCCGGAATTGCATGCTCCGGAGAAGTTTGGTCTGCCGCACTGTCGACCCACGAAACCTACGGATATCTACGCCCTGGCTTTTCTTGTTTTGGAGGTAGGTGTCTTTTGCGCCGCCACTCTGATCCATCTCTTAATGCATCATACATCCAGCTCTACACCTTACGGCCGCCGTTCGCAGACATGAAGGATACTGCGGTTGCCCTGCGCGTCATAGACGCCGACAGGCCTGCACGACCTACGAGGGAGGATTGCAGGGGGGTGGAGATCCCCGAAGCGCTGTGGACGACCGTTCAGGTCTGCTGGGAGCAAGACTTCTCCCGACGGCCGACCATAGCTCAGCTAGCTGCCGCGGGGACGCGATCTTGGGACCTCACCGAGCCCGCGCCACCGAGGCTCCCTGCGCATCTCGAGGTGGTGGCGCCGCTCTCCCCCCGACGCCCACCTCAGGGGAGTTCTGCCATAGTGCTCGCCCAGACTCGAACTCCTCCCCTGAGGAAACCGACTTATGAAGAGCTTCGCGGAAAGCTTCTCAAAATCGCTCTCCCCGACGGGAGCCGAGAGACTACGATAAACGTGCACCAATTCACGACCGGTGTCCAAGTTCTCGAAGCCGCTGTCAAGAAACTGGGCACCCTCGTGCAGCCTCGAGGCGGAGACGGAGTGATACACGCGGACCCGGTGCAGTCTGAGGGTGATGGACTGACGATCGACGGGTGGGGCATATACTGGGATAAGCCCGGCCAGTCTCTGTATGGCGCACCGCCGCAGGGACCGTTGACGGACGCGCAGCTGCTGAGTATATGTCACACGGAGCGAGACAATCCCGTCAGGGAACATGGTTTAACGCTACGCCGCTCTGGAAAGGGATGGAGCGACTATCACCAGGACTCCAGCGCAGCCAAAGACAGCTCGCGTTCAAGCCCTTACCGCGCGCATCTGGGTCGAAGAGCGGATTCCTCGGCCGACTTGCTCAACTCGCCCGGTTCGAGTACGCCGTTTTCGTCATCCAGTTTTGGACGGAGGGCGGGGGCGCGGAGCATGGAGAGCCTGCTGTCGCATCGTGCGGCAGACCAAGACCCCAAGCTGTCGTCCGGCAAGAGTCATCATCGCCGGGCCGACACCGCCGACGCGGCGCAGGGCGCGAACAGCGTGGCGGCGTCGAGAAACCTGGCGTCGGCGTTACCATTCTCACCTTTGAAGTCAAAGACCTCGATGATGTCGTTAGCCCCGAGGATCATGGTACGCTCTCCGACCATGGAGAGCGATCTGGATATGAGGGGAGAGTCTGCGACTCCACCGTCCAAAGCAGGGCGCACTTACATGCACATTGACACTGCGTTGGCGCAGGCAAACGCAACGGGTACATCGAAGAGCACGCAGAGGGCAGCGGCAAGGACCGATGACTACTCCAAGCGACCTGTTGATACCGGACAGGCCCCTGTGGAACCGGAAACACCTCGTCGTGGCCTGCCACTGACGCCTCTCGTCATCGACGACACCGTCTTCCCGCGACCACGGAATCCCCCAGCTGATCCTTCGTCTGTGAAACAGCTCCCTTCACTTCCACCGCCGTCATCCGGTGGCCGCAGTCACGACGCCTCCCCGGTCACCCCGGAGTTGATGCGCCACTCCAGGCCCGCGATGGACGACGTTTACGCCCGCCTCGACGCCTTCTTCCCCAAACACAACCTCGACGAGCCTGTCATCGAGCCGATGGCCGGCGGCGCCTCGCCCATCTCGGAGGCGCCCCCGCGGCCCGTCACGCCGACGACCAAATTCCGCCAGCGCAAGTCCATCCGCGTGGTCGCCGCCGAGCGGAAGCGCAAGCTCGACGGTGCGTTCGAGCGCAAGCAGTCAACGTCTTCGTCCACGAAGAAGGCACAACGGCGGACCACGAAGCTGTGGGGCAGCAAAGTGCAGGAGGTCGCACCCGTAAGCTCCCCTACGGATCGTGACGAACTCACGACCCCGCTCACCAGCGCGAAACGTGCGTGAACGCGCCTCGATGCAGAGTGTCCGCTGACCGCGTATCTGACTACAGCCGTATTCAAGTGGATCAGGGGAGAGCTAATCGGAAAGGGCACGTTCGGTCGTGTGTATCTTGCGATGAACGCGACCACCGGGGAGGTTATCGCCGTCAAGCAGGTAGAGCGGCCCCGGACGGCCGCCGACCAGGACGACTCGCGACAGATCGCTATCATGGATGCGCTGAAACTCGAAAGCGACACGCTGAAAGATCTTCACCATCCACACATTGTCGAGTATCTTGGATTCGAAGAGACTCCCGACTTTCTGAGCATGTGGGTGATAACTATGGGTCTGGCCGCGAATTCTCTGACTAGTGGCGTACAGATTTCTTGAATACGTGCCGGGCGGTTCCATCGGTAGCGCCTTAAGAACGTACGGTAGATTTCCCGAAGTGCGCGGTTGGATCCTCAGGTGATGACGGCCGTTAGCTGATTTATCCCGATTAGAACACTACGAAGTCTTTCGCTGGTCAGGTGTTGAGCGGGCTGGAATACCTCCATGGTCAAGGGATCATACATCGGGTGCGCATACATACACCTATCTGTACTCCAGGATGGGCCGTAACCATGAGCCACCCCGACAGGACGTCAAAGCGGACAACATCCTCGTGGACCAGGACGGTATCTGCAAGATCTCCGACTTTGGGACGTCGAAGCGGACGCACTCGGACTCGCCCGCGACGGCGCTGCGCGGGACGCTGTATTGGATGGCACCGGAGGTGGTGCAGGTCGACGGCCAGCGGTACACGACGAAGATCGACATCTGGAGCGTCGGGTGTTTGGTGCTCGAGATGTGGTCCGGGCGAAGGCCGTGGTCCGACGAGCAGATGTACGCTGCGCTCATGAAGGTGCGACGTCGCGGTTGCGTGCCGAAGGCCGACATGGCAGCTGATATATATGATCAATTTGCCCTCTCTAGCTCGGTTCCAAAGACAGCAACAGCTGTCCTCCGGTCCCCTCAGACGTCGTCCTCTCTACCCTTGCGGAAGACTTCCGCCTGAAATGTTTCAAGATGTACGTGTGCATTCAGCGCTTTCTCAACGTGCGCTCATCGGCCGTTCTCGCAGCGATCCGAACGAGCGGCCCCCTGCCTCGGAACTCAGGAAACACCCTTACCTCGAAATCCCGGCAGACTGGACGTTCCCCGGATTCAACAAGGGCACGCCGTCGTAAGAATTGTGCTTACGCCGTTCGTGATTGGGGCTAGCCAAAACCGCGTTCCCGCGGCACGGGCCATACCCGGGTGCCGTCCGTGCGCGGGGGAACCCCTCCTCCCCTTTTCCGCACCGAGGCTGCGGTTAGCATGCATCTGCATCTGCATCTAACTCTCGCCGTGACTGGGAGACGCATTTAACGCGCTGGCCTGGGCTTGCGTGTTGCATGTCCGTCTTCGTTTAGGCCTCACGATGCCACGGCTTTCGCCAACGGAACCCACGCCGCATCACATCGCAATCGACGTTCGACCTCGAAATGATCGCGCCGGACGGGCTCTCGATGTACCACATCGGATTTTACGCCCTGCCAACCTTTGCGTACTTATACCTTCTTTAATCGTAATACCCCGGCACGCTGGCATCGCCGTCTGCTTCATATCACCCATTAACTCATCATTATAGTAGGATCGCGCGATGACCGTTACCCCCCGCGGGTGGGCACGGGGGGCGCGAGTTAATGATATTAGCGTGTAAAAATACAATCATAATGGCACATCGAAAAAAAAAAAATTAGAGAGAGGAAAACCACCAGAACGACAAACCCAGATCAAGAACGAAAAAAAAAGAACAAAAAAATGCCAGAATCTGCTGATAGATCCCCGCCGAGAAGAGAATCAGGGAAAAGGGGCGGGTAGGCGGGGCGGCAAGAAACGCAGGTAAAAAAAATGCTCCAAGAATTTCACCGAATCCGGACTCATCCGACGAAGGGAAGAAGAAAAAGGAAGAACAAAGGACCGTTGCCGGCCAGGCGGTGGAGAGAAAGAGAGAGAGAGAAAAGCGTGGGGGGGGGTGTGTGGTTTGTTTTATCGCTACCACTGGGCGGAGAGCGCGAGCGCGGCCGTGGCGAGCGCCAGCGACCACGCGACGGACGCGACGCTCAGCGGGCGCGCCGGGGTGCCCGCGGACGCGTTCGTGCTGGACGACGAGCCCTGCGAGCCGACCTGGGCCGCGACGGACGCGCCGCAGATGCCCGAGCCCTTGAGCGTCTGCGTCGGGACGAGGATCGTGGGCCGGCCGCCCAGCGCGTAGTTGACGACGACGGTGCCGTTGCTGCCGACCACGAACTGCTGGCACGTCAACACCCTGTTCCGCCACCAAAAAAAAAAAAACGTCGTCAGAAACGGGGCAGGAAAGGAGGGGAGGAAAGGAGGGGAGGAGGACGCACTCGGTGAGGGCGGTGAAGTGGTCAAAGGGGGTGTAGACGGGCGTGGTCGCGTTCGACGGGGGGCTGCCGACGGTGGTGAGCACGGTGACGACGTCGCCCTTGAGGAAGGAGAGCCCCTGGCCGGTCGTCGTCAGCAGCTGGAGCGGCTGGTGCAGCCAGTCGCTCGACGAGGACGAGTTGACGAGGAAGTTGCGGAACTCTGTCAAGGCGTCCAGCTCTGCGAGAGCCAAAAGCGGAAAAGGTTCTGTAAACTGGGACGTACGGTTGAGGGACTGGATGAACTTGTAGGCGTCGCTCTGCGCGTAGCCCGACGTCCAGAGCGGCTCGCGGTTCCACGGGTCGCCGATGCCGCTGAAGGACTGTTCCTGGCCGTAGTACACGATCGGGATCCTGCGAGTCGAGTCAGCGCTCTATCGCAGACTTGAGAGAGAGAGGGGGGGGGGAAACAAATTCGCTCTCACCCGTCGGACATGAAGTTGAACGTCATGGCGTTGTAGAGCGTCTGCGGGTCGACCGAGATGTTATGCCAGCGCGGCAGATCCTGGTTTCCCAAGAAATTGCCGAGCAGCCCCGGGTCCTAGATACGACGGAACGGACAAACGCGCATCAACATCTCGCTCATGAATATTTCTGATTTTTTTTTTGGATCGAACTGTTTTTACCTTGAACAGGGCCTTGCTCTGGGTGATGACGTCGACGAGGGCGGAGACGTTGTTCGGGCCGGGGATGGCGAAGGCGTCGACGAGGGCGGTGTAGGTCGGGTAGTTGAGGATCGAGTCCATCGCCTGCGGGCCCTGCCACGCCGCGGCCGAGGGCACGTCGCCGTCGAACACCTCGCCGATGCAGAACACGCCGGCCTTGCCGCAAAAGCCCGGCCAAAAGTCCATGTTGACGTGCCTGCGCGGCGAAAGCGGGGGGGGGGGGGGAGAGGGGTTAAGTCAGCCACACGCCGTTTCCATTTTTGTTTTGGAGAGAAGACAAAGGAGAGATATGCGTGTGTGAAACGTACTTGGCGGCGTCGATGCGCAGGCCGTCGACCTGGTACTGCTGGACGAAGCCCTGGACCCAGTCGCCGTAGGCCTCCTGGACGGCGGGGTCGGCCGTGTTCACGTCGGGGAGGGGGACCTTGTCGTCGCCGAGCCAGCAGTCCTGCTCGCTCGTGAGGTTGCTAAAGTCGACGGGGCAGTAAGGGTGGTAGTAGGACGCGTCTTTGAAGAGGTACGGGGACCAGTCGGTCACGTTGATCGTGGTGGACATGACGTTGTTGACGACGACGTCGACCATGAGGTACATGCCCCGGGCGTGGACGGCTTTGGAGAGCGCGAGGAGGTCGGACGAGGTGCCGTAGCGGGGGTTGAGCTGGGTGATGTCGGCGATCCAGTAGCCGTGGTAGGCGTCGCCGTAGGCGGTCCGCGGCCCTTCGTAGTTTTGGGAGGTCGGGCTGATCCAGACTGGGGGCGGGGGGCGGTGCGTCAGCGAGATTCCCCGGCTCGGGACGGTGTGGAGGGTGGAGGCGCTTACTGGCGGTGAAGCCGGCGTCTTGGATGTAGTCGAGGTTGTCCTTGATCGTGTTCCAGGTGCCGCCGCACCAGGTCTGCTTGCCGGGGTCGCAGGCGGTCGTGTCCGCGCCGGCGGGGAGCGCGTAGCGGTCCGTGATGACCCTGTGTGAATATAAAACGGGAGGAGAGCGGTAACGCTTGCGTCAAGTGCGAACGAGGCAAGGTGGGAGACGAGGGACGCTGACTGGTAGATGGAGCGGCCGCGCCATTGTTCGGCGGTCGCGGCGTAGACGCGGCTGAGCTGCAGGGAGGCGACGAGGAGGGTGCTGATGAGGGCGTTCATCGCGGTGGGGGGGGGGATGGTGGGGTATATAGGTTATTGGGGGTTTATTGTTGCGGAGACTGGGCTGAGCGAGCGGCGGGCAAACGAGCGTAGGTGGCGAGTGGAACAGTGCGAGCGCCGACGGAACTGGCGGGCACGGCGTTCGGACTCGAGGAGTGCGAGCGATTATATGTTCTTGCGCCCTTTACCAGCAAGAGCAAGAGGCCGAGGAGACCCGCGAGACGAACGGGGCGGGCGGCGGAGCGTCGGGGGCGGGGCAGAACAGAGTTGCGGGGGCAACAGAGTTTCGTTCAGAGGTCGTGCGAGGGCATAAGATGGACGGACGGATGGGGAAGGGGCTCGCCCGGGCAGGCGATGTAAGACCGCGATTGGGCTTCTGCGGCATCCACACGTGCTTCTCTCTCCCCTCCCGGCCAGCACAGTGTTGAATCTTTTGATCGCTGCCAGTCGAAACCATCATCAGATTCAGACGTTGGGACTCGGACTAATTAAGGCTGGCCATCGGGTCCCGTGCCGGCGAGCGTATGGGATATGGGCCGCAGATATATCTGCAGAAATGGCTTCAGACGGGGAGGTGCGTGCGGAACGACGACGGCGACGACGCGGGGTACGGAGACCGGAGGCATTGATTGTCGTCCCTGGGCGTGAAGATGGGCCGAGAAGATGGCCAGCGAGCACATGTGTTTCCCTGTGCTGGCCCTGCCGTTTCCCATTGCTGAGAGTCAGCCGACCACCTTCAGCCATTTCCGCGGAGAGGCGTGCGTCAAAAATAACGTTGAACCAGATGTATGAATCTATGATCGTCAGACCGGATGGCGGTCAAACCTTGGGTTCAAATGGCGCTGAAACCGAGCCGAATTCGGAGGAGGCGGGCCACGTGGTGGCGGTACGACGGCCCAAATGAATGTCAAACTCGGCCTGTGTCTTCTTCTTCTTCTTCCAGCGGAAGCTTATTCGACGCCGCCGTCAACGACAACTCTTTTTTTGTGTCCTGCCAGCGCTCTGCTAAAGTGCACGACCCAAGATCTCCGGCTCTTTCTATGAGCGCCGAGTCTGAATCGGGCGAGATGACGACGATCCGTCCGCTGCTCAGGCCGCTCGTCGTGATCTGCGGCACGACCGGCGTCGGCAAGTCCAAGCTCGCCGTCGAGCTCGCCCGCGCCCTCCGATCGTCCTCGTCATCACCGTCGAATGCGCGGTGGAGAGGCGCGCGCGTGGTGAATGCGGACGCGATGCAGGTCTACCACGGCATGGACGTCATCACGAACAAGCTGCCCCTGCACGAGCGCGAGGGCGTCGAGCACGCGCTCATGGACTTCAAGCCGCCCGGCGAGCAGTACGTCGTCGGCGAGTGGGTGCGGGACGCGATCCAGGCTGTTCGTCGCTTCTCGTTTTTTTTTCTTCTCGTCCATTTTGCTGCAACTCACGCAAAAGGCTTTGTTTTTTCCCGGTTTTTCTGCTTAGATAGACGAGACGCACGCGCGGGGGGAGGTGCCCATCGTCGTGGGCGGCACGGCGTACTGGATCCAGCACCTCCTCTTCCCCGAACGCCTCGTCTCGCGCTCGCCCCGGCCCGATCGCCCCGGCCCGCCGACGGAACCGTCCCCGGCGCTCGCCGCGTCCCTCGCGTCCCTCCCGCCCGAGCTGCGCGAGCTCTTCCACGACCTGCCGGAACAGGCCCCGTCGGCGGCGGACGACCCGGACGGCGCGCTGCGGCTCCACCGCCTCCTCTCCGCGCTCGACCCGCCCGTGGCGCGCCGATGGCACTGGCGCGACGCGCGCAAGGTGCTCCGGAGCCTCGCGATCGTTAAGGAGGGCGGGCGCGCCGTCAGCGAGGTGCTGAAGGAGCAGTCCGCGTCCGTTTCTAGACCCAGGTCCGTTCCTCAACGGTTCATACGCACGTCCCCCTCCCCCCAATAAGGAGCTGAATGTAAGGGGTTTCGCTAAGGTATCCGACCCTGTTGTTCTGGTTGTACGCCGAGCCCGGCGTGCTCAAGCCCCGCCTCGACGCGCGCGTCGACGAGATGATCAAGGTCAGGAAGCGGCGCATCTCCCCCTCCCACGTTCTTATACCGTTCGTTATCTGACTTTGTGTGTGTGTATGTGTTGCCTTGCGTTTAGCTCGGCCTTCTGGACGAAGTCCGCGCGCTCCGCTCTAGGCCGACCGAGGGGGAGACGATGGATTACACGCTCGGGATCTACCAGTCTATCGGCTTTCGCGAGTTCGACGCTTACCTCTCTTCTATCGCCTCCACCACCACCACCTCTTCTTCTTCTCAGGAGCAGGCGCAGGAGGAGACGGAGATGGAAGAGCGGGAAAGAGAACATGCAAGGGAAAGAGAACGGGCGTTCGCGCAGGCGACGGACGCGATGAAGATCTCGACGCGGCAGTACGCGAAGCGCCAGGTGTCGTGGATACGCAATAAGCTCTTGCCCGCCATCGCGGCGTCGAACGCTGCCGCTGCCGCCGCCGCCGAGGGAGAAGAAGCGCCGAGGACGCGCGCGTATCTGTTGGACGCGACAGGTGGGTGCTGCCTTCCTCTGTAAACCGCGTCGGTGTCGGGGATTAAAGGTGTTGATGGCGTGCGTGCGTGCGTGCGGCTGTAGAACTGGGGGAGCGTTGGGAGCGGAACGTGAGCGGCCGCGCGAGCGAGATACTGCAAGGTAACCGTCTGTTTTTCACTCGCGCTTCGCGCCGACACGCGGGGGGGGGGAGGGGACAGAGGCGCTGATACGGTCGTTTCTTTTCCCAGCGTTTCTTGACGGCCGGCCGTTGCCCGACCCGACGTCGCTCTCGGACGCCGCTCGCGCGATGCTAGGCGCTCAGTATCAGAAAACCACCGAGTGGGTTCTTTTGCGCACATGTCCACGTTGTATTTTTTTTTTGGCATGTTTTAACTGAGCGTGGCGCGTTCGTTTTAGTCCGACGGCGGTGCTCGAGGCGAGGCGGAAGCGCGTGTGCGAGGTGTGCACGCCGGCCCCGGATCGGCCGGTGATGATCGAGGAGGGGGACGAGTGGGAGACGCACAAGAGGACGAGGGCGCATCGGAGGAGGGCGGCGAAGCTCGAGAGGGAACGGGGAGGAATCGGGAGGAATCGAGAGAGGGGGGAAGGGGAGCGCGTGAAGGAGGTGGAAGAGATGGAGAGTAGCGGAGAAGGAGGATTGGAGGACGCGCAGAGGATGTTTGGGGTATGACGTTAAACCGTAAGGGCGCGCGTTGCGCGCTTGTTGTAGGGGATTAAGTACTCGGTCTTAGTATATATGCGTGCGTTCGATACTGTACATTCGACGTTTAGACACCGATCCCTCCGGAGTCCGTATATGTAGTTACGTGCGCCCCGGCTTAACTGCGATACACCCTCGAGAAGAGGAACATGCTCGTGCTCAACACCGCGGCGAAAACGTAGAACACCCGGCCGGCCTTGGACGGGTCGCCGTGCGAGAGCAGGTTGCGGAGCGGGAGGAAGATCTGGCCAACGCAGAAGTTGATGATCCCTGTGAACATGATTTCGTGTTCGTCAGTTTCGTGCTTCGTGAACGGAAAAAAAGGAGAGGATAACTCGCAGTTTAGGGAGAGTCCGACGGTGGATAACGCCGAGACGGCCTGCGACGCGGTGATGTCAGAGTCTCGGTAGTGTGCGTATGGAAAGAGAAGAACATACGTGGAAGGGCGCCACTTCGGGAATGATGACGAACGGGACAGGGCCGAGCCCCATCGCAAACGACCTGCGTGGGATGTCTATCGTTCAGCGCGCTGATCTTTCGGGGGAGGACCGTTCGCGATAGGCTTACATGACGAAGGTCAGGATCGCGATGCTGGACAGGACGACGATGCCTTCGTCGAGGCCGTAGCCGAGGGCAAGCGCCGACGCGATCGCGCCGAGCGCCGAGCCGTACATGAGTGTCTTGCGCCCGAGCCGCTCGATGAGGAAGATGGGCGGGAAGGTCATGAGGACGTTGACGACGGTGATCCCGAGCGAGACGTAGGGCCCGAGCTCCGGGAGCGATTTGGAGAGGATGTCGTTCGAGTAGTAGAGCACCGCGTTGATGCCTGTACGGACCGGTGAGGTGAGTTGAGCGGGAGAAGGTGGGGCCGAGGTTAGAGGAGGACATCACCGGAGAGCTGCTGGGACATCATGATGAGGCTGACGGTGAGCAGTGCGCGGCGGAGCTCGGGCGCTTTGAGCGCCTGCGGGACAGTGTACGCGACGGCCGGCGGGTCGGCGGAGCGGTGGAGGACTTCGGCGTCTTCCTCCTCCAGAAGAGCCTCTTGCTGCTCTGCATCATCTGGTGCACCAGCGTCAGCGTTATTGTTCGAGTGAGGAGGAACGGCCGCCCGACTGACCTTCATCCCGGAGCTTGGCTCGCCCGAACAGCCGCTGGCGCGCGGCCTCGACCTCAACCATGAGCCCGCGCCCTTCGAGCCAGGCGGGAGACTCGGTCATTGATGCGCTCACGAGGAGGTGGACGAGGGAAAGCGCGGAGGAGAAGAGGAGGACGTAGCGCCAGTGGGTGGGCGTGGCGTATTTGAATCCGAGGAGTTGGGTGACGAGGATGCCGATGACGATCGACAGCTGGTTGAGCACGCCTGAATCATGGGGTCAATGAATATGTTAAGTCTGGATCGCGTTGAGAGGCTCACCGACGCTTCCTTTGATTTTGGGAGGGGCGATTTCGGAGAGGTATATGGGCACGACGCAGATGCCGAGTCCCGCTGCGAGTCCGGTGGTGAACCTGTTAGGAGTCAGAGAAATGCAGGTCGGTACGTTGCCTTGAAGCGTACCTGCCGATCATGAGGAAGACGACGTTGCCGGACAGCGTCATGAGCCCGGAGCCCGCGACGTTCAGCACCGTGCTCGCGCGCACGGTGCCTTTGCGGCCCCAGCGGTCGATGAATACGTTAGCGACCATGCTCCCTACGAGACCGCCGACGGTGTATATGGAGGTCACAGTGGAGAACAACGCATCGTTCATCGGTATGCACGTCGGCAGCCCCAGTGCGGAGGCGGATTGCGCAGTCCGCCGACAAGTGAGGACGGCTTGGATCTGGTTGAGCGCCGATATGTGATATCCATACTAGACGCGTTCGTTGCATCAGTGTTGGTATGACAGTAAGTACTGCCCGGTTCGCTCACTTGAAACGAAGGAATGAGGACCCAGAGGCAGAGTGCCCACCCGTAGCGGGTGAAGGCCATAGCGACACAGGGGGGTACAGCCACCACTCCTTCCGTCTCTCCTGCAGCTGCGCTGTATGTCCGAGCCTCAGGTGCGCGAGATCGACGCGTTCAAGGCTTTCTTCGCCACCTTCGACCTCGACCGACCCGTCTCCGCCGTCGCCGACCTCAGCGATGGCGCAGCCCTGTTCGACGTCCTCAACTTTGTGTACGTCCCCTACACACCTCCCCACTCGTGGTTACGCTCTCAACCCAACGGCGCGGAGCTGACCGCGATATGATAGGGACGGGGAGTACTTCCGTCAGCCGACCAGGCCTGCAAAGGAGCTCTCGGACAACTGGGTCATCCGCTTCAGCGCGCTCAAGCGGCTCTACCGCCTCATGACCCAGTACTTCGCCGATGTCCTTAACCAGCCGACGGCCTCGCTCGACGTGCCGGACCTCCAGGCGATGGCGAAAGACCACAACCTCGAGGCGACGCTCGTCATGTGTAGGCTCACGATCGCGATTGCGGTGCAGTGCGAGCAGAATAAGGCGATCATCGAGAAGATTCAGAGTTTGAGCGAGCGTGAGCAGCATCACCTCATGAAGGCAATTGAGCAGGTAGGACGTGTTGCGCTGCGGACACTGGAGGCGGATGCTGAGCGTGTTTTCGAAGGTCATGGTCAAACTCAATCCCAACGAAAAGAGCGCGGGCGAGGCTAGCATGACCGAGTGAGCTGTGCTCTGCCAGAATGTTGCACGGTCATTGACCTAGTTAACCCTCATAGGGATGACCACTACTATCAACTCCAACATGAGCGATCACGCGTCTACTCCGAGAAGGAGACGCTCGAGAAGGTTTACCAAGCGCTCCTCGAAGAGCATCGCCAGCTCCAGACCAACTTTGACGACCTCGCGTCCGAGAAGGAGGAAGCGCAAGCACGGGTGCGCGAGCTGAAGCGCGAGGCGGAGGGACGGAAAAACGACGGAAAGGCGGACGTAATGATGCGCGCCGAGATCGACCGCCTGCGGATTGAGCTGTGAGTACCCTTGCGTCAGGGCAGTGGTTTCCGATACAACGGCTAATGCGGAAGGAGGATGTTAGCCAGAAAAGCGAAGACAACCTCGCGTCGACCGAGACTGAGCTTGATAAGCAGACGTCACTCGTCACGGAGTTGACACGGCGGGTCGACGAGCTTCAGGGCAAGGCGGATCAAGCTGCGAAGCTCAAGGACCAACTGGACGAGTACGCTCGATTTATCGTTTCGTTGGCTTCTAAACGCTGATTAGCGCAGATATCGCCATGCAGCTGATCGTCTCCAGAAGACGGAAAACGTGATGGAGAAGTACAAGAAGAAGCTACAAGAAGGCGCGGACCTCCGACAGCAAGTGAAGGTATGCGACTTCTTAGTGCAGACCGTATGTGGTGCTGATTCTGAATTGCTGCTGTAGTCGCTCGAGAAGCAGAATGCAGACCTCGTCGACAAGAACGCTTCGCTGGAGGAGGAGTACCGCAAAGTTTCCTCCTTCAAGCCCCTTATGGAAACATACCGCCAGCAGATCTCCGAGATGGAGGCCAAGGCGGCGTCACGCAACACCGAGCTCGACACGGTTAAGTTCGAGCTTGAGCAGACAAAGGCGAAGCTGCGCATCGCAAACGAGGAGCGCGCGAAGGACTCGGAAACGCTAGAGCTGTACCAGGAGCGCGTGCGCGAGCTGGAGCTCCAGGCGGTGCCCGCCAAGCCGAAGGCGAAGACGCCTAAATCGTCTGCAGATGTGGACCCCGATGCGTCCATGGAAAGCGCCACTTCGACCGCGGACGGGGAGGCTGCTAACAGGAGTGCGGAGCTGGGTGGCGGGCTCGATGGTGATGATGATGACGACGACGACTTGATGGATCGCAGCCTCGGCCAGGTCCTGGAGGGCGAGCTCGACGATGCGCTCACCGGAACCACCGTGACGGACCTCAAGATCCGTATCAAGAAACTCGAGCGCGAGCTTGAGTCCAAGCACTCCAAGTCGGCGGACGCGAGCCGGATCCTCGTGCTCGAAAACCTGCTCGAGGACGCGAACCGGATGAAGGTGCGGTACGAGACGGACTACCTTGCGGCGCACAGGGAGAAACTCAAGCTCCAAAACGACCTGGAGGAGATCCGCAGCGGCAGGAGCAACTTGGGTGACGGAGCGGAGGCGGCGATCGCGCTGCGGCAACGGCTGAACGAGTGTGTGGATGAGCTGGATAAGGTGAAGAAGGAGCACGCGGAGCTCGAGGTCAGATTTGAGGCGCAAACCAGGGAATTGACGATTGCCAAGTCAGACCGTAAGTCGTCCCCCTGCTCTGTTCTTTGTCATGCCTTACTCAGGGTTTTTGGTGTAGTCAACCTGGTGAACAAGGACCAACTGGAGATCCTGGCTACGCTTCGTGAGTCGGTGAATGAGGACAAGGCCGGCTTAGAGGAGGAAATTGGAGGGTACAAAAACCAGATCAAGGAGCTCAACGACAAGAACCGGATGCAACTCGAGCAGATCAACGGGCTCTTGATGGAGAAGGTGACCTTGCAGACGGAAGGCATTGATCAACGGGAACGAATGTTGCAGAGGGAGCGGGCTATCGGGTGCGTGATGGCCGGTCCGTCCACTGGCTGACTGACTGATGTGTGCGGCTCCGAAAGTGATTTGAGAGCGTCGCTGTCAGGAAAAGACATTCCGGAGGATGTGAAACAGAAGATGTTGGCATTGCACGAGGAGAACGTGCGGTGTCAGGAAGAGATCAAGACTCTGAATGAGAAGCTCCGCCAGGCGAGGAAGGTAAGCATCTGCTCTGAACAAGAAATGCATACATAGTTTTGTGACTCGAGCGAGCATCTAGTTCATCAAAGACCAGGATAAATTGTTCAAAGAGGAACATGCGAAAAAGGCAGGAACAATGCCATCAGATGCGTTCGAAGAGGCGGAGACGAGCTATCGCTCGCAAATAAAGATCTTGGAAGAGGACCTTGCTCGGGAAAAGGTGTGTATGGCACTGGTAGGCGGTTTTACACTATTCATGCCTGGCCTTGCAGGAAAAGAAACTCGAAATCATCAGGCGCTACCGCCGGGAACAAGAACTCTTGTTTGGTACTCTGCATTCCTTAGGAATGGACAGAGCGCGCGGCCACATGAGCCACACCCAGCAAAGTCGACCTGTCGCTTCGTCGTGGTTGAAGCAGCAACGACAAAGGGTAAGCGAGTGGATTTCCGTTGGTCAATCCACTCTTGCTGATGTTTCACACGACCAGACGACGCTGCAGCGTTGAAGGCGCGCGCATATATGCTCTCTACGCTTGGTTTTATTTGTGGATGGAACGCATGTACATATAATGTCAGCGCAGTATACCCCGTCTCGTGGATAGACGAACTGTAGGCGCACGTAGAGCGGCGGGCGTTGGCTTTCGTCACCCAATCGTAAGCCTGAGAACGGAAACTTGAGGCGGCGGCGTACCTCTTGCCTCTCTGCCACCGCTCATACCAGCGGCGCTCTGCGGCACCCACTGCTTTATCTTCCCCGCTCTCCCTCAAAACGGTGTCTCGTCGTCGGGCTCTACTAGCCTCGACTACGCCAGACACCGATCGTGCTCGTTCGCGCTCAGCCATCATGGACAACCCCCCGCCGACGCGTGACACGAACATACACACCATCGTCAAGGCGCAGATCGTGTTCCTGTTGTCGACGCTCACGGAGGAGAATTTTGAACGGAATCAGGCCGAGATACGCTCGGTATGTGCTTTCAACTCTGGCGGTTGGGCTCGCGTGTGCGATAAACTCATCATCGACCGTTTTTTCCCAACGTTGTGCAGCTGTCCGAACAACACGGTGTCGACACGTACCTCCACTTCATCCGCCGCCTCATAGTCCACTCGCAAGCTCGCCTCTCCTCTTCCGCCGCCTCCTCTGCCTTCGACCCGTCCACTGCCCTCACCTTCCGCCTCTTGATTCAAGAAACACAGCGACTCGCCCGGGACCCCTTCCTAGCCGACCGTTTTCGTGATGGAATCGATAAAGGCGAAGGCGACGTCTTCCGGCACTTTGATCTCGCTCGCTTTGTGGACCGCGTCGGTCTGCGCCCGCTCGAGCGGCTGGTGCTCGCGGCATCCATAGTCGCGGCGCCGACGCGTAAGGACCTCGCGACGCAGGCGCAGAACATCATCCGGCTGGAGTGGGAGAACGCGGTGCTCTCGTTATGCCAGCATCCATCCTTCGACCATGCCGACCTTAACCCGAGCCAGCTCGCGAAGTTGCTGACGAACCTGCTCTCCGACCCTCCTGCGGACGCACCGGTGTTGGACGCGCTTCAAAGGCAGGAACTCCTGCGGGCCGCGAGGACGAAGTACGGCGACGAGATCATCGAGCCGATCCTGCAGAGGATTCTTCCGAACTTAAGGTGGGTAGCCATCGAGCTGATTTTTTACGACACGCTGACAACAATGGCAGTTTGGCGCCGGGTACCGATCTCGTGGACACCTTCATCGACCTTGGGCCGGAAAATACGGGAGACGTGCAGAGCATGCGGGCACTGCTCTTCCGATTTGGCATCACGGACGCCAACCCGCCTACCGACAGTCAGCTCTTGGAGGTGGTTCAAGCTCTGGCTCGGTTTGCGGTGGAGGGCGTGGGCGTGGGCGACGTGAGCGCTCTCGTCGCAGCGTTTGGTAGCTTTGTGAGTCCGGAAAACGCCCTTCGACGCTCCCTCACTTACCTCACGAAACTCTTGCAGCACACAAAGCTAGACTGGCCTGCCGTCATCAGGTCGTTCGACTGGCCTGATCGGCATAGCGTGGACACCGCGACGCTCAAGTTGTTAATCGCGATACTCCTGAACTCTCCCGAAGATGCCGAACCTCACGCAGTTACTGGATTTTGGGACATCTGGGACAACGCCCTTGCTCAACTGCGTTTGCTTGACGCACTGCTATCACTCCCCGGCGACACCTTCAACTTCGTGACGCTTCCTGGCCGGAGGATTGTTACGGTCGACGACGTCTCCGTGGCGAGCCCTACTATTAAGTCACTCGCCGCAAACGTTCAGGGTCACACCTGGAACTCGCTAGACCTCTTCGAGGTCCTGGTCAGGTTCTCGGAGATTGGCACACCGGAGATTGTCAGCTGCGTACATGAAATGCTCGACAAAGCCGTCAAAATCAGTGCAGAGCTGGTTCACATGGGCCTTTTACAGGTTGAGGTTCGTCTCGCCCACTTTGCTGTGGCCGAGCAACCGATTTACTGAGTGTATGATCCCAGCGGCCAGATTGGAGTGGCATCCGTCGAGAGTATGGGGACAAGCTTCTTCACATGTTTCTAAATGGGCATCCCAACCATCAGCTTGTGTTCATGCGTATATGGCAAATACGTCCAACATACCTCACAGACGCTTTCCGTGACTTCTACAACGAGAGCGAAGTGAATATCACGCGGATCCTAGATGTAGCCCAGGATCTCAAGGTTCGTGGAAGACTGTGATTTCTTATAGGAGCGTAATGCTGATATCTCCGCAGATTCTGGACTCGTTGCTGGATGTGCAACCGTTCACTTTTGCACTTGACGTCGCTGCGCTTGCGTCTCGCCGCGAGTACCTCAACCTGGATAAGTGGTTGCAGGACAACATCAATACTCACGGAAAGGAGTTCCTCATGGCAATCCTGGACTTCTTGCAGGCTAAGATGGAGAGCGAGAAGGCTGCGCGGACGTCTGAGGTGGCCGTCGACTCCCAGCGCACTATGCCCTTAAATCCGCAAACCATTACCATCTTCCTACGTACATTGCGCAACAGGTGAGGTGGTTGCACTCGTGCCAACGAAACCTCTTAACGAACTTCCACTTTCAGCTCGAGCATGATGGAGAAGAAGGACGTTGACTACTGCCTGGAAGTTCGCAACTCGTGCTTGCAAGTGCACCCGCGGCTCATGAATCTGACTCCGGGTTCGGAAGTCGAGCCTGGGTTCACTGTCGTTAGCTACTCTCCGGAGATCGAAGCGGAAGTGGATAGCATCTACAAGCAGATGTACGACGAGTCGATTACCATCGACGAGGTCATCGTCATGCTGCAGCGCTTCAAGAACTCCACGAACCCGCGGGAGAATGAGATATTCTCCTGCATGCTTCATTTCCTCTTCGACGAGTACAAGTTCTTTCAAGCTTACTACCCGGCACGTGAGCTGGCCATGACCGGCTACCTCTTCGGCTCGTTGATCCAGTACGAGCTCGTCGACTACATACCCCTCGGGATTGCCATCCGATGCGTTATGGACGCTCTCAAGTGTCCGCCTCAGACCAATCTCTTCAAGTTCGGCTTGGAGGCCCTTGCGAGATTCGAGGGCCGGCTTGCCGAATGGCGTCCTCTCTGCGAACTTCTCCTCGAAATACCCAACCTCCTCCAGCAACGACCTGAACTCGGACCCATCATCCATCGAGCACTCGCGAACAGTTCTGATAAATCATCCAATCCCGCCGCACTGACGGTCGTCAACGGCCACGCCCCCGATATACAACCCCCTTTCACCGCCATACAGCCAGACTCAATCCCAGGAGACATCGAGCCCCCGTCTGAGGAATCGTCCGACAAGATGCTATTCATCGTCAACAATCTTGCTCCGAGTAACTTCGAGAGCAAGATAGACGAGATGCGTGAACAGTTCAAAGACGATTACTCAAGGTGGTTCGCCAACTATCTCGTCGATCAACGTGTCAGCACAGAACCGAACAACCATCAACTCTACCTCCGCTTTCTCGATGCCATCGGCAGCAAGACACTTTTCCGGTTCATCTTGCACGAGACCTTCGTCAAATCGGCCGCCTTACTCAATTCCGATAAGACGATGCAGTCAAGCTCAGAGCGAGCCATTCTCAAGAATGTCGGCTCCTGGCTTGGGACAATCACCCTGGCTCGCGATCAACCAATCAAGCACAAAAACCTTGCCTACAAGGAATTGCTCCTCGAGGCATTTGATAATACCCGATTGATCGTGGCCATACCCTTCGTCTGCAAGTCTCTAGAGCCATGCGCGTCCTCTAAGGTGTTCAGGCCGCCCAACCCGTGGCTAATGGCCGTCATCGGGCTTTTGGCTGAACTGTACCATTTCGCAGAGCTTAAGCTCAATCTCAAGTTCGAAATCGAGGTGCTCTGCAAGGCGCTCAACATCAATCTCGACACTGTGGAGGCCACGAGTCTGATTCGCAATCGCCCACTATTGTCCGAACCGGCGTTGGATTATGTTCCGGACATCGACTCGCTTCCTATGGGCGGTTACGATCCGTCCAACCAGCTGCATGCCGACCCTCATGTCCTAGGTCTTGGTCCTCCAGCTGCCTCAGACTCAGGGCGGGCCGTCGGTTCTCATATCGAGGGAATCTTGTCAAGTCTGCTCTCGCTTGTCACGATCAGTCCGCAGCTCGCCCCTTTGCATACAAACATAGCATTCAAGAGAGCGATCCAATTGGGTGTCGATCGGGCAGTTCGTGAGGTCAGTGGAACGGTGGTGCAAATGTCGTTTTTGCTCACTCGTAGCGCAGATCATTCTGCCTGTTGTCGAGCGCTCAGTCACTATAGCCGGCATCTCTACTAGGGAGTTGGTCGTCAAGGACTTTGCCACGGACACCAATGTGGATCGACTGCAAAAGTCTGCCCACATGATGGCCCAGAAGCTAGCCGGAAGCCTGGCGTTGGTGACGTGTAAAGAACCGCTCAGAAGCAATCTTGCTACCCACATGCGGCAGTCTTTGGCTGAACATGGCTTTGGCGAAGTGAGTACTCCCTCGCCGGTGCATCGCAAGACTGACGGCTCTAAAATCGCTCCCTTCCAGATCATATCAGAACAGATCATCATGCTTTTAGTGCAAGACAATCTAGAATTCGCCTGCCAAGCCATCGAACAAGCCGCGAAGGACCGGGCTGTGGATGAAATCGACGACGCTCTCATGCCATCCTACGAGGGACGCAGACGACACAATCAGGTATGCCACCGTTGACTGTGTAAGAGACTGTTACCAATACTGTTTGTTAGCAACGGCCCAACCAGCCATACTGGGACGTTCAAGCACCACCTCAGAATATATATCCCGTGCCGCTGCCGGATCCTCTCAGAATTAAAGCCAGTGGAGTTCAACCTGTGCAGTTACGAGTTTATGAAGATTTCGGTGATTTTTTCTATTCTTCGCCATGAAATACCTGGCTAACCCATTGACAACCTTATAGGCAATGACCCCAAGCGTTTAATGACGAGCCGACCTGGCTCTACAGTATCCTATACCAGGAACGAACCGCCTACTTATTCTGCCACGCCGCCCCCAGACCAACCCGTGGCTAACTCTAATGCATTCTCCCATGCTGAAGCAATGCAGCGTTTCCTCGTATGCGACATTATTTTGTTTCACTGTTCGTCTCCTCACGGCCCGTCAGATCATTGTGAAGGAATTGGATGCTATCCTCGAGCAGCTGCCAGTCGACTCGCTGACTGCTCTTCCGGCCAATCACGAAGTCCGACAGTTAGTCCGACAGGTTCTCTTCCTCACGACCGAGTCGGCGGAGCCAAGTCACACTGCGCTTGCGCTGTCTCAGAAGATAGTACAATGCCTCTACCGAACGCAGTCGCAACTTGGAAGGGAGATCTACGTGGCGTTATTACAGCAACTGTGCGATATGTTCCGGGACGTCAGACAGGAAGCCTTGCCCTGGTTGGCCGAGGCGGAAGACGATGTGAGTATAGGATAAACCCCTATACACAAATATTGATGTCGGGCAACCACCAGCGGAAGTTCAACGTGCCTGTCACTGTGCTCTTGTTCAAGAGCGGCTTGCTCAAGGTTTCTCAGCAAGATGTTCATCTAGCGAAACTTCTGGCAAACCCTCGACCAATCCTGCAAACCTATGTCGCTGGCTTGATCCGCGAATGCGTCACCGCTAATCCTCCTGTTGCTTCACATCATCAATTTGTTACCTGCGTCCCCCGCCTGATTGAAATCTACCGCGAAGGCACGGCGAATGAGGAGTGAGTAATATGCAACTACCGAGGAATTGCTTCCTTACTGTTATCAGTGTCATATCCCTTGTGGACGACCTTCGTGGCGTGCGTCGCCCGGCTTCAAGAATGGCCCAAGACCCCGTGACGCGCATTCCGTCCGCCAAATTGGAGACCGACGAACTACGCAGTCAGATGCAAGCTCACTTCCAGCGATGGGTCGGTATCTACCAACGCTCTCCCAAGCTCGACGTCCACTTCGAATACTTCGTTCGGGAGCTTGAGAAGACGCGCGTCCTCAGCACGGATGACGTGTCTCTGCTCTTCTTCAGGGTCTGTGGCGAGGCGAGTATCAGTCACTATGTAAGGAGTGTGGCTACCGGTCAATTCGACTACGCGTTCCAAGCCGTCGATGCTTTTGCCAGACTGGTGACGATGCTCGTCCGTTTCCAAGGGGACAAGACAGGCATGGGCTTTGACCAGGCGAAGGTCTACTATCTGAAGAAAATTCTCTCTACTGTCACCCTCATCTTGGCCCACCTGCATGAGGAGCAGGGAATGGCGTTCCAGCAGAAACCTTTCTTCCGTTTCTTCTCGAGCCTCGTCAATGACTTCCACGCGATAAAATCGAGCTTGGGCTCTGTTTACTTCCGCTTCCTCACGACGATCAGGTAAGATATCATTCATGATCAGATTATGCACTTGCTAATGTTCGGATTACCAGCGAGACGTTCAGCTCATTGCAGCCCCGCTACTTCCCAGGTTTCGCATTCTCTTGGACGTGCCTCGTCTCTCACCGCCACTTCATGCCCAACCTACTGATGTCGGAGCATCGTGAGGTCAGTCGGTTATTGTATTATTGTATGAGACCCTCTCATCGTGTACTCAGGGATGGTCGAGCTTCCACGAACTGCTGCTATCCCTCTTCAAGTTCTTGGCACCATTCCTTAAGAATGCCGACCTTCAGCCTGCGATGAAAGATCTATACCGTGGCACACTTCGCCTCCTCCTCGTCCTCCTGCATGACTTCCCCGAGTTCCTCAGCGAGTACTACTTCACCCTCTGCGATGCCATACCCCCTCGCTGCGTTCAGATGCGCAACATCATATTGAGTGCCTATCCCGCCGGCCTCATATTGCCGGATCCCAACCTTCGCGACCTCAAGTTGGACGCTATCCCGGAAATGGGCCCCATACCCGCCGTGCTATCCGACTTCGCGGCCGGCTTACGGGACCCCGAACTGCGCAGTCAGCTAGACCAGTATCTGGTAAACCGCGGGACCCCATTGTTCCTCCCATCGCTCAAGAGTCGTCTCCATGTCGCTGATGGCACTGAGGGATCTCCGGAGGGATACGACTTATCATTCATTAACTCCCTCGTGATGTATATCGGGATGTCATCCGTCGCACAAGCAAAAGTACGAAGCGGCGCGACCCTGTTCGTTCCGACCGACCCCGGTGTCGTCGCGCTGCAGTACTTGGCAACGAATCTCGATATGGAAGGTAAGCCAGTCGGGTTGAATCCATTCAATATCACCCTCTGACATGTGCCGTAGGCCAATATCACCTGCTCTCTTCGATGGTGCTGCATCTCCGTTACCCTAACGCGCACACTCAATGGTTCAGCTCCCTGGTGCTTCATCTTTTCCTCGAGATCCAGGAGGGCCGCTTCGGTGAAGTCGTGACGAGGGTGCTGCTGGAACGCTTCGTTGTCCATCGCCCTCATCCGTGGGGAGCCATGGTCACCTTCATTGAGCTGATGCGCAACCCAAAGTACGAATTTGCCAGCAAGGAGTTCGTTCGCATCGCGTCGGAGGTGACCCTATTGCTGGAGAGTGTATGTTCCTCGTCGATGACGCTCGCGCAGTATGTTCCGGTCTAACGTATCGCTCGAATAGGTCGCACGCACGGTTTTCCAGGCTTGAGCAACGCTTTATCGTCGTCTTGTGTTATCTGTGTCATATATTTCGCATGTTCTTTGGGTCTTCACCGTCACACTGTACTGTACCACTAGTCTCCCGCCCACGGAACCCACTTTGGACGATATTCATGACAGCGATGCTATGTTACCGTTACCCCATTGTATCACAAAATTAGCTAGACATAGTATACTGTTGTTAATGCTTCCGGCACATACACTATGTGACCTCCATTCCGTTAGGCGACGCGCCCGCGGCTTTTTGCGCAGCTCCGTCTCGTGTAGGTGAGCCGGAGCGGGATCTCGACGGACTGCGCGACGGAGTTCGCGACACATACCGCGAACCTGCATCCGACACCGGTGATCGCGTTCCCGACCGTGACCTTGACCTGGAGCGCGAGACGTAGCGGGAGCCAACGCTGGCGCTTCCTCGAGACCCGCGCGCGGAGGCACCTGAAACGCTGCCGGAACTCGTTCTTGAGCGGCGACTTGATCTGGAACCTGAGCGGGACCGGGTCCGAGAGCGACTGCGACTACGCTCTTCTTCATCTTTGCCTTCCATGGCGTCCAATAACCGACTCTTTCGGGGGCCGATTTCGCCGTTCTCTTCGAGAATCGACCGTTTCTGTATGCGAGGAAGGATGATGTCGCAGACGCGTTCTTCGTTCAGCAAGGCGTCAACGAACTCGTCCATGTAGGTCAGGGTATATCCGGCTGGATGAGGTTATGTTAAGGCGCATATAAATGCTCGGGACGCTGCGACGCACCCATACTCCTGTTTCGTAGCTTCCTATAGTCCTTCAGAAGCGGTTCTAACAGTTCGTACACCTCGACCGCGGCGAATGTCATGCGTATATAGAGCGCTGCAAGAGCGCGGAGGTATCTGTGGAGTCAGAGGAATCAACCGAAAGGGGTCGGTGGGGGCTGGCGGTGAGGCATACTTGAACTCGTCGGCTTGGAGGTATTCTATGAGAATCTCCTTCTCCGGTTGAATCTGGAGCAGCTTCAGCAGAAGGCAGATGTACTCTGTTGGACGCTGGTTCCCGTACACGCCTCCAATATAGCGTAGTTCGATAGCTTTGTCGATCAAGCTCTCGGCTTAAGGCAATGTCTGGTTGGGAACGGGACATTGGGCGTACGGGATGGAGTAACGCACCTGTCAGCGCGAAACAGTGTTCCTTCCAGTACGCCGATTCGTATATACGGTTGCGGATGACGGTTTCGACTAGATACTGGAACACTCAATCTGCTTCTGACCTCAGTGTTACCAATCAGCGCATTGCTTACCTGAGGGTTCTGGCCGTGGATAGCGAGCGCGCCGCGGACGGTAGTATTCGCCATCTTGACGTAGACCTGGACGTGTCCAAGAGGTTACCGGTGGCCCAGCTCCGTTTTTTTCTCTGAGCCGTAGGTTATAGGGACGCAAGCTCGCTCGGTTTGTATCCTTTGTAGCCTGAGACAGGGACGCCAGAGGTGTGGGGGATTGCAGCAAGCCTTGAGCAAACTAATCAAGCTACGTTGAGCTATTACGTGTATCGGATTAGTCACGTTATGTAGGCTTTCACTTCGACCTGCGATTCGCATATGTACTTCGCCATTTCCGGGCTTCGTTCAACATCAGCTGGGTCTGCAGTCTGACCTCGGAAACACATGCGTCCGAAGTAAGCCCCATGAGAATAAAATGTAGGTCTTACAGCTAACATCCACTTGCTAGTTCATGACCCATTGACACGTTACTTCTCAACAACGAAATACTCGAAGCCCCATAAGTTAGCGACAGTACTATATACATTGTACGCCACATTCTTTGCCTTCGATACGCATCAGATCCCCATATGAATGTACGTTGCCCATCTGCTCGGATCGGGCTGCGATTCACGCACTGCTGTATCAAGTGCATATGCGATGTCGTCTGGTTCGATGCACTCTCCGTCACCACCAAATATATAGCCCAAGCAAGAAGACACACTACTGAATGGTGATGATGAAGCCCGATATATAAGATGTCATCGCCAGTGTATCAGCACCCGTCTGCTTCATGATGGCTCGTTTATGTCTCAGTGTTCGCACTCAACGCATGCAAAACTACAGGATAACAAATCAAATTCCTGTAGGGCATACAAATGGTGCGTCAGAGGGCTCATGTGGGGACACGGTCATGAAAGCCAGGGCTTACGACCGTCTGGCTATATTTGCCGCGATGTCAAAGGGACCAAGCATGAGTTCATGGACGGAAAACGTTAGGAGAAAGATATCATATACTGCGTAGACCGCGACGGAATATGCTAACTGGAAAGGGCTGTTTTCCGCGTTCCAGGCGAAGCAGAAGATAGACGGCACTGCAGTGCTCCGAAGTCATAATAGGATAGAGAAATTATTCCTGGAACCACCTTGTCTCAGCACTGCCTTCTTTCCCAATGTCATCGATACGTTCTCGTTCACATCGGTCTTTTGGTACAGCCAATAAGCCATCTTGCCGCCATGCCGCCAACGTTCCTTGATCTGTGCGAAGCCCAATGTGCTCATGATTGCTTGCATGTGCTCAAACGTTAGATACCGCGAGTTCGCGACGCATGGTAGCGGGAGCTATATACCGGTGTCAACCGAAGTGCGAGGTGAATGGATATTCATACTCACAACAAGGAAAAGTAACCCGTCGGGGCGAAGCATGTTACGAGCAATACGTAGCATTTTCCCTGGCAATGATATGTAATGAATCGTTTCTGCGACATTGAAGGTACTATACCTCGTTCCTTTGCGTCTGGGACGAAGTTAATGACCAAGCTCAGACTGATGACGTCCCATTGCGCGCGGTTTAGATCCTGATCCATCAGAAGGAAGTCCTGCTCTAGGATCTCCGGATGCCGAGAGTGAAGGTCCATTGGTGTCGCATTTATCCAATCTTGGCATGACCGGTAGTTATCTGGTTTCAAAGCGCCGACTTCCAGTAACCTGCAGCACGGATTATGCATAGCACCAGATCGCGAGGGGAAAAGCGTACTTGAGACGGGTAACTCCCGCCATTCGTCCTGGAGGGCGGTTAGGGCCATAACCTAGCTCTTGTAGCCAGAGGATCAAAACACGTTCGCTGCCTCCGCCTCGGTCCTGTCCCTGTCCGATGGTCGACATTCGTTGGTACTCATCCAGTCCTCCGAGTTCCTCGATCTCTTTGTCAATCTGCTCCAGCTCCGCGGCGTTGGTATCGATAGCGCGCCTCTTCCCCTTCTGGTTGCCACTCACGAGCGTAGCTTGCTGGCGTCCAGGTCTTTGCGCAATCAGTTGAGCCCGGCGTTTTATAAGGACGTGGAATCTGCGTATGATTGCAGCTGTCGCCTCGGGGGATTTCGTTGCGGAGGTGTTTGTGCTCGTTCTCGTTACCGGGACTTTGCGTTTGCGGACTTTCGGCATGGTATCATAACAGAACCGTTTCTTATGCCCACATCAGATGGTTACAAGTAAGGAGAGTTTTTCAAGTAGTGCGTAGTCTCCCGCACAAGCGAGTTGTGAATGGCAGGCAATAGGTATTCTGAAGAAAAGAGGAGTAGCAGAGCGAAGCTCGCCGACATGGAGGTGCACTGCGGAATCATTGAAACGTCGCCCGTGTAACATTCAAGGTCGCGTCTGCGAGACCTGCCGCGCTTTGTCCGTTACTTCCTGTAGTTCATCCGCTTGTTATTCCGAGCTTCAGCATGGCACGAAAGCAGAATTTGCTCACTTGTAGGTAGAAGCAAACAGCTCACTCCATCACGATATTAATCGTTGGATAGGGAAACTCTTACCCCTCGTGTTATTCCCGCTCATCCAGGTTCTGGGTGAGTGATGCATGTTCAAGCTCGTGTATGACTTCATGATATTCAAGCTACTGCATTTTATCAGGTGTCAAGTACTATTTCATCCCGTTCATCCAAGGGACTGAAGGGTTCTTCGCTGCTGCATGTCCGAAGGACTCAAATGCCTCTTCCGGTTCCCCAAATCGGCTTGCATACAGTATGTACGCTGTTGGACAGTCCATCGTGGTACCATGAACTCCACTAATAACATGATGTTGTCATCTTGAAGCTTCTGTAAAGGCCATTGACCACCAGCTCTGCATCCTCGTAAGCTTCTTTGAAGGTGCCCTGCACCCCTCTACGCTTCCCCTCCTCGTCGAATTTCTAGCCAACTGGACTCCTCTCGCCGTTTTTCCCTTCGTCGAAGCTGCTCGTTCCAATCGTTCATTTCTCCTCGGATTCCCTGTCCTCCTCGGCCTCGTCTACCAAAATGCCAGCGTTGCCCTTACCATGCCAATTTACTGGCTCGTGTTTATCCTGTCCGGCCATTCTACGACAGGGCCCTCCGCAGGCAACAAAATCCTCAACGCAGACGCCCTAGCCATACTATTTGCCCTTTTCGTCGGATACCTCATCCCCAGCGCCGCCATGTTCCTCACCCTCACCGACCCTTACATCACGGCGATCTGGCAAGCTTTCCCCCTATGGATGGGCATTGCACAACGATTCCACCTCGCGCTCATTCGCCGCCGCTCCTCCCAAAGAGGCGCGCAATCCGGATACGGAATCACCCAGCTCATATACTCGCTTTCCTTCGTGATCTCCGTCGCCGCCCATGCCTTCGTCCTCTACCCGCGGCTCGACATCGACAACCTGGCGGAGACGGACTGGGCGTCGTTGAGATATATCTTCGTTCCGAGCGCTCCGCTCACGAAGACGAATCACAGTCTGGAGCTCCTGCAGTGGGACTCGTGGACCTCGTTCGGAAGCAGCATGATCGCTGTCCTGTGGCTCGGCCGCACTCCGCTGCAGGTTATCGGTCTTGCGCTCTGGCAGATTATCGCGTTTGTCGCATTAGGCCCTGGCGCCGCGCTCTCCGTCGTTTTCATGTGGAGGGAAGCCAAGATTGCAGGATGAACGTACGGATTATTCGATAGCGACGACAAAAGTGTTGGTGATGCTGACGCTCCTTGGCGAGAGGCGATGTCCACGTTGAAATCTCTTCGCCGACTGGAAGCCGCGACAAAATAATGTACATACGTTCAAAATATACAGGAATACATCACCCGGCCTCTATGTTTACTTCCTCTTTACCGGCGCCTTGCCGTTGGACTTGCCGTTGGCTTTGCCAGCAGGCTTCTTTTTCCTCCGGTCGTCGTCTGAGACATCAGAGTCGTTGCCGCGTCCGGTCTCTGCCCGCTTCTTGTCCGCTACATTCATGGCTTCGGGTCAGCTTCGTCACGAGTCAAAGAAAAACGGCGGGACGGACATTTGGCGGCTTTACGCTCGAGTTCGTCCCAATCGTCTCCGTCGCTATCATCGTCGTAAGATCCGCTTTCGCTGGCGCTCGAGCCACTGGCGTCGGAGTACGCGTCGGATTCGTCGCTCGACTCTGACTCTGACACTTCTTCGTCCTCGGCTTCGAACTCTGACTCCGTATCGGATTCATCGGAGCCGGCACTCTGCAAGATATCCATCAGCACTTGGCTAAACGCGGGAAATAACGAAGGCACTCACATCTTCACCGCCGGCAGAACCGCCGAGGAAACTCCAGCCGCCATGCTGGAAGAAGTCGTAAGGACTGTCGTTGATGGTTTTCATGATCGGTCCCCAGTTCAAGTTCACCGGTCCTTCGGCAAGCGGAATGTCGACAGAGCTGGTCCAAATGGTCAGCGTCCCGGAAGGCGATGCAGAAGGATAGACCTTACTCTAGCCAGTTCTTGACATCATCAAGCTGCGTGCTTGGTATCGAATTGATATGTAGCGGTGTTTTCGTAAAGTCCTTGAAGACGAGAACCATATCAAATTGCTTCAAGCCAAACTGCACACGTTCCAGTGACGCGATCTCAATATCGCTCAGTGTCACGACAAGGAACGGCGCGTCGGATAGATGGACGAGGCACTCCGTTGTCGGCATAAGGCGCACGTTGGTCCGATGGGGCACACCCTCGAAGGACAACTCGCGGAAGGGAATGTCAATCTCTACAGTATCTCCCGTCTGAACATTCGATGTTAGCGAAAGCGAGCGACCACAAAGACAACCGCTTACAGATTGCGTGGCAGCTTCGGCCACCTTCTCCGAGAAGTGCTTGAACTCCTTATTCAGCATTTGTCGGCGCTTACGTTCTTGTTGTTCCATCTCTATTTCGTCTTCGTCTCCATAACGGTACTTGCGTTTCCTGTTGCCGGTTTCGTCGAACTGCACGTCGGATGCTTCACGGAAAAATTGCACGTCCTGAAGATCCTGTAAGCATTCAGTTCGCTTCCAAGTACCACAAACGTACGTGCGCTTTTCGCTTGCCGATCATGATGGGTGATTTGAGATGACAGTGAAAGATGACGAGAAGCTCGTTATCGCAAGGCTGGAAGAAGAGGTGCTTGATGTTGCTGAAGAGAATATCTGCAAGTGTGTGAGACAGCGGCTCAAAGACGGGATGAACATCCCAGGTACTCACCGACTTTCTGATGTCCTGGTGATACGTAACGCAGACCGTTCTGGTGAATCTCCACCTCGCCCGGAAGTCGCTTCCCGTCTAAGGCAGGGCGGATGAATACTTCGGGAAGCTTATGCGGTCGGCGACCCTTTACTTCGACGAGGCTGCCCTGTTCAATGACATCGGCAAGCTGCTTCTTTTGGGCTTCCCGCTTGTTGATCTCCTTTTTCAGCTCTGTAATTTGCTTCGCGATGTTGTCAAAGCGATGCCCGTCCGTTGAACGATACGTGACCGATCGTATGAAGGTGGCGTCCGGGTCTTCAAACGGCGTATCCTCCTTCTTCCCGGCGAGCTGACCTGGCGTCTGGAAGTTGATGCGCAGAAGGGTATATTCGCCCTCCTCGTTCTTGCTCGCGTTCTTGATCGCGTTGATGTGGAACGGAACCGCAAAGCCATTGATGGGGACGATGACCGATGCCATCTTCCGGTCAACGAATATCCGCAAGTTCTCTACCTCTCGCGGCAGGCCGGCCTCGCCCTTATAGCTCTGGAATCGCTTCCACGACTTGGCCTCATTCTTGCCAGCACCATCCCCTTCCTCCGAGTACTTCGCAAGACCCTCCGACTGCAACGCAGCGTGCAGCTCGCGCTGATGCTCGTGAATCTTCGCAGCCGTCGACTGCAAGACCTCTTCCTGCGCAGCGCTTCGCGTCTTGTTGCGCAGTACTTTGCCACCAGCGGTCTTGTTCTTCATGGGCGAGCCGTTGACTAGGGCCTTCGAGGGCGCAGCTTTGGCGGGTTTCTGCGGCTTCTTTTCTTCTTCCTGGTTGATGTAGAACATCGTGTCGCGTGTTCCACTCACGCCGGCCGTGAATAATGTAGCCCGAGAGTCATCCACCCTGACAGTGTCGGCGAGCTGGAGGGCGTATCTACGGCAGACTTGAGCCTTACAAATACCCGACGGAAATATTCAGACGCACTTTTTCCCTCCCGCCTCCTCCAAGTCTTGGAAGCCCAGGGACAGATTGAGAATCATACCGGTTCTCAACTTGCGACCGTTTTTGGCCGAGAGGAGATACGCTGAGTCACGGAACTCTAGGCCCATCTACCCGACATAGTTAGATATGTCCACGGAGCACGTCAGCTAACATACTCCAAAACCAATAGACTTCACGAAGTTGCCCTCGAGCTCTGGCTTTTCCTTCTTCACGTAGTTCAGAGCGTGTTGGTAGATGTCGCGGATAACGACCCCGTTCTTTATCTTGATAAGGAGCTCTCCCTGCAAGGCTAAAAGCAGGTTATAGATGGCTTCCTGCTCCTTAGTGGGATCCACGATGAAGCTCCGCCCAAGGTTGGCACAGTAGCCCTTGTACCGCATACCGAGCGAGACGAGCAAGACGCCCTTATGGGCCAAGTCGTCTTCGGTGGATTCCGCGCTGAAACGCAAGTCGTACCCAGAACTTGAAGATCGTGATTGGATGATGGGGGTGTAGCAGAACTCCGTCGACATCCAGTCGATCTGATGAACGTGAGCATCATCTCCGAATGACTTCTCGCTAGTGAACATACATTGTTCAGACCCTTTCCCTTGTCCCAGACCTTCATATCCGGTCCTTTAGCGGCTTCGCCCTCGCCAGACCCTAACCTACTCTCGATCTGCCTCGCGAACGCTTCGTGCGAAACCTTCGCTTCCCGGTCCAGAATCATCTCCAGCTTCGTAGCAACATGATGGGCAAGGAGGGTGGACGTTAAATTTGCGGCTGTCCGGACCAGTTTCTGCAAACCAGATATGAGCCGTGGCGACTTCAGAATGTAAATAGCCACGAACCATCTCCTCCTCGTCTTTGACAGCCATGAAAGCTGATACCGCTGGTCCCATATCCACCACCTCCGGCTTCTTGTTGGCTGAATCGAGCGCCCTGTTCCACTCGTCGATGAATTTGCCGCGTTGCTGCTCCTTCAGGAACGTCCCGACGCGCCCGTGCGCAATGTAGCGCTCCAAGAACTTGTTCAGAGAGTCATTCGGAGGGTCCTTCGCCTTCGGCATGACAAAGATCTCTATCGGTACCGGCGAGCTCGGTGTTTGTATTTGGGAAAGATATTTCGCTACGTATATGCCGTCAGCCGTGGTCGAGACGAGAGCGCTGACTCCGCACACCTTTTGACGCCGAACATAGTATGTAGACCTTGTCTTTTTGGAAGAGGAAGAGTGTGGAAGGGAATTCAAAGCCGAAGAGCCACGTCTGTCGCGCACGTCACGTCGGAGAGCACCCCTTCGGGAGGAACAAGGACCCACCTGAAACGCGCTGCCTTTCCGGATAGGCTCGTCTTCGCCGGCCGATTCGCCTGATGGTGCAAACAGTGCGTCCACCTCCGATATTGAGCTGTAGTCACTGTCGCCATCGGCGCTCTACGAAAGGGTTGTTCAGAGCTCGAGGCGGCGGGATCTGGAAACGCAGCAGCCACACACCGTCCAAGAGTCAAGCACAAGCTTGAGGCGCGCGTTGAACTGAGCCTTGTTCAGCTGTACTTTGTCGCCCATGGTAATGGTGGTGGATGAAGAAGAAGGAGAAGAGGCGGTCGTCGCCGACGGAGGTACGGTCCAAGCTTAGGGAAGAGTCAGACGCGCGCTCGTCCAAAATGCGACACGCTGCACGTGTTCCGCCGACGTCAACCGGTCCGCGCTCGCATCGCTGTCGCGCCTCGACAAGATCAAGGTCGATTCAAGTAACTCAATCTTGTCGTATGACATCGCGCATGGGTACTATATACCATACAGCAGCTCGAAAGCTTGACTAGTTCAACAAATCTACGATAATTGCCTGCCGCCGCAGAGAAGAACCCAACGCAGCGTTCACGAAAACCCGTTCACCGCCGGCAATATTACCATGTATCATGACCCCATGAGCTTCGTGGATGTGGCCAAAGACGTGAAGCCTGCAATTGGGGAGGTCCTCGAGCCGGGATCGAAGAACTGCGCATCCAGCTTTCACCCCCTTCCGTGTCGCGTCCAGGATATCGTGCGGAGGGGTGTGCGTTATCAATATGTCAATATCCTCCGGTATTCTCGACCACAGTTCTAGAGAGCAATAAGAGTCGTGCGGATTGTTTAGAATGATATGCACCATCACCGACCTGTCGCCTGTCCTTGGCCATGATACTTGAAAGCACCTTGCGCGTACAACGGCGAGGCCTTGGTGTTGATAGAAATTCAACAGTCAGGTGAAGAGCGTCTCATGTACGTGTACTGACCGGAGATGCGTATATCTTCCAACGTCGACCACCTGCTTCAATCTCTGTAGCCTCGTTCTCAAGGTAACGGATGTTGGCTCCCAGGGCCGCATGGCCTTTGACCAATTCACGAGCAGCTGCCAGCTCCTTTGAACGTATCAGTAACCAGGACGCCGATGGAACAGCGTCACCGGGAGCGTACCTCGGGGGGCATCGACCCCGTCCCTTCCCAAGTGAACAACGGATCAAGGCATAACTGATCGTACCAATACGGACATCAGGTTCCAAGCACGGGATCCCTGGGAGTTGCACCAACATCGTGGTTCCCAGCAGTCACTCTGCAAGTTCAGATATGAGACCGCGGCCCAGCCCATCGGCCACACATATTCACATTTTACATGGGTGGTCCATGCTCATAAGCCAGTTCGTGGTGGTCTTGAGGTGAGCGGTGTACCCCCAGCTGCTCAGGTCTCCTGCATGTATCAGAACGTCGCCCGGTGGTACAGGAAATAGCTTCGAGTGGTTGTCGGAGATGCAAACGAAGCGAGTCCAGCCCAAGCCTGGATGAGGAGGAGGGGCTATTGGGTCGTGTTCCACGTAGATGCGTGCCCCAGAGCGAGAAATGATAACAGGAGTTTGGCTTGAGAGAATGCTCATGGCGGAAAATTGAGAACTATATGCAGTAGGCGCTTGTGGATGATGACGAGCGCTAATATGATCATGACAGCACTTAAAGCTACAGAATCCATTGCAACGCAATGGCCGACATGTTTATGGTACCATCCTCAAACTGAGATTGCCTCCAGCGTATGTTTCCACACTCGCTCCTGTCCTTCGACGGTGATGAACTCGTCGCGACGTCGTAATGTTTTCCCCGTTTCGCCAAATCGTAATACGCGACCTTCGCCTTCGCCTTTCAGTAGAGCATACAGCATGAACTCACCCGAATCACTGGGCGACCGCAGAAGTATCCAGGCGACATAGTCAATGACAACCTTGAGCAGCAACGGTACATCGAAAGGTAAGGAAGGCGTATACACGACGCCCGGATTCGTGTGAATAGTCGTAAGCCATGGGTTCTCGGTAACGAAAGCCTTGCAAGACCGTCATCATTAGCCATGAGAAGGAGCGATGAGCAGGCCTCGGAATGCATATGTACCTCAAGACTGAGCTCCTGGCAGGCCGTGATCGTTTTGCGAATCTGAAATATGCTAGTCTTGTAGAGCTTTCTCAAATCGAGGTCGTCATCCGTTTCGATCTTTCGCCCAGCCCGACCCGCACTACCGATAGAGAGGAGCTTGGCAGGCTCAGCCATCTCCCGAGCTTTGCGGAGTAAAGGAAGTAGCTGCCAACGAGAGATGAGCAACTTTGCATCCGACTAGACGCGCCTCATATGGAATACTCACCTCGAGGGTGAACAGCCATCGAGCGTAGTATGACGCAGCCGCTTTCTTCTCTAGACCTTCCTCCGTTGGCTCGTACCCGTTTAAGTTGACGAGCGCAATGGTGAAGACGAGATAGTTAAGCTTTGGAAGGCGGGAAATCAACTCGGAGGTGACAGCGCGGACATTGCGCATGAGCGTTGCTTCACAGTAGACAAACTCGTGCTTCGCTGCAGCAACGGAGGGTTTCGGCAGTGATGCGATGATACGGTCGGCGGCTAGACCGACAAAACACGTCAGCGACAAGAAGGTAGGTCACAACGACCGTGGCACACCTTCGCGATTCCTACCGCATATTATAATATGCACATTGCCTTTCGTATGACGTGCGAATGCTTCCACAATGCCTCGACCAATCCCACTCGTCCCGCCGATGAACAGCGCGGTCGGTACCGTTGACAGAGCCGATAGAGCAGCGGCATTGTAAGCCTGCGCTTCAGTGAGGGATGGCATGGTATGACAGTCACGACAGAGCGGTGGATGTACGCAAACACGCACGAGAAAGCTGCTTTCGATGCGGCACAGATGATACGTAAGTAACCCGCTACCGGGACCTCGTCGGCAATCTACCTACCTACCTACCTAGCAACTCGCTGCGGTCCTTGCACAACGCAAAGAGAGTTTGTTAGCTGTGATGGAAACAACGAGGATGAAAGCTATCACGCATAGTCGTCAGCAATTAATCGCACGGAAGATGCGCCAATATTGTATTGATCTATGCAGTCGCAATATTCCGCGCATAATGAGTTGATGCGATCGACGTGCCGTGGGATGTTCGCCGGAACGTGTTTCGGACGTCCTCCGAAGTGCGTCTTCGGTGTACTTACTCTTGAGGGGGCACCAGCTTTCGATTTTGCGTTGCTATCCTTTTGCCGCCTCAAGCCAAGATATAAGCACCATCTTTTTGTTATGTGCGCTAGCAATATCATTGCAGACTTGCCTGGGCACGAGCTGTGGATGACATTTGTGAGCGATGCGCTGGCGGCTGAGCCGGCTTCATGCCATTCACCTGCGCCTGCTTATTTGTAAATGCAATCCATTCCAGATCAAGATTCTTCTTGTGGTGCCTGCTGTACTGGATTCTCAACAATTCTTGACGACCCTGAGCCAAGCTGCAACGGTCTATCCGCATATTACCGGTCGCATCGTACGCATTGGCGGCGCCTGGAAGGTATCTTTGATTCTTGCCGGAGAACGACGAGCTTCAACAACATTGTCCGAAGATACGATCGACTTGTCTGCCTATTCCCACTCAAATCTCGGCTGAGGATGGCGAAGATGCCTCGGCTCTTGGCCTTACTGAATCGGTGGTACAGCCTAACATATTCAAGTTCCTCCATGATCAAGCTGCTAGGAGCGGGCCTGTTGGCGAGGATACGCCCCTATTGCGATTCAAACTGACCCTCACGAAGAAGGAAACTATCGTTGGCGTTTCGTGGCATCACACGCTCGGTTTGTCCTAATACATGGTCGGAGTTGCACAGGGTCACACTGACTCTGCTGCAATAGGAGATGCGACGGCTCTGTTTCACTTGCTGAACTACCTCTCTCTCATCTACTCCGGCTCGCACACAGACGACATACCTACCCTCCGAAAGCATTCGTTCCCACATCCTAGCCCCGAAATACTCATGAAATATAGTCCCTGGATGCCACATCTGACGGAAACGTATACTTTGACCGAACTTGGAGACCGCTACCTCCAGGCAGCATCCAACAGAAAAATCGTCCCCCTCAACGTGAGGATACCTCGAGCCTCGTTGCAGGTGTTCCGGAATGCAGTCTGCGAGAAGGCGCAGACTCAGAAGCTAAGCTCCCAGGACTGTTTGTCGGCGTGGATTGTGACCGTCCTCAATCGTCATTACGATGGCGCGCCAGTGAGAATAATCACGAACGCAGCCAGTGTGGGTTGTTGATTGATTTCTCCTCGCATAAACTGATTCGCTATCTCATCGCAGTATCGCAACGTAGAAACATCCTTCACTGATCCGTGTGTTGGCGGAAATGCCATATATATCGTACGTACATCGTATTTGAGCTGTGCCCACCCTATGACGTCGCTGACACATCACCTATAGCTTCGTTCCAAACCCGTGGACCAGAAGGATGTGTTTGACGTCGCACATATCGCGTACACCATCCGACGGTCCATCGAAGATGGCCGAGATCCGGCCTTTATAGGAGAATATATGTCCGCCGCGAGTTATCTCATGAATGAAGCCGCCAACGCAGATCGTTCAATGTTCTTTGCACCCGAGCTTCAGACATTATCCGTCAACTCGCTGGCGACGTGTGTTCATCATCCTGCCCCTGTTTTGCGTCGCTCCTTACTGATAGATGGCGACCAGGCTGGATTGGCGTACGATCGCTTTCGGGCACCCACCCGCGAGGTTCCACGTCAGCGGGACGAATGAACAGTATCTGCGCGTGTTTCGCGCAAATGATTTGCATCCACAGGGATCGGAACAGTATGATATCGAGATATCTCTGGGCGTACCCAGTGATATGAAGACACCGATTCTCAGAACCATGATGGTCGAAATGCCTGGTTCGAAATGTGTATGATCATGATTTCCGAAGGTCCGTCGGTGATCTGCATGTACATTCTCAGGGACGTCCCCTCGGCAAGGGAGTACCTCGATGACCTGCCACGAAAGCTACGTAACGTAGTGCTGTTATATCGTGGCGGCCGACATCTATCAATCAGGACTATAAACAGATGGGACACGCTGTCCAGCAGCACATGTCCATCATGCCGCAACAGCAGGCCGTAACCTCGTCTTTCTGGCCTGAAGAGAAGGTGAGATCAGCGCTCGCTGGCCGGGGAGGACTTGAGTGCTCTTACGCTCTGGTTTGAATGGTCGATCTGCAGCATCTATCGCTAGTTGAGTAGGGTCGACTGGAGAGCACGTTCTACCGTGGCAAGTTCGTCAGGGATCATGAATAGCGTAAGAGGGGGTCCACGCACTCTTCTTCTAGTTCTAGCTCCCGTGCCTCCTGCGTCAAGGCGCAAGGAAGACAGAATGCTGATGTAGCGCAGTCGCTGCTCGTGCTCCCTGTGATTTCGTAGCGTTCGCGAACATCCTTGCGGCCGTCCATCTTGGCGAAGGAATTCATGTGTAAGTATTCGCGGTAGATCTCGTGGGTGCGTGACACTCGCCTGTAATGTGAAACAACAGCAGATGAGCGAGAACAGTCCAAAGCCGGTGCACTCGACGGTGCAACACTCTCTCCACTCGTCTGGAAGGGGATATCCCTTCTCTTCCAGATTTCGGAGACGTTGCTTGTTAGTCGTATGAACGACACATGGGCAAAAGAGCGAAGAGAAGACTGGGGATGCAGGCGGTCACGCAATGAATCCGGAGTAGGAATTCGTAAGGCAGCTAGCCTGCTCACATGTTTTGGGCTGCGAGACGGAATCGAGCAAGTCGTGGCTCCATGCCCTTGAACCATCTAGCCCGTCACGAGGCAGGTTCTTCACGTTTCGGTTGCCACCGCTAAGACTCATGCCTAACGTTGCCGTGGGTTGTTGAGCCACATAGTCGCCGCCCCAAGGAAGACGTTCTGAATGCGGCTGCGTCTCGGGATGAGAGTGTGACCTGGAGCGAGCGTGGGGGTTCGGAAGGTCAAGAGAGGGCTTGGGCGAGGGAGATGGTGCCGCCAGCGTCTTTTCGTCCACGATGTCCTGCATCTGCCCAACAAACCGATGTAGAGAGGGTGAAAGGGTAAGAGGCGGAAACTGCGGAGAAAAGCTGCATTCCGTCTCCATTCATATTAAGCTGCGATGCCTCGGTCCATTCATGATCACGCCGAAAAGGACGTACACACAACAGCCATCTACTACAAATGGTGTTGGCACAGCGTCGGCATCGCGCGCCCCGTTGCTGAAGCGCTGAAGGCTCTGAGGATCCCACGCTGTGTGTTCGTCGCCGTCGCCGCAAGAACCAAGCTGAGACTCGAGCTTGAGCTTGGGAAGAGTCAGATCCGATCGGGCGCTTCGTCGCAGCCTCGCTTTGTCAACTTTCAACGTGCACTTACTATCGCTCGACTTCGTTTTCTGTTGTTTGCTCGAGGAGATATGGATAGTCAACTCGATCTTATGATTCGAGAATGGCTCAGACTGGACCAAGTTGGTGTCGCATCACCATCTGCGAAGGCGATACTTCATTGATCATCCCACCATTCAAGAACAGCGCCACCCGCGCAGAGGTGCAGGCCCTGCTGGACCGTGGAGACACGGTCGAGCTTGAGAAGCGGATGAGGTATGCTGTGCCCCTTGGTACCATCTCATCGGATGCCGAGTAACGTAGTTCAGGACGCGCATCGAGTTCGGGACCGCAGGTTTGCCCAGTCCATCCACTGGAGAGGAGACATTAGATTGTGATTGCATCAGGACTCAGAGGAAAGATGGAGGCGGGATGGGCGCGTATGAATGATCTGACCGTCATCCAAGCGTCTCAGGTTTTTGGATGATCCCTTACGTTCGCTATGCCATCCGCTCAGGGGTGATACCCACCAGGGATTGTGCGCGTACGTTCTGAAGAACGTGAAGGATGCCGCCACGCGCGGAGTCGTTGTCGGGCATGATCATCGTCACAACTCTGAACGATGGGCTGAGCTCACGGCCACTGCGTTCATCGCGAAAGGGATCAAAGTGTACCTGCATCAAGGATTGGTTCACACACCGATGTTGGTTTATTCCTGGTCGGATGGGCCGCAGTACAATATTGATTCCGAACTCGTAAACAGGGTTCCCTTCAGCGTGAAATCGCTACACGCTGCTTGCGGTGTGATGATTACAGGTCCGTGATCTCCCGTTGATTCTGTCATACAAATGATAATCCCCACGTAGCTTCCCATAACCCAAAGGTGGGCTCGCGCGCTTCCTACAATACTCGCCTCGACTGACCGTTCGTGGCAGCAAGACAATGGATACAAAGTGAGCAGTTGAATCTTCTCTTTGCCTTGACGCGGCTAAGCTGTCGCAGGTGTACTGGGAGAACGCCGTGCAGGTTCGTTCGCATGAGCGTATATGTGATCGTAATCAGCGACCGACACATCATCTGCCTCAGATTATTGCCCCTCACGACAAAGGCATCGCCGCTGCCATCCTCGAGAACCTCGAGCCTTGGTCATGGGACACGGACAAGGCCGTGTCTTCCTCACTCCGCGCCGACGTTACAGCGGAAATGCACGAAGCATATTTTGCAAACCTGGCAGCGCGGAGCAAAGACAAGTGCGCTTTGCTTCCATTCCCAGAACGTACCCGGCATGCTGATGGGGTCGTAGATCGCTGAATGCAGCGTCTTCGCTCGTCTTCGTCAACACGTCTATGCACGGCGTTAGCCATCCCGTCGTGACGCGCGCATTCGACATCTCCGGGCTGAAGCCGTTCATTGCTGTGGAAGAGCAGAAATTGCCTGACCCAGAGTTCTCGACGGTGCGGTTCCCCAATCCGGAGGAGAAAGGTTTTTCGTCCGCACAGTTGTGTTACGTTGAGTTTGACCGTGATTCACAGGCGCTTTGGTAAGCTCCGGCGATGAGGATCGCGATTGAGAATTTGCGTCGACATGTAGTCATCAGGACCTTGCCCTCAGTACGGCCGACAAACACAAGGCGAATTATGTGTTGGCGCAGGATCCAGATGCGGACAGGTTCTCCGCTGCAGAAAGAGGGTAAGCGGCTAGTCTTCGTTCCCTCACCTGATAGACCAGCTGATCGGTGTGTGTCCTTAGTGCTGATGGTCGATGGGTCACCTTCACGGGAGACCAACTAGGCGTCCTCTTCGCAAGCTGGACACTCGATCAATACAAACAGACAGGAAAACCCCTATGTTCGTCACCCCGGTAATCTCATGGTTCGTCGGACGAGAGTTAATGCCTCTTTAAAGCGAAGCTCGCCATGGTGGCGTCCACGGTCAGCTCGAAGATGGTCGAAGCAATAGCACACGCTGAGGGTTTCAAGTTCGTAGAATGCCTCACGGGTGAGTCCCTTTCAACTGCATGAAATAAATTTTCGATTGGGGTTTTGTGCATCCTGCACAGGCTTCAAGTTCATCGGGAACACAGCCTTGAATTTGGTTGCGGAGGGCTATGAGGTGCCATTCGGGTGCGTCTACTGACTAGCTGTTTTCTGCCTGCGTCAGTTCACTCAGTGCGGTCAATGCTTCCTTGATATAGGTACGAAGAAGCCATCGGCTTCATGTTTGGTGACCTTCGCGACAAGGACGGTGTGGCTGCTACAGTAAGCATACTGTTCGACTGTCTGGTACGATGCCTGGATGCCTTGTCCAGCTCCAATTTGCAGAGATGGTGGTCTCTTTGCATCAGCAAGGCAAAACGGCAAGCTCCCATTTGAAAGAGCTGTACGCCAAGTTAGTGACACACGCTTTCATCTGAACGGAATTTTTCATTCATTACCCTTCTTCATGTTAGATACGGCTACTTCCAGGTTGGTTGCCTTTGACTTATACTGAGGAAAGGCTCAAGAAGGCACCACACAGACAAACAACAGTTACTTCCTCTGCTATGACCCATCTACCATAGACAGGATCTTTGCTCGGATTCGCAACTTCGACGGCTCGGTCCGTCATGTTGATCACTTGCCTGTCTCTGCTATTGATCTCATTTGAATGTTAGGCGACTTCTGATAAGCCAGCCTATCCGAAGACCCTCGCAGACTTGACGATCACAAGCGTCCGCGACCTCACCATAGGTTACGACAGTAGCAACCCGCCAACCTACAAGCCGACGCTACCGCTGTCGTCTGGACACATGATTCAATTCCGAGCTGCCAATTCTGATGGGTCAAGTAAGATCGTGCTGACGACGCGGACAAGCGGCACCGAGCCAAAGGTAAGCTTCCGATTGAGAAGGCGCAGGGACCAGCTGACCCCAGGCCAGATCAAATACTACCTTGAAGGTCAGGGCTCCAATGTGGAAGGGGTAACGGAACTATTGGGCCGTGTCGTGAGCGAGTTGGCGGAGAATTGGATGCAAGCAAGGAAGAATAATCTGGGTCAACCTTAAGCATGACGCTCCCAGGTTCAAGGGCGACTTGAAGAATTCAATGCACCATAGCTTACCTGTTTACTGCCGGGATCGCACTCCCGCATCGCATTTGGTCCAATAAGATACATACATACATCATCGCAATCCATTGCCTTTTTCGGTGCGAGCAGCCGTCAATCGAACACATAGGAGGAAGCCTCGCACCAGCTCCAGTCTCGACCCCAGAGCCTGCATGATGACGATCAGCGACAGTTCTGGAGGGCAATGAGGTGAATACGTGCCCAGATCCGAGTAGCCCAGCCGCTCCAAGACTGTCCATGGAGGAGTCAAGGACGACCCAATCTGGGGTCGCTACGCCGGTCCGAATAGGGATAAGACGTGCGGCCCTCTCGATCCCTTCATCATCATCTGCTAATACCAGCAGGGCGACAGCAGTTGCATCGGTGGGATGAGGATGCAGGAAAATGGTTGCTGTGAAGCAGCTCATTATCAGGAAGGACTTTCCTGACGCGTTCATGAGGCTTACCGAGCGGCCAGCAATCAATCAAACGCGTTCCTGCGAGTAGGCAATCGTCTTCCGTTCGGAACGGGGTTCTTCCCTCTTGCAACAGCTTGCCCGGAAGCTCGTCTCGAGGACTGCCGATCACGACCAGGTTCCCGGCACCGAGAGCGCCTTTCTCTATCCGGTCAAGGGCGGTAGAGCCTGTGACGATGCTCGCGTCAAGCCTGTGGTATACGTTCAGATCGTGAGCTAGGCGTGACCCGCTTGAGGCCGCGCGCGTTGATAGGTCATCCGGGACAACGATAGTAATGGCCGCCTGCGAGCTCAGGATCCGTTGTATCCTGCCTGAAGGCTGACCGAGATAGGGGGTATCTTGCCGCGTTTCATGAACCTACGTCTGGTTAGCGACGCTAGAGAAGATCAGGCAAGGTGGGAATTACCTTCCATCGCCGTTCGGCATCCAGCTGTAGATGCACCGTTTCCGGAAGATGACCTCTAGAGATTGGAACGTGCAGTCCATCGATGACCAGTTCGGATGTCGTGATCTGACTAGTGTTGAATGACAGGACATAAACATTGTGTGCGGACACGAGAGTCGTGTCCCCGAGAGTTTCAACGTTGATTCTTCCCAAGCTAAAACACCCACTGAACACGACTACAATGTGCCAGGAGTCGAGGCACTAACCGTCCGGGTGTGCGCAATGCCAAGATTCTCCAGCCGTAGAGGGATCCAGACTCCGAAGGGACGGCGACCGTGAGAGTAAAGGGCGTAGTAGGTGCTGTTGGCTTAGCGTCTTGGGAAAGCGCGTGATCAAGGAACCGCTGGACTTCATCGTTGGCGAGTATGGACGGATACCTGGATCCAATTGAAGGTCAACGTGGGGTAGCGCATGGGAAGGGCAGAGCCAGTTCACCAATGTTGCTGGCCTTGGTCCTCACGTAAGCTACGGGCACATGCTCGGCAATCGGCAGAGTACAAGAAGGCAAGATAAAAACTCACTGGACGCTTGCATTCGCGTTCCAGGTTCGTATCGTCGCTACTAGCTCTCGACTATGCCACGTCGGCACGTTATCATCGTCACCCCTGTTCGGAAGTGTCAGCTGGGGCCCGCTTCGCATGTCTGCGGGAGTACGCACCCATGCACCGCCAAGATAGGAGTGTTCGCTAGATTGGTCATGAAGAGGTCGTTGTCGTCGGGCGTCAAAGACGATTCCAAGATAGCTTTCAGCGACGGGTCGATGAAATGTGCCGAACTTAGAAGAGGTCAGCATATGACGGTGAGAAGCATGTAAGAACGCTAACCGAGAGAGAGTCAATGGGATGTACGCCTGGGACTTGACGTACCCTGCGGCTGGGACAGCTATGACATTCAATGATGAGAGCTCGTTTTCAGCAACCTGGAAACCAGCAGCTACCTGCCAATATGCGGTCAGGGAATCTAGCAGCGTTCCACCACGCCCCCTGCCCGCCGTTCGAATGACCGATCATCACGACTTTCGTGTTATCTGCAATGCGCCATGGAGCCCAACCGTCGTTCTTCTTCAAGATCGTTGTCAAAGACTCGAGCGAGGCCCAAACATCGTCCGAGCTTGGACCATGCCAGTCAAGACCCTGAGTCCAACTTGTGAGAGGAGCGTTGCAGAGTGCATGGTATCGGATGACTCGCCCAAGAAGTCCGTCCCGATGGTACAACGATCCAGCTATGCTTTTGCACAGGAAGCGAGTCTACCCAAAACGGCATGGAGAAAATGTCGACACCGGCGCCATCTGCAATTAAGCTGGCTAGTCAATATCGGTCGTAAGAGTGGTTCGAATGGAGGGCGTACGCAAGGCGATGATCGGCGGCCGGGGTTGCTCTTCATTCTTCTCCAAAGGAGAGATGACATAGAAAGCGGTAGGAGACGTTTCGGCGTAGAAGTACGAGGCTTTGACTTGGGAGCCGGTACCCGCAGACAGCTCCTTGACGTGCTTGATTTCCAAAGTGACTTCAACCGTGGTAGATTCCTTGGGGGAAGATATTTGCAAAGTAATAGGTAGTTTCGACAAGTCTGATGTGGACGTCTGAACAATCTTCAAGGGGAGAATCCGAGTCTGTTTGGGCGCGATCTCGGTGGGTTTGACTAGGAGTACCTGCAAGCCCTGAGCGTTCTCGAGTCAGGCAAGCTCAAAGGGAACAGGAGGAGCACTCTCACTTCAATCGGCTCCGTGAGATGAGCCTCGCTGACGGTCCACCAACCACCGACGCTGCGCACCCCAACACCTAACGCTTCTCCGAATGCCCAGTCGCCCAAAAAGTCGCAAACAACGTCGTGCGTCGCGTCGTGGACGAGCTCATGCCGCGGTCTCTCGAGATCAACAGAGATATTTATGCTCAAGGTCGGGTAAGGCCTGCCGGCGGAACGCGGGTCTCCGAACAGCCGAATCTGCGAGGAATGAAGAGCGGAAGTCGAAAGATATGCTATCGGGACGTTACCTCGTAGTCTCCGCTGATGAAGAGGTCGTAGGTTGTAGCCTCCGTGAGAGACAGACCGGGGAGATCCACCGATTGAGGCGGCGCTCTTTCCAGCCCGTATATGTTGCCGGAATACCACGCCGGAACGTGATTGCGAGCTGAGGTCGGGATGACGGTGAAGAAAGATCCTTGGATTAGCGAGACGAGCAATGTAGGCGGTTCGTCGAACGTGCTCCTCCGTGTTTCCGGTGGGTAGATTGTGAGGGTGCTCCGAAGGACTGTGTGATGCTGGAGAGCCGCCCATCCCTCTGTAGCGCGCAGGTTTTCCCACCTGTCACTCAGGTCAAATAGGAGTAGCAAGACAAGAGAATCGAACATTACCGGATATGTGGGAATGAGACCTGGAGGTTGCCGTCCCCGTCTGCCTTCGCCTTCGTCCACCCTACGCTACCACCGTCCGCGTACGCGGAGGGCCACGACGAGTTGTAGTCAATAGGCTCGTATACTGGATAGAGTGCGTGTTACAACTAGCTGCGTGCGGGATAGCAGTGCCTCATACGTTTCAGGGGGAAAGACGGCGAGAGGTAATGTTGTTCCCTAGCATGAATCGGGAAAGGACCAAGTACCTGATCCCTCGTTTTTGTAGTGAGGAGAAGAATCGGCGAGTTTTTGCGCGACGAACTCACATCCCAGTCTGCCGATACCTCGACTCTCCAGTCGGTGCTCATGATGCCCGTTTGAAGGACGTGTTGGACGGAGTCTGGGCGCGTGGCGTGCGCCTGAAGTACCCAGAGAATGGAGGCAATGCATATTGCAAGGAGCGGTACCGAAGCGAGAGTCATCGCGCGTCCGTTAGCACGACAGTCTATCGCGACAGTACTCTACAGGCAACATGGCGCCGCAGCGTCAGTCCGGAAATGTCCAGGGACTCAATACTAGCTGTGCTGCTTCTTCCTGGGAAAGCACCCACGAGGTTTGACCGATGCATCTCTCGTCCGTTGTTGGTGCTGACTCCGTTCGCAATACATGACTCTTAGTTCGTGGCCTCGAAGCCTTTATACTTTAGCATCCACTGGCCCGAGATCACTCCGAAAACATTTCCCCACAGGCTACTTGCAAGACGATGACACCAGCAAGTGCGCCTAAGGTGCTAGACGGCAGCGTGCTCGAGGGCGGTGGTCAACTCCTGCGCAACTCCATGACACTCGCTGCGCTCACCGGCAAACCCATATCGATCAATAACATCAGAGGCAGACGAAATCCTCCAGGGCTCAGGAATCAGCATGCAGCAGGTTCGTAATTGCCGTGCACATTATGAGTCCGGCAACGCTGCTTACCGTGGGTTCAGGTCTTCGGTTGGTCGCAGACATAGCATCGGGTGTGCTCGAGGGAGCTCGGAACGGGTCTTCTGAAATTGACTTCATACCGCGGGACATACAGCTCGGCGATTATCTTGCCGATCCGGGTACTGCTGGCTCCACCACTCTTCTGCTCCAAGTCTCTCTGCCCTGTCTGATCTTTGCTCCAATGTCTGGCATTGGACCCAACGGATCGAAGCCTTCTACCCTGACTCTCCGAGGTGTGCGCGCATCCTCGCTCATGTGAGCTCCGGCGTGTACGATTGATGTAACCCCCGAAGGCGGGACAAACGCCAGCCACGCCCCGCCGATCGACTACACGCAGCACGTCTTCCTTCCTTTCATCGGTCGGCACTTTGGTCTCTCGCCCGATATCAACGTTCGCAAGCGAGGGTACTATCCCAAAGGCGGCGGAGAAGTCGTCGTCACCGTTCCCGCCGTGACCGGCCCGCTCCCCGCCGTGACACTGACCACCCGCGGGGCCGTACGGCAGGTCCGAGGTCGCGCGTACGTCGCGGGGGTTTTACCCATTCTTGTGGCGAACAAGATGCGGGATGCTGCCACAGCTGCGTTGCTCAAGCATCCCGGTATCAGTCCGGAGATGATCGAGATCGAATGCGTCAAGGAAAATGAGGCGGATGCGGTGGGTACGGGGAGCGGGATCGTGCTGTGGTGCGAGACGACGGAGGGCTGCGTTCTGGGCGGGAGCGCGCTCGGCGCTAAGAGCGTGAACGCTAAAAAGGTCGGCGAGAGCGCCGCTGCCGAGCTGGTGCGAAACCTGGAGCATGGCGGATGTGTGGACGAGTATCTGCAGGCGAGTTCTTGTCTACTCGTCTTGAAAAGTCCGTTCACGAGGGCTGACTTCAAAACGAACTGCAGGATCAGATCGTCATCTTCATGGCGCTTGCGGAAGGTGTCTCGACCGTTTCCGCTGGACCGCTGACAATGCACACCCGCACAGCAATATGGGTCGCAGAGCAGTTGACAGAGGCCAAGTTCGAGGTGAACGAGTCTGATCCAGCCAAGACGACCATCAAGTGCATCGGAATCGGCTACCGGTCGCCGACATCGGGGCAAATGTCGTAGTTTACATTGTCGTGTCATGCAGCGAGATGCGCGTGCACCGCAGTAATATATGATGATACATCATAACAGTCGTGCTCTCCTACTCGCATCCAACGCCTTCGTCCGTTTCCAGGTATCGACAGTGAGCTCCGGCTCGTTCGACGAGAGTGCATACAGCCTGCGAAAGCACGAGTGAGAACAACATCTCGTCGATCCTCACAGAAGGAAGGGGGGGCGATGACACGTACTTTGCCAGCGTCATTCGCTGTATCAGGTCTTCGCTCGTCACTTTGTCCTGAGCGCACGGCTGCGCCTGACGTTCGGCCACGAAGTCGGCCTGAATGTGCTCCGACGTGCCTTCGCTCACGCCGATGCGCGGCGCTCCTTTCGCGCCCACCACCAGGGCGCGGAAGGCGGCGAGCTTCTCGGGGGACGGGAGTGTAACGGACGAAGCGGGTTTGTAGAGGTCGGCGCCATTCTTGAGGTCAAGTGGAAGGACGAGGTCCGTCTCGAACCAACGATACGTCATTGAGGAGTCCACCATAGAGAAGAGGAGTGGTACGCTACCTGGAAGAAGGCGCTTTTCGAGCCTTCCGCGAGGATGATGAAGGAGATGTCGGTAGGGAAGGAGAAGGAGCTGTAGGGGAACTGGTAGGCAAGCGATTGGGTCGAGAGCACTTCTTGAAGCGAGCGGATGTTCATCACTCCTGTCACGATTGTTATGGTCAGAAAAAGCTCGCGTACTGTCATGATGGAGAGTTACCTTTTTCGACGAGCTTGCCCTCCTGTACGCCGGCCTCCGTGACGAGGACAACGCTGCCTTGAGGGAGCTGCAGCGCGCCGCTGTGTAGATCTTCGCCTTCGGCATCGGCGGACGCGTGAGAGGAAGGGGCGAAGGCATCTTGGTTGAGTTTATCAAGTGAAAGCGGGAGGGTCGAGAAGAGCGGGAGCAGGAGGGAGAGGATGTACGAAAGGGTGGGCGTTTGAGCAGAGGCAGAGGCTGGAGCACTGGTTATTGACGACGAAGAACTGGTAGATGCCGGGCTAGTTTGGGGTGGTGGTACGGGGAACCGGGAGAGGGTTAGCGAGGGAGGAAGGAGGGGCGGATTGCGGGATTGTCTGAGGGAGAACGAGCGTCAGTATGGCAGCGAGCACGTTGTCATGAAAAGGACATACACTCGTCCAAGGCATGTCAGGAGAATCCATTCAGCTGCCTCGCGGTCTCCTCCCAACGCCTCGTCGGCAATCCAAGTGATGAGTTCTTCGCGAAGCGCATCGCCGGTGCTCTCCGGTGCAGATGGCGCAGCTGGGAAAGGTCTTGAGATCACGGCGGACGCGTGTGGGCGTGCAAACAGGACGTGCATGGTTGGCACTTCGGCTTGGTCTTCATGCCCGGCATAGGAGTATCTGGGAAGGCGAGGTGAACAAGGTTTAGTGCTGGTGAAAACGGCGCACATACGACTCCGAACTAAGGATGCCAACGAATGTACCAAGCTCGGTAGTTTTGAAGGACTCGGTGATTGCATTGTCGTATATCTATTCAATTGTCAGTTCACTGGCGCCCCTATGGAAGCCTGCCGCGGTGACCTTGAGCTGAACGCCAACGTGCGGGGTATTGGTTATGGGATACTTGTGCGACCGTGTTGACGATGAGGAATGACCGGCGGAGCTCGATGCTGTAGCACTGCTTGAGCGAATCGGTAAGCGTAAAGATGGGTCGGCGCGTACCTGACGAGGGGCCATCCAATTCGCGGGTGCACCACTCGCTCTCCCCGGGCACGGACACCGCCCAGAACGTGCTGCATTCCCGGAGATCTGCGTAGTTGATCACATCGGACTCGGAGTCTGGTAGCGTGGTTTCAATGCCCCAGCCTCCAGGGCGACCTTGTCGGAGCTTTGAAAGGTACATCTCCGGCGAGGACGAAGTGTCTTGGACCATGCCACGAAATCTGACGAGCGACCCAGAGGGGTGGCTGCTCGGGCCATTTTTCACGCCAAGAACGGGGATCTGGGGACATCGGAGCGTGGGTCTCGGATTACACCAGACGACGTTGCGTTTGCTTACCTCGTCAAACGCGTCCGCGGAGCCGAAGATGGCGTCAAAGTGCCTTGACACCGCCGCAGCAAAGTCGGAGTGGTCTCCAGAGCCGTAGAGATCGATTAGCGCCTGGGTCGGGTCGCGAAGCGCGTCGGCGAGCAGAGAAGAGACCATCGTGTGCGCTCAAGCTTAAGACGCGTGCAGCAAAGAGGAGCGAGATGAAGCGCGTCCGTGGGAACCTTCGGCGCGCTGTCATCGGACCGCCGTCAGCACATGATTCCGCTCTCAGTGCCGCACAGCCCGCGTCGCCCAGTGCCGTCAGCGCCGAGCTCAGTCTGACCCAGCAACGCCGACCGCCTTGGATCGCGCCTCCACAGGCCATCGCCAGCACCACCAACGATGGCCCTCTTCAACCGCCGCAAGAAGCCCGACGACGACTCCAATGCAGAGCAGAAGAAGGAGAAGGGCGGCTGGCGACGCCCCGCAAGTGCGTTCAACCTTCGCGGGACTTCTGGCACGGCGCAAAGACTTATCTCCTGTCGCAGACACGGCCTTCAAGCAGCAGCGGCTGAAGGCATGGCAGCCTATTCTGACCCCGAAGACGGTCATACCGACGTTCTTCATCCTCGGAATCCTCTTCGCGCCCATCGCGGCGCTGCTCATCTGGGGCAGCGACCAGGTCAGTCTTATATCCTCTCGTGTGTTTTGGCATCGCTCACATGCACCACGAACGCAGGTTTCCGAGATGACCATAGACTACACCAAGTGTGATACCCTAACGCCTTCGTCCGACGCCTCCTCGCCTTCATTCACCAAGCTCTCTTCCTCTGATTACTCCTACCGCCTCCGTTCCTCCGCCTCCTCCGCCTCCATCTCGCCTCCCCAATATGCCTTCGTTCAAAACAGCTCCTCTGCCGACCCATCCACCCGCAACCAGTGCATCGTCCAATTCGACGTTCCGCTCAAACTCGACCACAACGTATTCCTCTACTACAAGCTCACCAACTTCTTCCAGAACCACCGGCGATACGTGAAGAGCCTCGACACGGATCAGCTGCGCGGCAAGGCGGTGAGCCACAGCACAATATCGGGCGGCGCGTGTAAGCCGCTCGACGTCAAGAAAGTCAACGGTAGCGACAAGATCATCTTCCCCTGCGGCCTCATCGCCAACTCGGTGTTCAACGACACCTTCTCGAACCTCACCCTCGTCTCCTCGTCTTCTTCCGGCACGTACACCTTCTCGGAGAAGGGCATCGCATGGCCGGGCGAGGCGAAGAAATACACGTCGAAGACGAAGTACTCGCTCGACCAGATCGTACCCCCGCCGAACTGGGCGTTGCGATACCCGGACGGGTACACGGATGCGAACCCGCCGCCGGACCTGAAGAACGACGAGCACTTCCAGAACTGGATGCGCACCGCCGGCCTGCCCACGTTCACGAAGCTCTACGGGCGCAACGACCACGACGACCTCGAGGCGGGCACGTATCAGATGACCATCAACATGAGTACGTATTCGATTTTTTTTTTCACCGCTGGGCGGATGTACGGGCGCTGATGGTGATCTGCGCACAGATTTCCCGGTCAGGCCGTACAAGGGCACGAAGAGCATCGTGATCAGCACCGTCTCGTGGATCGGCGGAAAGAACCCCTTCCTCGGATGGGCGTACGTTGGCGCCAGCGCCCTGTTCATCCTGCTGGGCATATTGGGAACGATACGACACGTGGTTAAACCCAGGTACGGAATGAATCGCGTTGGACCGTGCTGCACTTCTCCGGGCTCGACGCTATGCGATCGAATGCGCAATGGACGTTTCGCTGATATTCTGTTTCAGGCGCCTTGGCGATATGTCGCTCCTTTCATGGAATCGGTGAAGGGAGAGGGTCGTTAGTCAACGGTTTCTTCCCTACTTAATTCGTTCATGCCCTCCTTTGTGTACCCGAGTACCCGAACATCATGTGTAATATCCAGTTGTGGGACATTATCTCTATTGCGTTAATATGGCAGTTCGGGACCTCGATGCCAGTTGTCGGTTTCTGCGGTAGGTAAGGTATGGTATGATATGGTATGGTAGTTTCCGCTACCTACGTAGGGCCAATCCGGAGGACAAGCGATCAATCAAGTGTACTCATTGAAACTGATTACCGACGGCCCCACATAATACACGCGCTGAACGCTCGTCCGTCAATGCGGAGAGATAGGCAGTCGACTAGAATCCTGTCGTGTAAGGGGTAATTACGCATGGTTCGCCCGTACTGTTAGCATCTGTGTCGGCTGGTGGAAGCATCGACAGACGATGTAGAACCTTCCGGAGGCGTAAGTATTCATCATTCGACCCCAAGCACGCAAGAGTCAGTACGGATCCACAATCTGAACGATCCATAACGAGCTCAAGACTTGGTGGTGCTGGTGAGAGCCCTATCGCGTGCGGACGGCATGCGATTCCGATCTATATTCCTGGTACGCTGCTTATATTAGGGCGCTGAGAGGAAGGACGAATCGATAACGACTACGCTTGTACGTGAGATGCGGTGGGTAGTTTCTAAGGGTCGCGAGATCTCTACTTCCGCGCGCGGTCGAAATCCTCCTTCCGGTACGCCGTCAGCTGCTCCGAGAGCGTCTTCCAGCGCTCCTGAACCACGGGCATGCGTGCGATACTCTCGGGTGCAAGGTAACCCCGGTTCTTGAACGATGTGTACCACACTACAAAGGTAAAATGCGATACAGAAGCGCGGTCAGTCAGGCAGCAGTCACACGAGACGTAAAGGCAAAGAAGAACAAGGAAAACGGTTCTCTGGCAAGCCAAGAAATAGCTTCATTTACAAGATCCGCCATCGCGGGTGTGAGATCTGGAGTGAAGAATGCGAAAGGACCGTGCGTGAATGGCGAAAGCGCAGGGACCAAGTGGGAGGGAAGGGATCAAGTGACTGGTGACGTACGTATATCCTCCCGCTTGGTCGGTGCGGCATCCACCCTGTCCGTCCGGCCCTTGACGCAGTCGTACAGAGCAAGTCGGTTGTAATACCTGATGGCCACGTGAAACTGCGGCAAGACGCTCGTTCAAGGAGATATCTACATACCTGCAGAAGACGGAGCCTCCGGCTTCTTCCACAGCCTTGATGGCGGAAGCGGATGCGCGAGAGGGCGCGATATGAATGGGAGTACGCAAGTTCTTCGCGCCCTATCGTAGAAATAATTCAGCCTTCATTCCAGCACAGTGTTAAAAGTGCGAGCCGGTGGGAGTAAGAAGTCCCAAAAGCAGCGGCGCCCACAAGGTCGACATCGCAACAGGGAAAGCATGGTACGGAAGCGGGATCGACTGGAGGAATGGCTTACATCGCCCAATAGTTTTACCCCGTCGTGTACGTCGTGGATGCATCCACTGAGGAGCAATTCTCGCGCCGTGATGGGTTTGTCTGGTGAAGAAGTGAGCCTACCGGTCTCTATCCAGTGCTGCACGCGGTCCAGGTTGACTGGCGCATATGTTTTTCCATGACTGTCAAGGTTTGTATTGTGTTAGGGATGCAACAGGTGCGCGGAGAAGAGGAGTGTCGCGCACGGGTTGATGAACCCCCGCTTGGGTATGAGTCGGACCAGGGGTGTCTGGCCACCCTCGAACTGAAGGCGAGGTTTACCGTTCCCTCCGCGAGCCTTCTGACCCTTGTGTCCGCGGCCGGATGTCTTTCCTAGACCAGACCTTCGCCCTCGCCCCACGCGTTTTTGCTAGCAATGAGCTCGAATGAGGCATGGCAGAGGTGTAGTGCGAATCTGCAGCTTACCGAGTGTAGCGAGCCCTCTGCAGGAGAAAGGTTAAGAAGATGGACCTTGGAGGTCGCGCCTCGGACGGAGGTCGGCTTGAGCATGATGTCGATGGAGGTCGCCCGCAAGCCGCAACGAGGAGGGTGCTGGAGCTGAGCACAGCCACTCAGTTGCACATAAATTGCAAATTCACCCCACGTGGAGGACTTAGGTCTTTGACTGCTCTCACCGTCTCTGTACCCGCTTGCTTTGCACCGCTAACGTTCGTAATGCCATCGCACACTACCGGCACAGCAAACACACTGGAAATATTAGACTTCAGCCTTCACTCACTCAAGATGATTTCGTACGTGTGCTTCATACGCGGCTCTGGAAGAAACTCGGGGCGAAGATAGCCGGCGTCGGGGTTCCCAACGACTTTCACATCCACGGAACCGACATCATATTGCGTGGAGATCAGACGTCCCAATGCTTCCGTCACAATTGAGTGCGAAGCAGCGTAGCCGGGCACATATACATATCTTAGACACCCACCGGAACCCTAGTTTCACTCCTGTTTGCTCCCCGTACCGTGGCTGTTTAAGTATCCCATTGCTTACCTGGCGACGAGTGCTGTTCCTTTTTAAAACCGCTGCGCACGTTGATTATGCACCTGGAGTTTTGATGAACGGCCTCCGCAATTTCACGGTCGATGCGGCTACGACGGTTTCCGCCTCGCCCTCGGCGGCATCGACAACGATAGCCGTCTTTCCGTCCGATATCGTTCCTTCGTCGTTGGACCCGACATTAGCGCCGTCTTTATTGGCTGCATGCTCATGTGTGTGTGAGTAACCTCTCGACGTAGTTTATCTCTTGCTATCTCCTCGCGATAAAGTAACTGAGAACCCGCGTCCGTGTTCGGCGATGCTGACCGTTGTGCTTTTTACCAGGCTGTATGGCTGCGCGTTGACTCAAACTGGTCAGTGCTCGGAGCGATTACTTTGACTCCGACTCAACTCAAACTGGCGATCCAGTATTCTACCTGCGCCAATTTCCTCATGACCCCAAGACGACGCGTCTCACTGTGCGTCGTCACGCGATTTAAGCCTCCTTCCAGTCATTTACTCACCGCGTCTCAGGTTTTGATCCTTTTGTGCGTAGACACAGCATTGGAACATACCACGGGTCCCTAAAAGCAGCCTTCATCAGCCTTCTGGAATCCGTCCATTCCGCATTAGCATGCCATGCAATGTATTATCAAGCCATCACAAAATTCGGAGACTACTTCGCACTGCTGAAGAATGTATGGTGAGTATGCTTCATTTAGTTCGGGTGTCAACGTATGGCTTATATCTCAACATAGGAGCATGATGGTGAATGGTTCGCATCTTTGCTGCCCGCGCACGCGTCTCACGATGGATTTTCTAGGTTGGTATGGTCCCATCGGTGAGTCTAGGTGGAAATCCTTGAAGAGGAAGAGACATCACACGACTTCTAGATGATGGCGATTTTCATTGTGCAATAGTCAGCATATTGATACACCTAGGCGTCTAGAGCATACTAACCCTCTTAATCGTAGTATCTGGATCATAAGGATATGGACTGTCAACCATGGGGAAAAGCGGACTTTCCTGGCCGCTATACAAGTAAGTTACCATGTCTTGTGTGCCCAGCTTCGTGATCATGACAGTGCTATTGCTAGGGCACAATTGTCCTTGTTGACTTCGGTGTTGCATGTGGTGAGCTCTCTCTGTCCACGATTAACCGAATAAACTCAATTCTTAATCAAAAGGGTGGGTTGGTCAAACGTACGTCATCAATCCATTTATTTATGTAGATGCTCAAGGTTATGCAGATGGACGTCGGAGGATATACTCAGCTCGAATCCAGTGTGTTTCCCGTTCACCATAACCACGGTTATAAGCTCATCGCCGGGGCACCCGCAGTGGTTGGCTCTTGTTGCAATCATGCTCGTCACCTTCACGGATCTTGTCAACTGCTCGACCCTCACATATTTGCTCTGGCGGACGAGGAACGGCCTCGTAAGGTAGGAGCTCCGTGCTTGATCGTTGAACGATCACTGCAGCTTGCGCCGTAGAACGGATACAATGGTCCGAAGTCTTATCGGATATACGCTCAGGACCGGCGCGCTTTGTTGGTGAATACCTAACTACCTACCCACAATTCCAACCGCTCAGGTCATGTATGACATCCCTAGCATGCTATCAACGTCTTTGCTTGTAGTGGTGAGGAATCCCACTTTCTCCGAGCAATGTCTCCCTTATTAAGGTGGTTGTACCGCGGGGTACTAGCTGATGGTCGCGCCGCGGCGACACTACTACATCGCGGTGCGATTTTCTCCTTGTTTTCGTTCCGAAAACCGCTGATCGTTAGTGCATTAGATATATCTTGTTCTTTCAAAGCGTGTGTTCCAGTCATATACATGTTTGCGACTAGGAACACGAGCTGACTTAGGCTGCAGTATATGTCAACAGCTTTCTGCTACTCCTCAATCGCCGCCGACCGCAGACGTCCACAGAGCAGTCCACCACATTAGACGGCACCGGCTGTCAGTTGAGCACTGTCCCTCTGGGATTGAAAACGCAGGCTTCTCTGGCATACGCTCAGGACGCCGTATAGTAAGACGGCGCCATAAGATGTGTGTAATGTATGATAATGATATGATGCGCTTCCGGTTGGAGTTCGTCAAGAGACCGCGTTTGCTCTGCGCATAAGTATGCAGCCGCCGTGCGCTCGGGAGCCTCCTGGGAAAGTGATATACAACATGGGCGCGCAGGATGGTATTATCACCGTCGGGTCTCGAGGCCCAACTTCGTAGCCAAACCTTCCATGTAAACGTCTGAACAGAAGGCTTCAGTGCACAGATTTTGATCGCGAACCATCGAGTTGTTTGATACGTACCGACATCAAAGCGCAGCTTCCAATACTCCGAGAGAAGTTGATTTAACTCCGCTTCGCTCGTCTTGAGATGCTCGGCCCTCTGGAAGAATACGATCAGAACGGGCTCGAGAACCCATGGAGCGATGATACCTGTCGCTCGACTTCGTCGGCTTGACTTCCAATCTCTTCCTGGTATTTCGCATTCTCACTGCGCTCCTGCACCATCTCTTCATATTCGCGCTGCAGTCTTTCGAACATTTGTTGACCTTGGAGGCGCTTGCTCTCGGCCTGCCGCTGGGCTCTTTCGAGCTTCTCGTAGGCGTTGGTCAGTTGTTGATTCATGCGCTGGACACGCAGGTGAGGTCAACTAGCTGATTTGCAGAACGGAACAATCAGCACCCACGTCTCGCTTGGAATACAGTGATTTCTTTTCTGATTCCTTGTCAATCTGTTGGTCCTTCAGATCGGCGAGCTGTTTCTGGGCCGCTTCAACAAGGTACATCTCCTTCTCGATCGTCTGCAGTTGCTCCAGGCAGGAGAGGACATCCTACACCGCGGTATTCAATTATGAGGGCATATCAAGGGTCATTGTCGTTGCTGACCTTCTCGATTGTCGATATCATGTTGATCTTAGCTTGTAAATCTCTTGATTTCGCCTCGTTGGCGGCAACCACTCTCTTTTCTTCGTGTACGTCGTGGCTCATGACTGTGATGGTGCGTTTGATGCGTTCCGGCGATTGTACAATACGAGCCTTCGTGCGATCAACAGCACTCTCCAGAGAAATGACCTGGTCTGTTACTTGACGCTGTTGGTCATCATCAACATGGATGCGATTTGGCAGAAAGATTGGGCGGCAACCTTGGAATCCGCGTACTGCGCCTTCTCTGCTCGAATAGCATCATGTTTCTGGACAATGCCTTCTTGCTTAGCCTTGAACGCGAGGAGTCTTTGCGTGATGACATCGTTCTCTTCTCGAAGGATTGCCATTTGAGGTTCGTCTTTCTCTCGCTGTGCGCTGGGGGTTACGTGAGTGTCCGCTTTTCAAGAGACGTATCCACGTACCGAATGTCTCTGAGTCTACGCTGAGCATCGTCAAGCTCTTCGGCTACCATCGCTCTTTCATGGATGATGGTTGCGGACTTGCTCCGAACGGTCTCCACGAAAGGCGTGACACCCTCGATGAATCGAATGAAGTTGATGAACGCGGAGAGTATATATTTTGTGCGTTCTGCTTTGGGGAAGGCAATGTCGCTCGTGCTGAAGTCCGTGATTCTTGCCGCATTCGCAAACCGCGTTCTGGAATCAAGATCAGAGGCGCTCACTGAGACTATCATCAACGTACATATGGTAGCAAAGCACATTGCGCGCCATAGCATGGCTATACATGTCAACGGTAGGATCGTCGTGTATCGAGAGGCCCTTTTGAATACAGTCGTGGAGCTCATCCGACCCCAAACCGGTGACATGGCGGAGGCAGAACGAGTACACCCCGAGTACAAAATCCGATGTCGGCTTCACAAGTTGTTCATTGCTAATCGACAGTCCCCATCCTGAGAGCGCGTCCAAGATCTCCGAGTTGGGAAGGGGAGGAAACCAGAATTGCTTGGTGCTCATGCTGATCGTTTGTGAACCTCGCAGTCAGACCAGCACCTTGCAGCCTGCAGGCGCGCCAACGCGATCACATGATCGCGGCGTTGGCCGTCCAAGACGACCAGGGGTCGCGGATGCTGATTCCTTTCACCCACAGTGACTGGCCATGTCCCTTCCTAAGAATAATCTAGATGATGTTCTCAAGCGCCGGTCGGCTACAATCAACTCTCCAGCTCCAACATCGCATACGTCTCTAACTGCTCCCACCAAGGTAGTTTATTCCCTTTGGGTAGCTCTGCACAAAGTTGACGATCTTTAGCATAAGTTCAAACCGGCCCGGTCGCTTCAAGAGCAGCAGAACTTGCCTGGTAAGCCTTTCTTACAACTGCTTAAAACCCTTCTCATGTTGTTATATCTTCAGCTCGCAAAGCTGCTTCCACCCTAGCTACTTTTGCGACATCTGGTTTCAATCAACGCTTGGCGTCAACTAAGCCCACACCGGCGAAAGAGACATCGACGTCACGAACCGGCTCAGAACAGGGCAGATATGCACCCTCGACTCCTGGGCCATCCCGCTCTTCAGTCAAGCGTTCGTCTTCGGATGGCTCGCTTCCACAAGACTTGTCGCCATCGATAAAGAGACAGAGGAAGGAGAGGGAATCGGAGAAGGAGAATATTTCTGGAGATGGAGAAGTGACTCGGGCATACGATCTCTCTGATTTCATGCACTTGAGCGAGGATGACCCAATTCTGATTCCCGCCCAAGTCAGCCGTGTGCGACGAGAAGAGATTCTTAACACTCCTGTGGGACAACCATCCTCGGCGGAATCCGTTGCTCTGCCAATCGAAGAACTACATAGGGTGGGTCGCAGCAAAGGTCATACTAGAGCTGCTAACGATTGCTACGCAGGCGGACACCGCGACCCTGAAAGGATGGCTTGAGTTCAACAAAGAGGAGCTATTGAAACGCCAGCAAGATTGCATTGACCAGTTCAGGTCCTCTTCCAAGCATACTGACTTGGCCCTGCTAACGGGAATATGGTAACCATAAAATCCTCGACATTTGCTCCTGGCAACTAAGCATAATTTTCAGCAACTTCATCAGGAAGCGGATCGACGACATAGATGCTGTTATCCAGAGTCGGAAGAACAGCATGGGGATATCAGATTCGTCGGCCCATTCACCAGCTTCGTCGATAACCGCTTCCGACGCGGATGGTCGGACATCGCCCCCAGGCCGATCCTACGACGTGCCGATCGTCGTGGACGAAGGTCCGGCAGCTTTAACTTCTTCTCACTCGGCGTCTGCTGAAGCCCATCGCTCAGCTGACCCTTCGGCGAAGCCTGGTCAAAGACCATTAGGCAAATTCCCCACTTTTGCGGACCTACAACGCCCTCAGGTAGAGCGCGTGGAAAACCTTGGAAGTGACGATGAACTGTGGGCCACCGTCGACGGAAATGGCGACGATGGACAACCTCCTCAACTTCACGGCTCATCGTCAGTGACAGCAACTGCCAGAGCGGAAAGTCGGGTTGATACATCCGCCGGGTCTGAATCGGTCACTGGCACTTCAGTACTTAAGACCGCGTGCGTCGAATTTCCGTCCACTCCGACGTCTTCACCCGGTACACCGTCCCGTTCGGATTCTACAGCCACGCCTTATTATGCGGAACTGATGCGGAACCTCAAGAGTGTGTTCGGCCTCCATCGCTTCCGAGATCATCAATTGGACGCTATCAATGCCGCCATGGCTGGCAAGGATGTGTTCGTGTTGATGCCTACCGGCGGTGGCAAGTCTCTATGTTACCAGCTTCCGGCGGTATGCACGGGGGGCAAGGGCCGACGGGTTTCCTTCGTGGTCTCACCTCTGGTTGCCTTGATCAAGGATCAGTCCAAAGCGCTGAAGGACAAGGGCGTGGATGTCGTGACATTGGGCTCTGCCGACTCCGATGCACACAGGACCGGAGCGATGTCGAGGCTCACAGGCTCGGGTCGCAAGCCACAGATCGTATACCTGACACCAGAAAAGTTGAACACCCATTACATGCGCGGTATTTTGGACAAACTTTATAAGGATGGCCATATAGCAAGGTTCGTTATGGATGAAGCTCATTGTATCACGTCATGGGGCAGGAACTTTCGCGGTTCGGTGCGTTTGCACCCTTTCAAAAGGAGGTAGTACACCTAAACCATCTCGAATCACAGTATGCCAACCTTAACTGGTTGCGCGACACGTATCCCGACGTCCCGATCATGGCGCTCACAGCCACTGCAAAAGCAGAAGACATCATTAACATTCACAACCATCTCAAACTCCGGGATTGCGTATTCATTAAGTCCCCGTTCAACCGACCGAACCTCAATTACGAAATACGTCAGAAGGGCAGTAAGGTGGTGGCAGACATCGCAGCGTACATCAAATCAACTCATCCGAACGAATCTGGAATCATATATTGCTTGAGTCGCAACAAGTGCGAGGAGATTGCACAAGAGCTGAGAGACAATTATGCGCTCAGCGCCAGGCATTTTCACGCCGCCATGTCGGATGAAGATAAGCACAACGCCCAAAAGGCTTGGCAAGAAGGCGAGGGCGAGATCATCGTAGCCACCATTGCCTTCGGAATGGGCATAGGTGAGTTCCCCCATGATTTGCACACGAGCTCGCCACTGATCCTTCTGCAGATAAGCCTGATGGCAAGTACAACATCTACGCACGCTATGCGCGTGACTAATAGACCTGCAGTGCGCTTTGTGATTCACCATCATCTGCCGAAGAGCATGGAAGGGTGCGGATGCATATATGAACTTCATCTCATTCAGTGCTAACCCATCTCCCGAAACAGTTATTATCAGGAGACAGGTCGTGCAGGACGTGACAGACTTCCTGCGGATTGTGTCCTCTGTATGTTCTCGCCGGTTGCCGTGGTTATTACTGCTCAAACTCGTGGTGGCAGACTTCACATATAAAGACATCGCTATCCTGAAGAAAATGATCTCAGAGTCCGAAGGTGTGGTCGAAGAAGAGAAACAGCGCCAGCTCGATCAACTCGAAGAAGTGGTCAAATTCTGCCAAAACAAGCAGCACTGTCGGCGTTCACTCATGCTACGATATTTCGGCCAGCCGGATTTCGATCCCAAAGACTGCCGCAAATTTTGTGACAATTGTCGCGACAACGTCCATACGGTGTCTGAGGACATGACTGTCGTAGCGAGGGATTTCCTTCATCTCGTCCAAAGTACCACAGAGAAAGAGAACTTAACGAAGAATCACTTGCAGGCCGTCTTTCGAGGTTCTAAGGCACAAAAAATCCTCGCCAATAATCACGATAAGCTACCTTGGTACGGTCGGGGCAAAGACATCGATGGGGAGAAGTGTGCGATGCTCGTCGAGCACCTCTTGACGCATGGGGCGCTCGTGGAAACCGGGGTCAAGAATTCTGCAGGATGGACGAACTCATACATGAAGGTCTGTGTTCAAATATGTGGTGGAAGACCGATATTCTGATCTGCAGTAGCTTGGCCCCAAAGCTGATGGACTACTACGGGGAGGCGAGAAGCTCCAAATGTTCTTCAAGCCGAAAGAACTAAAGAAAACGACTTCGGTCTCGGCATCGCGGAAGGGAACAAATCCGAGAACGATCACAGCCCAAGCCGATTCCGTTTCCGTCGCATCTGCTAGCCAGGGCAAACGCGCGCATTGCGTAGTTGAGCAGGAATCAATCGAATTCTTCGACGAAGATTATGAGGATTTTCAATCGGACGATATCGAGGACGATGCATTTGCTCCCCTCGGTCCTGAGGCCACTAGTCCGCTCGGAAGACCAGAGAGCGCAGCCAATAACCACTTTCTAGAAGATTCCGAACAGTCTCCGGAGACGCAGTGCTACAAGAGATTGCGCGCTGTCCGGAAGAAGGTACGTACTTTGACCTCACCTGCTTATTTCTGCTCAATCCGAACTGGTAGCTCGCAAACCGGGAGAAGGTCAGCGAGAACGAAATCCTTGATAACGAAGCTCTTGAAATGCTGAGTGCGATGACGCCATCCGGTTCGTGATCGTCCACATACCATTCCATGCGCGTCTTCATAGTCACCCCGTATACAGATATCGTTGAGTTTACCAACGTTCTCAACCAAGTCCTCTCAGACCCCGACGAAGCACAGCATAAGACGGAGCGTTATGCCCAGGATTTCCTCGCTGTGTGCATAAATGCTCGTATGAGCGGAAGGGGTTCGGCCGTCAACAACAACCGGAGGTGAGAAAGCTCGTGTCCGAGTTAGCGACACACAGTCACACAGTACGACGACAGCACGCCCAACGTCGTAGCTTTCGATGGCGATCAGATGAGACAGCGTTTCAGTTACGAGAGCTCGTCTAGCAGATCTTCATCTCGGCGAAGTTGATTATGCACATCATTTGCCACTGTAGTTTTAGTTTACTCTCGGATCCTGGATCAGGTTGTTAATTCATCATTATTCCGCTTCTGTACATATACATACAATCATATAATATTTGCCGATGCTATCATGCGGTGTCCGCCTCAGTCACCTTGATTTGCCGGAGCGTTTGTTTTGACCCTTTTTGGAGTCCCTACATACAGGACAATACCACTTAGCATTGTTTTTCGGGGGTGCAGTGACGTTGACGCAGTCGTAATGGAACTAAACACTGGGTAAGGATTTGGTACCGATGTCTTTGGGGCCACTTACCCATTCATATGGACAACTAGGGTTGTCACATCCAATCATCTAGAAGCGGTCATATGCGTCTGGTCGATGATATGACCTATACAGGAAACTCACCTGCCCGTACGAAACTTGATGACAGAGGCAGTAACGAGGTTCCAGATCGATATTGTTTGACGTTTGATTTACGGCGGGGATGGTGACCTTCAACGGAGATGCGGGTGGTGACGTGTCGCGGGACTTCTTGTTGCCCCTATGACCGCCTTTTCTGGACGGTCGTCCTCGTTCAGCTAAGCTAGTCGAATCCAAGACCACGTTGTTGGAATCGATGTTAGGGTGGTTCGCTCTTTGTCCTCTTCGTGCGACTGGAACGTCCGGCAATACAATAGAGGTCGGATGGGTGCCTGGACGGAGCCCGAGAGTGAGAGACGTCTCCTGTTCTTTGATAGCCTGGTCAAGAAAGCGGATCTGCCTTTCAACCTGGAGAGATGTGGCCGTAAGCAAGTTGTATGAAAGGGGGAATGTAAGTACGGACGGATTCATATGCGGCATTGGCAAGGTTAACTTTTTCCTCGGACACTCGCACATTCTCTTCCAAAATATATCCAAGGTGCGAGATAAGTCCTCGACTGTCGTTGGATCCGACTGAAGGCGTTGCTCTGGCTGTCCTGGCCGACGGCGGTGGCGTAACTGAGGCCTTGGCTGTATCCCGAGGTATTTCTACTCCCTCGTGCATGGCGTCCTTCTGCTCATCATCACCAGACGAAGATATATCAGGTACGTCTGTTTTGCCTTGAGCCTCTGATAGTGCTTGTCCATGGATGACATCGTCCGTATTGTCTGAAGTCGCGCGTGGTATCAACGACCGCCTGAGAGAGGCATAACTTTGCAGGGTGGGCAGAATCTCAGCAGTGTGTTCTACAGACTATTCATCGTGAGCGATAGTTAAGGTGGGTTGCGCCGTCGCGCACTTGTTTATCAAGTTGCTGGATGAGACGAAAGTATCGCTCCAACGAGGTAGGTAGCTGATCGACAACTGAGAGATATGACACATCCACTATGCATGTCAGAGGTCTGAGCGTACCCTCGTAGTATTCCTCTTTGACCGCTTCCCATATTTCAAGCTCCTTCTCCCTTCTCGCCGCCTTCTGCTCCTCCGTCTCCTCCATTGGCTCGTGTTCTGCTGGGCTAGAGAGCTCCTCCGTGAGCACACTTTCTGCGAATGCTTGGGCCCGAGTACGTTTGCGAGACATGTCGCGGAAGAGCACAAGAGCCAGGGACGTGCCTGGGAGCGACGCGTGCATCAATATGCTGTGGCCAAGAACGGGCTGTCCATCCATGCGGCTCTTGCTCGTCTTCGTACAGTAACACTCGTAGTCACCCGAGTTGCGCTGAGAGCAGCCTTTCCGCGCAGTCTCGGAATCGCCCTTGGAAGGTGTGCGCAGTACTGCCCCAGCGCCGATCCTAGGATCAGGCATCCGCCGCACCTTGCTATCATCCATGTCGACAATCCGCGGTGGATTACAGTTCGCCGCCGGGGTAGGTCAAATCGCTGCCGATATTACACAGATCCCCGGTGTAGGCAGCGCTCTGGACGGGCTTCAGCAGATCGTCGCTCGCTGCGAGCACGTCGCGGGGAACAAGGCAAGCCACGCACATCTCGGGTGGAGCGATAGCTGCGTTCTTACAATTCTGCCAGAAAGATGCATCAAGCCTTGCCCATACTTGTCGACAATACCAGAATATGCTGCGGGAGCATGAACACAACATGAATGACGATGTTCGTCTTGCAATGGACGAATTGCTACCGTAAGCGCCATCATACCGAGTGCAAGGCGGTTTCTTATTGACGGATGACCAGGGCGCTGGACAGAATCAATAAAAAGATGGAGGAATTTGCGGCATTGCCAAGTTACAAGCGCTACTGTGAGCCGCGAACAAGGTGATTGTGATTTCAGTTGATGCTACAATTCATCACAGTGAAATACAATGAAATCACGAACACCCTCAAGAAATACAAGCAGGATCTCGACGTTGGGATGCAGACCTTCTCAGTAAGTTCTGTACTTTTCACGGCTTGATATCAGCGGTGACATTACCAACCAGGCCAAGACCCAATTGGTTATGCACCGACAAATTATGGACGTTAGGATGACGCAAGACATGTATCATGCGGAAAACAGGGAATTATTACTCCAAGCTTTTTCTCGCCCGCAAAGCTTCGCAGATTTGTCTAATCCTGATGCGCAACGGTTAATGGAAGATGGCCAAAGGGTACGAATTTGTTGATTCATCACGCTCCGAGGTATCTCATCGACAATGTGTGATAGTTTCTGGAAGAAATGCGTTCTCGTGGCATCAACCCACCGATCATTATCTCCCCAAGTTCTCAAGAGCTCGCGCCAATTTCTGGAACTCCTCCGCATCGAGGACTAACGCACTCTCCAGAGGGACAATCGCCTTTCTCTCCATCTCCGAACCCTGCGAATGAAGTTCATGCACCACAACCTCGTTCCATGCCCCTTCAAATGGGCTTCGGCCACCGAACAGCCAGCTCTCATTCGGTAGTTCCCATGCCACAACATGACATTGTCATGTCGTCTCCAGCAGGGTACATACACAACTCCTCGCAGACTCCGTCTCAGGAGCAATTTCCGTCGATGTATCCTGGTGGACCTGGAATGCACACCGCTTACCAGCAGCAACCGCAATACGTGAACCCCGCATACCAGGGCGCAGCCGCTCAATACTACAATGCATCTCTATCTCCTCAGTCTTCCTATTTCCCTCGTACACCTTCGCCCAACATGACCGTTAGATCTTCACCCAACTCTGAGCCGACAATGTCATCGCCACCTCCAAGAGACGGCACCTTTACACCAATGAGTGACCCTGCGACATATCTTAGAGTTCAGCGCGGCCTTCTCGATCTGCATCGCATCAAGGGCATACCTCCTTCGGTGAAGATCCTCAACGGTGAGGTCACACGGGAAGGGCAGTTCCCAGTAGCCGGAGGAGCGTACAGCGACGTTTGGATAGGACGATGGTTCAGCGAGGAAAAAGTGAGCAAGCATAGCGGGGGTTTGCTCGTTGCTGACAAATCTCTCTAGGTTGCATTGAAAGCTCTCCGTATGGTCAGGGCAGACGATAAAGCGAAGAGGGTATGCCGTTATGGTTCGCCCTCACCGGGAAACCCACCTGATCGGCTTCCAGCGCTTTCAGAGAGAGATCGAGGTGTGGTCCCGTCTCAAACATCGGAACATCCAGCCATTCTATGGGCTCGTGACCGAGCTTGGACAACATATTCACATTGTGCGTCTTGTCTCCTATTACCTGCTTCACCGTCTTCCAACCATCCGCCTACAGGTGTCAGCCTGGGCAGAGAATGGGAACGTTTTACAGTGAGTTGAAGACTCACCTTCGGAGTCGGAGTCTGACAAATAAAACAGGTATCTTGCCAAGGCGCCCGATACGAATAGGTTGAAGCTGGTATGTCGAAACCGAGGATGTCTGGATTCTATGTCTGACCACACTCCAAACAGATGATGGGGGCAGCGAGAGGGCTCGAGTACCTCCACTATTCTAATGTTGTGCACGGCAATAGTGAGTTCCCACAATTCTTGCTACCTATCGTTCACTGAACCCTGCTGTTTTCAGTGAAATGCGTGAGTTCACCCCCTCTAAAGGCTGCGAATCGCCATGTTGACTGTGTTCTAGTCAAACATCCTCGTTTCCGACAAAGTAAGTATGATGTGCACAGATGAGACCAGTGATGTCGATGCTGACCATGCACAGGGGGAAGCTTGTGTGTGCGACTTCGGCATGTCGAAGATCATCGAAGAAGTCACCGAAACCATCGCTTCGGCCACGCTGACCACCAGCGGTTCAGCACGATGGTTGGCTCCAGAGCTCATCGAAGGCACGGCACCATCACCGACGTATCAAAGCGACATTTACTCTTTTGGGATGACAATGCTAGAATGTGTTACCCTCAAGCATCCGTACTCGCATTGCAAACGTGATGCCATGGTCATCTATGAGATCGTCACGGCGAAGCGGTCACCGCCGCGGCCCGAAGGTGCCGAATTCGACCACATCCTTACAGACGAGTGGTGGGCGGTGATGGAAAGCTGCTGGACCGACGCACAGCACCGGCCCACCATGGCTCACATCGCCAATTCCCTGTCGAACCTCCCCTCTTTCTTGCAATAATCGATCTCTTCACACCTGCTACATTTTTTTCCCAAGTCCAGCTTGTTGTTTTTGCTGTCTAACACTCATCTAGTCACCTTCTATATCCTGTAGCACCCTCACGGCAGCCATGGACTCGTCAATCTGTCTTGTTATCTCTCGCATTCAAGAGTCGTAATGTATACAAGTAGAATACCCGGGATCGCTCATTGTATATACAACTCGGAACAACGCACTTCGCGTATCATCGCACAGGATGGTAAACATACCAACGAAAACTGGGTCCCGGAGGTAGACAGTGACTACGCAGTTCAGGACATTCACGTGCAATTGACCCGCCAATGCATTTTGAGGGTTGAGCAAAGTGTATGAACTTTACGTAGCCGGGCATTCCGCTATGACTCCATACCGCGCCTAACTCGTCCATCATCCGAAAGCTGATGGAACGTTAGCGGTTCGCGGGTGACACACCGATCCATGGCTTCGGCATGTATCTTGCAGCCCACGGCTTCCGGCGTCATTGCGGGCTTAACCATGTATTGAAAGATGTTGGAAATTGGCGCAACAAAACATGCGCTCGCGGCTCAACTAGCCGTTTTTTGTCGAACGACGGCCGGCGATGTCGAAGTTGTTCGTGCGATTGTTTCCTCCGCGAAAGCATGCGCGCGTATATCGAGCACAGTTTCCAGTAAGATGCCCTGCTAGACGAGCCGTTTCTTCGACGATCGACAGTGGTGAGGCCTTGCGCTATGGTCACCAACGATGTTAACCGCAAAGTACGAGGACGACGGTACTGACATCGGCAACAGGTTAGCGCGTCACGCAAGGGGGGCAACGACGTGCAGCTGGCTTCGGAGAATAGTCCTGAACTTGAGCCCGTAGCACGGCAACCCGCGCCGAACGTACTGGGGCCAAGCTACAGGAGCGCGACCGGCTCATCGGCCAGATGCGACACCTTCCTTCACGTTCCTAATGACCTTGATTTATTGGTCAATCATCGGAGTTCCTTGAGTCCGGGTGACTTGGCTCCTGCGCTGACCAGATCCGCCGGGATCCGGCCTGAGGTTTTGCTGAGGCTCGCGGGGCCGTATCTAGGCGAGAGCTGGCACCGGCTAGTGAGCTCGATCGAAGTCGGGGAGCGGGGTGTCGACAAAAGGTTAAGTATGTTATGTTGGTTTGGCTGATAGCTGTTTCCAACAGTAACGGCCAGCACTTATCGTGGATATTGGGGTCTGAAAAGGGATTGGAGGAGGGCGTGCTTGTATGCGTGTGGTCTTGTGTGGTTGACGGCACATCAAATGTCACCCGGTCCAACCATGACACGCCTCGTTGACTCTCGACCCTGGCTCGCTCGTCTGGTGTTTTTTCTCGTCGCAGCTCGGGCGCATATATCCACATCACCGGCGACCAGCCACAGGGACTTGTAGAGGGGATGGGCTCCGTGTTCGTGATGGGCGAAGCCACAGAACGCATACATATGCATCGGTCCGCCACCACCTATAACGCGGTTGGACAGGGGAGGGCAGCTCATCGCTCACGAAGGCCAGGACCAGGAAGATGCCTTTGGGACGGATATACTGAACGGAAACATGGTACGTGAGCTGATCACTGCCTTGGCGCACCACGAATAGGTCCTGCATCGAAGGGTATGGGAAACGACATATCCGCGGTCCAGCTTGGGTTCAGCGCAACACCGACGCAATCGCTCTGCAATCCGTTCGGCCTGACGGCGGTGTCGCGCAACCACGATATAACCCGACAATCAACGACGCCACGCTCGCCGCCCCGCACGATTGACTCCTTCCTATGCGTCAGAGGCAAGATTCGGCGGCATGAACGCCAGAGATAGCGACGGCTGGAACCGTGTGTCAATCGCCAGCTTCTCTCCATCTGCAGAATTCCTGAGACAATGCGACGTCGTGGAGGCCGCCGTCACGTATGTCGATCGCTCGAGGAAACGCGTACACGGAATCCGCGCCCCGTTATCCGTAATGGACAGCGATGACCCCCCACAACGAACCCCAGATGTTGCAAGCGACCACGACGGAAATTGCATACTGCCTTTCATCCCGTCAACATGGCGCGTTCCTGCCCACCGCGCTGCATCGTACGGCGCTCCTGTCGCGGGAGAGCCATCACGTCAGGACGACAGACTTCCCAGAAGAGGCCCCAGCCGTTATGGGACGCCACACGGCGTTCGAGAACAGAGAGGGCGTGGCCGACCTACATCCGCCCATTAGGACGTTGGCGTCCGCTTCCATTACGCCGTCAGGAGTTCTTCGACTTCGCGTTGACGACGAGGCGGGACTTCATGACGGCATATGGCCGAAAAATCGGAGCGCCCATCATTGCCATTGCATGGGTCAATTTCGAGCGATGTCTTGCTATGGAGGACCGCCTATAAAACGGAGGCACCAGGAAGGGGCGATGATCACGAGGAGCGTAGTCCACGGGACGACCAGTTCGATATGAGGTTTAGCGTGCTGGAAGAGCATCGTATCCTTGGAGCGATGGTGCCTCGGCTGTCGTCCGAGACATTCGACGCCTCCACGCCCGGCAATAATTTTGCGTCATTCCACAGACGCTGCATCGCCTGGTTACGTGAAATGTGGATACGGAGGAGATATCGGCCTCGAGGAGGGTTCCGAAGGTCGACTCGGAACTGAGGCTATTATTCGTTCGTGACGTCTTCGTTGACGTGTCGCTGAAAGATGGCTCCTTGCGCGTTGTGAGGCCGGGGTCGGCGCGGGCTGTGGTCGACTTCGTCGTGAACGCTTGAAGCACGACCCTGCACGAGCGTGTACGGCGGAACGGACACCGAGGGCCTGGACGGGAGGCAGAGATTGAACTCTGAACCATGGGCGCTGAACCCTGGGCAGGGCTGGTGCGGATCGTTGCTGGACTTGGGCAGGTACACTCTGGGCGGGATCAGGAGGGGAGGCGGGAAGGTGCGTGACAGGGAGGGTGCTGGCCCTGGCCGGGAGGGGATTGAGTCCTGTCTTGTGGCTCGGGAGGATGGGCGCGATGACGGGAAACCCTGTCTATTCTTGCGGCGATGGAGAATTGGGAAGACGAGGCGTGGATCCGAGGCCTCAGACGTCCAGTCGGGAATGGCGGATAGTCGTCCCTCTCGGCTGCCTGCGTCGTCAAAAGCGTCTGGCACTGGCCTGGGTATTCTTCCTCGGCGCTGTGCGTATCCTGCTTCACGCGCACCTCCTTCCTGGACGAAGACGAATGTCAAGCGCGCGCGATGCGCTGGCCGACGTAAAGGAAGAGACGTGCAGTCGCCAGGCATGAGGAGTGGTCAACCGTGGACGAACCCCCTGCATCCCTTCCGAGGACATTCTGACGTCGACCTGGACCCGTCCTCGACAGCCTTGGGCGGTGCCGGCAGCGGAGTGCCGCTGAATGAGGTTTGGGCGACGGCCGAACGGACGTTGAGGCTGAGCCTGGGCCAATTCACGCGGAGATGCGGGTTCTGAGCGAAGGACCGCCGAAAGTTCAGCGCGGTCAAGGCGTTCCCGCCTTCCGGTGCGTTGGCGCCGTCTTCTGGCATCTGCACGGTCTGCCGTCGCGTCTTGATTTGCGTTCGCGATAGCCGCAGGTGGAACGCTCACACTTCCCAAGATTACGCAAAGGGGGGACATATGACACGTCTTCTCGTTCGTATCTTATACGCGCTTTGTATGCTATGATCCAAGAAAAATCCACGCGTATATTCATAGCGGTCCAGACAAGCGGATGTACATGGTGCACAGCGATACACTAAACTAAGTATACCGCTCATAGCACGATCATTCAATTTACACGGAGACGGAAAGGAGACGTGAGCACTGTACAATCAAGAAAGCATCGCATAACACGTAGATGAATAGTCGATGTGACCGAGACCCCCAGAGAGAATACTAGTTGTACACATTATAATGGCTTGGTGCCCTCGAATCGTTCTGTAAACATTCAATTCAAGCCGACCGGGTCCCGTTGACCTGGTCCCGTCTGTCAGGGCTTACACTGCCGCTGCTGTTGTCGGTGGGGCCCGGTGGCGAAGGCTTCGTAGCATACACCGGTGGTGGTGGCGGCTGCGGCGGATAGGCGCCTCCCATCGGTGCCGGCATAGCGTGAAGGGGAAGCGGGCCCTCGCCGGGTCGCGCCTGTGGCATCATGTACGGGTACGGGTGCCCGTAGGGGGCCGCGAGGAACGTAGGGAAGAATTGCTGGGGGTACCCCGGGTGAGGCGCTTGTCCCTGGTCAGTGCCGTCCGGAGGGGGGTGCGCAGGCAGCGGCGCGATGTAGAATTGCGGGTAGTATGCCGCTGCTGGAGGTGGCTGGTGGTGCGGGTGCTGGCCGTGCTGATGATGACCGGGCGAAGACTGGTGCTCGGGGCTTCCACCACCGTTGGGTTTAGGGCTTGATCCGGGGGGCGGTAGGAGTGGCGGCGGCGACATCTGTGCCATCGGAGGGAACATGGCGGGCGGATATCCGACGGGCGTCATGTACGACAGAGGCGCGGGCTGTGGGTGGTGCGGATGATGCGGGCTACCGGTCGGCGCAGGAAGAGGGATGGGGGCAGGGATCATTTGAGCAAGGGCGGCCTCGGGTTGCTCAACAGCTGAGGCCCCTGTGCATGGCGTTAACGTTGTTGAGTACATGGCACGGATGGAAGACCGACCCTTTCCATCTCTCTTCTTGTAAGGGCCCCGTTTCAAACCTTTCCTCCGTTCCTTGCGTTGCGAGTCCACACAGTCGTCGGAGATACCGTACTTGACGCACCGGAGGCATGGCCGAGCGTCGTCACATTTCTTGCAAGCCTTTTGACAATTGGTGCAGGCGTTCTTGACCTGGCGCCGTTTCGACCGGAGGGGCTGGGTGGAGACCATGGGCGGGGGGAAGCCGTACATGTGCATGGGCATGCCGGGGTAGGAAGCGCCCGTGCCGCCCGTGGCCGGGACACTGGAACCGTTACTCGTGCCCATGCTGGCGCCGCTGCCGTCGTTGTTATTCGAGTTGTCGCCGTCCGTGGCCGCTGGAGCGCCGTCGGGGGCGTCTGGACCGGGGGCGGGATCGGGGCTGCCGCGAACGTCCGTCATGGGAGAAGATGGTGTTATAGGCTGAAAGCTGGCGTTAATTAGCACGCCTGCTCCTTCTTTTGCACACGTGGGGGTCGGACGGACCGGAGGGGGATGCTAGACGCGCGCTGGGGATGCTGTACGAAACGCCATCCTCGGCGTGAGCGAAAGCGAACAAAGGGGACCGATCAACTAACCCTTTGTGCTTTGGGGACGACGCGTGCCTCGCTGAGCTGGGGCAACGGGACGAGCTGAGTTGGAGGATTGGTCTCCGAGGCGGAAGGTGAAAGAGAGGGGCACGCGCTCAGCGAAACTCCGGCAGAGGTCGGGCTATATAAGCCCTCTCGCCTAATTGCGCGGATTTTTTTCGCAGGGCCGATAAGACGCTTACTCGTCGGCGGCGTCACGCATTTCGCCCGTCGGTAAATACGTGACCAACTTGATCGGCCTGACCGAGTTCACGGGCCAGAGGTGCCCTTTGGAGACGAGCAGCAGGACAAAGTTAGGGGCCGCCAGAGAATCAGTGCTCAATGTTATATCAGTGCTCGCTGCCCAGCGTGACGGCGCCACTGCTGCCAAATACAGCCAAACATTGACACCCGCCCTTGTGCTCGTCCCCGCCGACACGAACACGCCAAGCGCTCGTCGCTCGACATTGTCTCCCGTTTTCCTCTCTTTCCTCTCGCTCTCTTTTCCTCTCGTTAGCGTCACCTGCGTGGCGCCGCGATGTCTGCGCCCCCCTCGCCCCGCCTCGGGCAGGCGGCGCTCGACCACGGACGTGTAAGGAAACGAGACCGGCCACCCGCGCTCGATATAGACGCCATCGACCCCAAAGCCGCCTCGGACAACGACGTTCAGTACCACGACTACCGCACGGAGCAGCATCGCCACTACGACCAGGTTTGTCCCTGCCCGCGCTTAGCATGCGATACCATGCCACCGACTGACCAACTTGTGCGCGCAACAGCCCAGCGTGCACATCTCCGTCGCCCCGGCCGCGGAGCGAGAGCACGAACCCGAAGCCCCGCGCCCGGCCTCTGCGACGTCCTCCCTCGACCCGTACTACTTCAGCGTCCACACGCCCGCCGAGTCGCCGCTCCCACCCATGCCGGACATCTCGACCATGCCCGATCTCGGCGTCGCGCAGAGCGTCACGCCTGACCCGCCCCTTCCCAGCGCGCCGATTACTCCCGCCCGCGACGGCGCGTCCATCGATCGCAGGGGTCTCGTCGGCGTCGGCGAGCTCGCCACACCGCGCTGGGCACGCTCCCATTACTCGAGCCATTCGGAGGAGCCGGCGCACCAGAGGATGGAGGACGTTGGCGAGGAGGATGAGGACCAGCAGCTCGGGAATGAGCCCGAGCAGGTCGATCACCCCGATAGTCCGTGGACGATAGAGGCGATCGACGGCGAGCCCGAGGAGAAGCCCGACGAGGTAATCTCTAATCACATTGATAGCGTTTGATCGCTCATATCTCCATGAAGGAACCTCTTGAACCCCCGAGGCCATTGCGCACGCGGCCTTCTATCGCGGACGAGAGCGGTGGAGAGGAGATTCTTTACCCTCGCAAGCCGCACACCGAAGATATCTTCAGCCCGCAATCGCGGAGGGCTGAACGCACCGGCACGTCAAGTTCGGCCGTGCCAACGGAGCCATCGCGAGAATCGCCGTTTTCCATCAGGACGTCGCAGAGGCTGCGACAGAAGACCTCACAGGAATTGTCTAGCAGCCCTTTGGGGGTGGCTCGGTACAGTACCACTATCAACATCGGCACGACCGTTCAAGACGATCCCGTGTTTTCCACGCCCAAAAATGAGAGGAGCGACGACAAGGACGACGAGAAGACCACATTACGTAAACACCGTAGTGTGAACGTGCCCACGACGACGGCCTCTCCGCGAGACAAGGTTCGCGAGCGCCGTCGCGAGAGCCTTGGACTGACCCTCTCGAGCGGCACAAGGACTAGCGGCCCGCCAAAGCACGCCCGATCTGCAAGCTCGTCCTCGTCCAACCACGGCGAGCGGCCGCACCGGCGCGGCCAGACTTCGGACTTTTCTCACCTACCGCCGTCGCCCTCGACGTCGTCCATCCAGCAGTTCCTCCGGCACTCCAACAGCATTACTTCCAAGGACCCAATTGCTGGACCACCTTCCGTCCATAGCTCCCCCAACGTGGGTCAGTCGCTGCTCCGGGGCACGCAGGAGGGCTGGTCGGCGCTCGACGACGAAGCTACGGCCGAGGCGCTGCGTAAGCTGGACGGAATATCGGGCAAGAGCGCAAGAGCGCGGACGTCTATTGGAAGTAGGCCGAGCAGCTCGAGTCGTCCGGGGACGCCAGGAAAGATGGCGGGCGTGCAGTGGGAGGGGATCGGCGTGGAGGGCGGTAAGGCGAACCGGAGGAAGAGCAATGGGTATCTGCGGGAGAGCATGCCGCCGCGACCGCGCGAGGAACAGCTTCCGGCGCAGCAGCAAGTGTCCTCGCAACAGCAGCCGCACATGGAGTCGGGCGGCGAGGAAATGTCGTCCTCGGGTCCGGAAAAGTCGGCGCTGAAGAAGACGGGCACCGCGAGCGCGCGGTCGAGCTTCGCGGCGAAGAGGGGCTCGTCCAGCTCGACGATGTACACGGGCACGACGACGGGCACGGGCACCACGGGCAGCTCGCGCGATTCGGCGCAGCTGCTAGTTAGGCGGAACAGCAACGGCAGCGACACGAGCGTGCATTCCTCCGATGTGGCGTCTTTGAAGGACCGGGCGGCTGCGCTAGCCCACGGGCATGGATATGGGAGCAGCGTGAGCGTTGGCGCTGGCAGTGTGGGCAGTGGAAGTGTGGGCGGAGAGGTTGGTGTGGAGGACGAGCGGGAGCGGGTGCCTCCCGTCCCACCGCTACCGAAGGATCTGAGCGGGTTCAGGAGTCCGCCGCAGAGCTCCGCCAGCATGAGCTTCCCGGGTCTGCCGGGAGCCGAAGACATCCGGAAGGACAGGGAGAGGGAGAGGGAGAGGGAGAAGGAGCAGCAGGCCGAGGCGCAGGCCTCAGTAGAGGATGCTGATCCGGACAGGACCGTGTTGCTGGAGGTTCCGCCGATGATGACCTCTATGCCGGAAAAGCCGTCAACGCCTCAATTACAGCAACAGCCTGCGCAAGACTTCGCGGTAGGTTCCGCTCCAGCGGTGATGAAGTCTCCGTCAAGAAAATGGAGTTTCAACGCGCTAGGGCTGGGAATGAAGACCCCTAGCGCCAAGGAGAGGGAGAGGGAGAGGGCCAAGGCAGCCGCGAATGCGCAGAAGCAGCAACCGGAGCAGGGTAAGGTGTATACGTCGGACGGCGGCGCGTTCAGCTTTGGGTCGGCGGACGAAGCTTTGTCTCCGGGCGGCGCCTCATCGAAGAGGGGCTCCTGGGCGCAGCCCCAGGCGATGGATTCGGCAGCGTCGCTAGCGTCCATGTCCTCGATCGGTTCCTCCGGTGCAAGAGGTCCTCTCTCACCCGCCGTCTCGCTGCCCGTCGCACAATCGAAGAACGAGAGCTCGGATAGGCTGGCGCCAAGCCGGACGGAGACCGCGTCGAGTGCCAGCCACCACACGCAAGGCGGCGTACAGGACACCACTTTGGGACCGCTGAGCCCGTCTTCATCGTCTGTGCGGCGGCAGACGTCGAAACGATTGACACCGAGCTCGATCCCGTTCTTCCGTCGATCGTCCTCACAATCAATCAAGGCCCAGCCCGCCGCTGGTGCGCAACGGTCAAATTCGCCTTCGGTGACATCAACCGCTCCGGCATCCCGTCGACTGACCGTGGTGCCTGCCGTTCCTCCTCTCGTTGACAACTCGCTCTCCTCGCCTTCAACACCCGGCTCTGCGTCGGCACACAAGAAGTCGTCTGTGCTTAGCTTGGGCTCGCTGCTCAAGGGCTCCAGCTCGAGAAAGAGTCTGCATTCAGATAAGAGCGACTACTTCCCGGAGAAGGATAACCGTCGAAGCATGGAGAAGTCGCGAGAGAAGTCTGACAAGGAGAAGAAGAAGGATGACAAGGACAGGAGCGAAAGCCGCATCTCGGTGTTGATGGGCAGGAAGCGAGGCAAGGTAACAGCTGCATGCTTATTATTCTGTCAGTCAGTCCTGACCTTACTTTCGTAGACTGTTTCCGCCACTGATGCCAAAAAGGCGGTCAAGCCGGTGACGCTCCCGCCAATGCAAGTGCAGCCGCTCCCTCGGGACACTGCTCAGCGCGTCGCTAACCTGAAGTCGTCTGTGTCGTCTAGCAATGGACCTAGCGCGAAGGTTGCTAGCGGCTCCCGCGTTACGTCTCAGACAATCAGCTCGATGCACAAGCAATCGGACACCTCGTTGCGCAGCAGCCGCAATCAGCTGCCTACCATCGCTGGATCCCCATCTGTGGGCATCAACACGCAACCGCAGAAGGAACCCAGGGAGCTTCCGCCGTCAGCACTGAACAACTCTACTTCTGGTCTTCCGAAGGAGACACCGACCAAAATACCCCGTATCTCCAGCCGTACATCCGGCATTCCGTCTCCGACGATGAAGGGTACCATCCCATCGTCAGCTACGAGCCGTAGAACGAGCCTTAATGTTGGTGCTATGGCGGCGGCCTCTACCGAGCCTTCCCCCACGCCCAGCGGGACCACCAATGAGTTCGGGGTCTTGGAACCTAACAACGACGAGCCATCCGCCCCGTCCGCGAAGCCCACAGCTGGCACCAGGCTTTCAGTCCGAGTATCGCCATCACAGCCTCTTACTCGTGTTCCCCGACAGGTCTCCGCACCACAGGGCTCTTCCACCGTCAGCGGTGTCCCGCGCAAGTCTAACAGGGAATCTATATCCTTCTCAGGCCTTCGCAAGTCTTCCACCGGCTCAGTGGCTTCGTTCTCAACAGCGGCTCCCACGGAGACGAAGCACCGCTCCTTTGCACTGTCGCCCTCAAAGGGGCTCAAACTCCTTAGCCCGAAGGTCTCGCTGTCTGCTGCCCGCCGCCATGACAGCGACCTCGAGAAGTCAACGCACAGCACCGGACACCTGGCGTCCGCCGCTTCGAGCAGGCAGTCACTCTCAACGCCGTCGCCTGCACCCAGCTCGGTAGATGAGGAGGAGATGCTTGGCGACGAAGAGATGATGCAGTACATCAAACGACAGCAGGCGAAGAAGCTCGCCGCCGGCGCGTCCCCTGAAGAAGTCAACGACATGTTGAAGTTTCCGGAGCCTACCACACCCGTCAAGCCTGTGTCGCCGGAAGGTAAGCCGTTTCGCACGGAATATGGACACTGCCCCTGAATTTCCTATCAGATGTTCTCAACAGCAGTCAGGTCAAGTATCTGTCCCAATATGAGCGACAGGAAATACTGGATTACCCCTCAGTATATTTCATTGGGGCTCGTAGTCAGAAAAAACCGGCCACTACCGAGGACTCTACGAACAACCACGGCTACGACGACGAACGCGGAGACTATCTCGTCGTCAACCACGATCATCTTTCTTACCGGTACGAAGTGGTCGGTACTCTTGGCAAAGGTTCTTTCGGGCAAGTCTTACGCTGTCGAGACCATGCCACCGGAGAGTCTGTCGCGGTCAAGATCATCAGAAACAAGAAAAGGTTCCATCACCAGGCGATGGTTGAGATCAAGATCTTGGACAACCTCAGAAAATGGGTGGGTTTGCTACGATCGTTGTCCGTATAACGCTAGGTATAGAGCTCATATTGAATCATAGGATCCGGAGGAGAAGCATCAGGTCATTAAGATGACGGAGCACTTTAACTTTCGGGGCCACCTCTGCATTGCCATGGAGTTGCTCAGTATCAATCTTTACGAGCTGATCAAGGCCAATGGATTCGTGGGATTCACGACAGGATTGATCCGCCGGTTTACGAGTCAGATGCTCATGTCGCTGTCCCTTATGCGGCACCACAGGATCGTTCACTGCGATCTGAAACCAGAGGTACGGCAAGCTTTTCGCCTCACGCCCCAAATATATTTGACGCCGCACCCAGAATGTTCTATTGAAGCACCCAGCAAAGAGCGCCATCAAAGTTATTGACTTTGGTAGCAGTTGCTTCGAGCACGAGAAGAGTGCGTGTGCTGTTTTGATCGCAATTACATTGCTGATAATCAACTCTCGCAGTATACACATACATCCAAAGTCGTTTCTACCGCTCGCCGGAGGTGATTCTTGGTATGAACTACCACATGGCTATCGACATGTGGAGTCTTGGGTGTATCTTGGCCGAGTTATACACCGGCTTCCCTATCTTCCCTGGAGAGAACGAGCAAGAGCAACTCTCGTGCATCATGGAGGTCCTTGGCGTGCCTGACAAGGACTTCATCAACCGCAGCAGCAGGAAGCGCCTTTTCTTCGGTATGTGACTTTGATGCAATTCTCTGGCGTTTCTCTGACCCTGCTCAGACTCGAGCGGCGCCCCTCGCCCTGTCATCAACTCTAAGGGTCGCCGGCGTCGCCCTGGTACAAAGACTCTCCAACAGGTTCTTCGTTGCGATGACGAGAACTTCGTCGACTTCATTGCCAAATGTCTCATATGGGATCCCGAACGGCGACTGAAGCCACAGCAAGCTCTGCGCCACCCCTTCATCCTCAACAGCCGAAAGAAACTTACCAGCCCTTCGCCGTCGGCAGCCAGAAGCCTTCTTTCTTCCCCTAGTCTGAGCTCGGGCAGTCGCACCAAGCCTACGGAAACCCCCAAGAAATCTCAGATCGGCGCACCGACCCCGCTCACTGCCCGGTCGAGCCGCGGAGGCTCCAGCGCGATTGCTGCCACTCCGCAAACCTCTACACTTGGCGCCTCATCGAGATCGTATAGAGCCTCGCAATCGCAGAATTTTGCATCGTACCACTCCAGCCGTACCATGTCTAGCTTCGCAGTGAGTGTCTCTTTATGACGCTCTGTCCGCCGTTGTCTCATCAAATGTTGCAGTCTTCTGCCAAATAATGATTTCGCCTCGTTTCGTCTATTTGTCCGGTTACATGCCGGTTGTTTTCTGTCGCCGCATACGATATTAGGATTAACATACAGCTCAGGTGCTAAGAGCAGGCTCTTCCTCATCATCATACCCCCCGCGTGTAGTCTTCTTCTTCAGTGTCTTATCCTTCTCTTCTCTGCTGGCCTCATCGCGTCGAAACAAGGGTCGTTGCACGCAATGTCATCTCACACCGCAATATAGTTCCGCATCACTATGACTTACATCATATATCTTCGTGATTTCTACATGATGAATCTCCGAAAGATACTGAACTGATTCTTCACCGTTGCGAACGGCCTACGTCGACCTAGATGACAATGTCACCGGCCGCATCGAGACATCGCAATCGAAGGAACGTGTCGGATCCTAAGGCTTGAATCAGCGATCAATTCCCAACTTGCGAATAAGATGACCAACCCCATCCGTCTAACGATAATAAATCCAGCGACCCGCCCCAATACCTGTTCACGGATGTCTTCAGCGAGATACCATCGAGAATGCAATCGTGGCCTACTTGGCATACAGTCGACTCATAGGCAAACCATAGCCCAATCCTGCTATGGTTCCCATGCCAGTTTGCAGCCCTTTCTCAGTAATGGCCCCGAATAGAGCCCCGTCATCGGACCCAAGGTCATCAAGCGCAGCAGCGCCCCCGACGTGCTGAGCAGCATAAGGTCCGCCTCCAATCTCGTCTTGATTCCCACCCACACCCGTGTCGCCGGCGGTGGTAAAAGCATATGAAAAGATCTTCTGCATGTGCGCAGGTGCCACACCTCCGCCTTGGTCTCGTATTCGTAATGAAAGGAAAGGTGTGGTCCCATCCTTCGTAACGGGAGGGGTGGCAATGGTGATCAAGATGGGAGGGGGCGGTTTGGCGTAGGACCTGCCATGCTGTTTATAGTGGTGCTCGACGGTGGCGCGGAACGAGTTCTTGAGTATCTCTGTGAGGATGTAGATGAGGTGCACAGGGGCATATCTAAAAAACGTCAATGTTTACTTATGTTCCGCGCGCCCGACGCGTAGAACTCACGCAAATGTTGCTTCGGAGTGACCATCGATGACTATGGAGGGGCTGGATCCAAGCGTGGCCTCGCAAAGGTCCTGTACGAAGGCTTGGCAAGTTTGCAGAACACCCTTCGGGGAGCATGTCATGTCGATTACACCAGAGTTGCCAATACGCTTCTGAGCCTTCTGCAGTGCATGCGAGATGGCGATATGTTGCTCGGCAATGAGTCGCACGGCAATGCGATTGCGAATGGCACCGTCGAGAAAGACGCCTATATCCCCGCTGGGCATGTACCTCACGCATTCTTGGAAGCTGTTCAGGCACGTCATTCTCAATCCTTACACGAGAAGACGTCGTGTCTTACCTCTTGGCCATGAGTGGTATGTCTTGTGCATGACGTTCTACCAGATCCTGCAAAACGGATGTATACTTGACGTTGTCCTCCAACGTTCGTATATCCGGGTGTTTCGCGAGGACTTCGAAGCTCCTGCGATGAGCATCCCGGATATGCTCGATATACGGGTTGGTGCCCACGATGAAGGGGAGCAGTTCGAGGGATTGCACCCGGCTTGCCAGTCTCCTTGGGATCTCGGAGTGAACATATCGTGCGGAGGCTAGGACAGAGTCCTCGTTTAGGGGATCGGCGAAGGAAAGCAGCGCAGATAGGGTGAGCGGATTGCTACGTTGCTCCGCGAACTTTGTTAACAAGGCCGTGAGCTCAGGAGACGGAGGTTCCGGTCCCCGCCTATGTACGCGACGCAGACCCCGCACCGATGCGTTCAGTAAGGGCGTTGTGGTGGTGGTGCATCGAAGAAGCATCGATCTACAGATCCCACCGCATTGCCACTTCATATGGAGGTCTGAATTTGATCTGGGTATGAGATCTCGTTACATCGTAGACAACATTCATCGTCTTGCTCAAGTCTTGTTATTCTTAGCATGATAGTGGCAAGTACCTCATGTCGGAAGGGAAACCAACCTTCAGTCATCTCTCAACCTCAGCCAGAGCAACGTTCAGATGCCGCGTCATTATAAGCTAAGCTATATTGCAAATACAAACATATACAGACTGAGAACGACCGCTAGTTATAAACCTGGTAAAGAGGCCTGGCGATAGGATATCATGATCAGAACGGTGTGCGGTACCAAGACATAAACAGACGTACGTGGAGGAGAACTTCGTGCCTTGCCGAACAACCTTGTCGACAGCGTCCAGGAAGTCACGCTCGGTCGCCACCTTCCGCCTTGCGCGAATAGCAAACATGCCAGCCTCGGTGGCGACGGACCGCAGCTCCGCACCGGTCGTGTTGGGGCACAGACGGGCGATGAGATCAAATCGTATGTTGCGTTCGACGCTCATACTACGCGCGTGTATGCGAAGAATATGCGCCCGACCTTCGTTATCGGGTAAGCTGAACTCCACCCGACGGTCGAGACGTCCCGGGCGGAGCAAAGCGGGATCAAGGGTGTCGGGCCTGTTTGTAGCCATGAGCACCTTGATGTTACCGCGCGGGTCGAATCCATCCAGTTGGTTGATCAGCTCCAACATAGTCCTCTGCACTTCGTTGTCGCCACCGGCACCATCGTCAAATCGGGCTCCTCCAATTGCGTCGACTTCGTCGAAGAAGATGATGCACGCCTTCTTGGATCGTGCCATCTCGAAGAGTTCGCGGACCATGCGCGCGCCTTCGCCAACGTACTTTTGTACGAGCTCAGACCCAATAACACGGATGAACGTGGCGTCTGTCCTGTTCGCAACCGCACGGGCGCAAAGAGTCTTGCCAGTTCCCGGAGGACCGAATAGCAGAACGCCTTTCGGAGGATCTATACCCAAGCCAACAAAGCGTTCGGGCTAGCAGAGCATCAGTGGAAGATCGGCCTCAGAATTTGAGGAACACCGACATGGAGCAATGGCGTCTCCACAACCTCTCGCAACTTCTCGATCTGCTCCTTGCAGCCACCAACGTCGGAGTAGGTCACGTCCGGTTTCTCTTCCACTTGCATCATTGTAACCGACGCGTCAATCTTCGGTGGCAATGGGATTTGTATTTGATACTTGTTCCGGTCGACTCTTCGGTGGCGACGTCAGCATTTTGTGACTGCTTCTTCAACTGAAGTCCATTTGCTCACCCTACTCGCATTCCCTCCTCTATGTCGGTAGCCGCTACCCTGTCACCAAGACCGACCACGAACTTGGCGATCTGCTTGATGTTGATAACGTACTTGTCCTGCTCGTCGGCGCCTTTCTGGCCCTGCGCGGCGCCTGCAGGGTTAAGAGCCTTCGCAGCCTCGGCAGCCTTCGGGTCCATGGGTATGATCTTGGTGCAGCGCGCAACCTGAAGAGGATGCTCTTCCGCCATACGCTGCCGATCGGCTGGGAGATCCCAAAGGTTAGGAGAGGCCAGACCAGTCTCAGATTCCTTCACGCCTGCGCAGCATATCAGATACTCGCTTCACTGGAAGGTGGGACGAAGTCCGCTAAGAGAAGGAATGCGCATACCAAGCTTCTCGTTGATACGCTTCTGAATCTCCTTGATGTCGTTTTCTATCTTCTTCAACTGCTCCGCATAGGGACCTTGACCCTAAACCAGCGTGAGCGGTAGCGGCACTAAACACGCGAATCTCACGTACGTAGGTCTTGAGGATCTGTATGTCACTCTCGTCCAAGGCTAGAAAGCTGTTGTTAGAATATCGCATTTTGAGTCGCTGAAGATGTGATCCTCACCGACGATCTTTTCGTCATCCTTGCCGTCTCCCTTCTTCTCCCCTGGACACCGGTTAGATGCATGAACATCATAATGGGAGGTCACATACACTTCTCCCAGTCACTGCGAACACAAAGTCAGTATATAATATGAGATAGGATCTGTATAACATACGCTTTCGGCGGCATTGCTAGCGATATGAAAGTACAAGGTCAACGAGAATGTACGGAAGATACAGTAGTCTCGAGGCGACGCGTCAGTGAGCAAGGCGCGTCAGCGTTCACCTGACTAAGCCACAGCTTCCCGTTTGAAGCGAGTCCTGGCCCGCCCTATAGATTATTACAGCCTCCTCATCATAACCGTGCGCGATGGCCGGCGCACTCCCCAACGCGAAGAAGAACCTCCCGAAGATCAGCGATGAGGACCGCGAGTCTCGCTTCGGACAGGTTTTCGGCGTGTCCGGACCCGTCGTCATCGCGGAGAACATGACGGGCTCAGCTATGTACGAGCTCGTCCGTGTAGGGCACGACGAATTGGTTGGCGGTATGTCAGCAACCGCTCCGAACCCGTACAGTCTCCTCATTACTATCTTACAGAGGTGATCCGAATCGACGCCGATAAGGCCACCATTCAGGTCTACGAGGAGACTTCCGGCGTAACGGTTGGTGACCCGGTACTGCGGACAGGAAAACCGTTGAGCGTCGAGCTTGGTCCAGGCACGTTTCACCTACGATTGAGACGTACCTCCGTCTGACCACGAATCATAGGTCTTATGAGCAACATCGTTGACGGTATCCAACGACCGCTTCGTGTGCGATACCGTATGCATGTCCGTTCAGACCAGCTTTCTGACGTGCTGTCGTAGAGCATCCAAGAGCTATCCAAATCCATTTACATCCCTCGTGGCATCAATACAGAGGCCCTCGACCGGTCGCTCAAGTGGGATTTCACACCGACTAACTTCAAAGTATGGCAAGCCATCGTTATGCGTCGCGAACAAGCGCTCACGGAGTTTCCAGATTGGCGACCACATCTCCGGAGGCGACATTTTCGGAAAGGTGTACGAGAACTCTCTTGTCAACGAGCACAAGATCATGCTCAACCCGCGAGCATTGGGCACTATCACACACATTGCGGAGACGGGTAGCTATGCTGTGGATGTACGCATGGTATCATCGCGGTCGTTTCTGCCTTCACTGACACCGTTACAGGATGTCGTGCTTGAGACGGAGTTCGAGGGAAAGAAGACCCAGCACACGATGATGCAACTCTGGCCTGTCCGTGCACCTCGGCCAGTGACCGAAAAGCACACGGCAGATTACCCACTTCTGACCGGTCAGCGCATTCTCGATGCGCTTTTCCCGTGAGTGACGCGTCTTGCGGCATAGCGCCGTCTGCTGACCCAAATCAGCTGCGTGCAAGGTGGAACAACTGCGATCCCCGGCGCTTTCGGATGCGGCAAAACTGTGATCTCCCAGGCCTTATCAAAGTTCTCCAACAGCGACATCATCATCTACGTCGGGTGTGGCGAACGTGGAAACGAGGCGAGTATATGCTTTGCCGGAAATGAACTGCGCTGACCTTGCCGACTCGGTAGATGGCTGAGGTGTTAATGGACTTCCCGGAGTTGACTATGGAGGTTGGTGATCGCCAAGAACCCATCATGAAGCGGACTACGCTCGTCGCCAACACGTCGAACATGCCCGTGGCCGCTCGAGAGGCGTCGATTTACACTGGCATTACCCTCGCGGAGTATTTCCGTGACCAGGGTAGCAATGTTTCGATGATGGCAGACTCCACCTCGCGATGGGCCGAGGCACTCCGTGAAATCTCGGGTCGTCTCGCTGAGATGCCAGCGGACTCCGGTTATCCTGCCTACCTCGGCACCAAGTTGGCCAGTTTCTACGAGCGCGCCGGTAAGGTTACCTGCCTGGGAAACCCCGTTCGCCAGGGTACCGTGTCCATCGTTGGGGCGTAAGTACTCACCGTTATTGAAACGAACGAGGGAACTTACCCTTTGTCTTGCACAGTGTCTCACCACCTGGTGGTGACTTCTCGGACCCGGTGACATCCGCCACCCTCGGTATCGTGCAAGTGTTCTGGGGCCTCGACAAGAAGCTCGCGCAGCGCAAACACTTCCCGTCCGTCAACTGGAGCTTATCGTACTCCAAGTACGAGAAGGTGCTCGAGCCGCACTACGAGGCAACAGAGCCTGGGTTTGTCGAGTTGCGCACAAAGGCGAAGGAGATTCTCCAAAAGGAAGAAGACTTGGCCGAAATCGTGCAGCTCGTCGGCAAGAGCGCTCTCGGAGAGAACGACAAGATAACGCTCGAAGTGGCAAGGATGTTGAAGGAGGACTTTTTGCAGCAGAACGGCATGAGCGAGTACGACCGGTTTTGTCCGTTCTACAAGACTAGCGCAATGTTGCGGAACTTCGTGGCATTCCACGACAGCGCGGTCAAGGCGGTGGGCCAGGGTGATTTGACGTTCAACAAGATCAAGGACTCGGCAGGCGACTTGATGTACAAACTTTCTCAGATGAAGTTTGAGGTGAGAACGCAGTCGCATATTCAGTTGCGCTGATGTTGACCGTGACCTCCAGTCCCCTTCGACCGGGCAGGAGTCTATCAAGAAGAATCTTGATGCTTTATATTCGGAAATCCAAGAGAAGTTCCGCCAGATGGTAGAGTGAGGTGGTATTCGACCCCCTCTCGTTCCCCTTTGCATTCGGACGCTACGAACTGTACACGCAAGGTCACGATGTAATCGGCGCCCACTACGGCGGTCGGCAATATATGGCAAGTTGATCAGTATACGGAGGTTGAAATGCTCGGTCTTCTTGATGTCTGTTCTGCCACATTCTGCCTTCATACGGACTTCGAACTCTAGTTGACTGCCCGCGGGCGCCGCTCGTGGCTGCCGATGGAGTGGGCGGCCGTGCACTGCGCATGACGCCGGGGGCGTGCCCTCTGTCTGGGCGGTCATAAAAGCGGTGAGCCTCGAGGAGACGAGCACCGCTTGTTCTGTACGCGATGCTCCTCTGCAACGCAGGTGTGAGCAGTGTCCTGCTCGGCGCGGTGCTCGGCGCTGTGGCCCGGTCGCCGGCATATCCCGAAAACATAGACCCACAGTCCACCGACATCTTGGCTGACGCTCAGGATGCCCAGTTCGCCCATGCGCCAACGGAACAGTTTCCGGTCGACGGCCCTGCAGACTCATCTCCTTATGGCCGGGGCAAGCCTTCGAACCCCTCCGATGGCAGACCGCCTAGACGTCGCCCTCCGCCTGGCAGTCCTCCCCCGAGTCATGTAAACAGAACGGTTTATGAGTTCCTTGCCGAGGACAAAGGGTACGCACATCCACATTTTATACTAGTATGAGACTGAATGGCATTGGCTCTAGGTTTTCGAAGCTAACAAAGCTCGTCAAGCTCAACAACGAAACGGTTGACTTGTTGAACCAAACGTCGACTAAGTCAGTTGTGATTCCATATGGCAGGGTGTTGGTCTAAAGGATGTTCTATAGCATCACTTTCTTCGCTGTACCGAATTGGGCCCTACCAAAACGTCCTCATCATCGGCCAGGACGTCATCGAGACGAGGACACATCGATCGAAGTCGACATCGCAGATATAGACGATTTGAACATCCGCTCTTTCCTCAAAACACACTCGTCAGTCGCTGATGATGAGAGGAAGAAACTCTTCAAGCAGATAATTGGCTACTTGATTCGCTACAACACCATCATGGCATCGCTGCCAGTTCACAAGCTCCACGAGAACACCACCTACGCTACGAACTTAACTCTTCCCGACGGTTCTCTAGGAGGTGAAGCACTGCGAGTCCGAGTTGATGGAATCTTGCAGCCTTCCATCAACTTCTTCTCTCGCGTAGTGCGATCCGTCGTCGTCTCTAATGGTGCGGGATCTCAGACTCATATTACTGTTGCCGCGACGTCTCACAATCAGCCTCCTATTTGTCGCAGGTATCGTCCATATCATCAATGACCCCGTGACTTTCGCGCCGCCCGTATTCCAGGAACTGTACGCTTTCCCGGAGGTTTTTGCTACAGTGGTGAGTTTCCTAGTGTGCCTACGGAACTGCGGACGTCGATCTGATCTGTGTGCAGACCAGCGCTCTCCAGCACACAGGCCTCGACAACGCCTTGGATTGGCGTTACGTCGGCGATGGTCAATTCGAGGGCAATTCGACAGTGACCTTCTTTGCGCCGTCCAATCGTGCGTTCGACCGCCTCCCGCCTGCGCTCAAGAGATTCCTGTTCTCGGCGTTGGGTGCGAAGGCTTTGACCAAGATCCTCCAGCTGCATGTCGTGCCGAACTTCGTATTCCATTCCGGTAAGTTTGTGTACCGTGCCCATTGGTGCCCTTCACTCATTCTTGTTAGATTATTCCTTCAACGCGAGTTCCGGTCTGCAAGACAGCGGCAAAGATCTCAGCAATGCAGAGGACTCCGCGTTTCTTCCCATCCTAGACAACGTCGCCGCGCTTGGACTCGATCGGCATTTCCCTCCTTTCCCTCCCTCGGATGAGTGTGGGCCTGACTTCCAGGAGCATGGACGGCACGCAGACGTATCGCGTGGCAACAACCGCGGTCCCGGAACGTTCGATGATGGCGAGCGGGGGCCTGGCCGCCGCTGCAAGTCCTGTTGGTGGCCATTCGGCTGCAAGCAGTCCGATAAACGCAAGACGCGTTCAGGCGTTGCTAAAACGGGTCCGCGTGGACGAGAGGACCCTCCAGCGCGCTTTCCCGAGCATCCACCCCCGCCCACGCCTCCGCCGCGTCGCCCGGCCCCGGGTTCCAAGCACCCTGGCCCCGGTGGTAAGAAACATTCACCGTCGCCACCACCTCATGCGCCTTGCGCGCCTCTTCCGATGCCACACCATTCACCGATATCGACCATCTCACATTCTTTCCCGAGCCTTCTCCCGAACCACACGTTATCGGTCAACGTAACCACCTTCGAGTTGAAGCTTCCTGTAGGTCACGCCATCCGGAAGATCACGAAGATCAACGTCAATGGCGTGCCGTTGCACGTCCAAGACGTACCGAGCCGCAATGGTGCCGTGCATATTGTCGACAGACTTCTGCATCCCTTCCGAACCCATTCCGAGCCCGCCGTCGTTGTCGATGTTGGAGATCATCACGGTGAAGATATTTGGGGGGACTGGGAGGACTGGTTGCCACTCTGGGCGTCTCAGTAATAACCAGACGCCTTCGTTACTTATACCGTGGGTAAATATTGTAGTACACTCATTTCATCGCCGCGACACTCATACAAGCTACACCTGCACTTCCTGCTGTGCTTGCAATTCTATCGTAACAAAAGGACATATATTGAGAAACTGATCGTCGCAAGTCATCAATGAAGTGCTGATCGTCAGTGCGTGAGGCGAGACGCGTGGCGACACAAGTACAAGCAATCGTTGAACATAGAAACGCATAAATGGCCATACAGCGGCATTGTCTAGCTAGCAGTGTTAGTAACCACCTCCATCGTGATTGGCTCTTTGGGATGCCATCTGCCTGCGCTGAGCATCTTCCAGTTTGGGGCAATTTGAGATACCGTGACCCAAACCGCCGCAAACGGGACAGCCCTTGATGGAGCCTCCTTGGGCAACGCGAGGATCTTCGATGGTCTGGAGGAACGGTGGAACCCTATGAGAAAGACCGATTTCAGCAAGTGAGCTCGGAAATAATCGCAAACACCAACTTCTGGCCTGCCTCCATGAGAAGGTACTTCAGATCAAGCAGAGTTTGTTCTGGTGTGTTCATGTTGACGAAGGTGGTGGCGATGCCGGTTTTACCGGAACGACCAGTTCGTCCTATTTGATGAACATAGTCCTCAATCTCCTTCGGCATCGTGAAGATTATGACATGCTGAATCTCGTTGAAGTCGAGGCCTTTCGAAGCAACGCCGGAGGCAACCATGACGTCCTTCTGACCTGATTTAAACGCCTTGATGGCATATTGACGTTCCTCCTGGGCTGGGACAAGATGAGCAAGAATGCTTCGGAGAAAAGCCACGAAAACAAGGAGGGAAGATAAGAGGAAGAACCGACTTTTAGACCCGTGTATAGCAACAGCCTCCACTCCTTTCAGGAGAAGATACTCATGAATATCTATATCGCACGTGAGGTAGTGGTTTGGCGCCAAGACACAGTTGTATGCATACCATCCACCTCGTTCTTGTTCTCGCTGAAGATGATGACAGGCGGGGCGGTTTTCTGCAAGGACTCGAGCAAGTAAACCATTTTGGCCTCCTGCTTGACGTATTCCACGATTTGAAGAACATCCAAATTGGCCGCGCCAGCACGCCCTACATTGACCAGTACGGGGTTGATCAGAGAGCCCTGCGCGAAATCTTGTATTTTCCTCGGCATGGTAGCGGAGAATAGTAAGGTTTGTCGTTGATGCTACGAGCTCCGGTCAGCGTCCGATGTCGCAACATAAGCATCGGACATACCCTGAAAAAGCTCAATATATTTCGTACATCCTCTTCGAATCCAAGATCGATCATTCGGTCCGCCTCGTCCATGACGAGATATTTGCAGTTGTTGAAGGTGAATCGCTTCTTCTCAAGCATGTCGATTAATCGCCCAGGAGTGGCTACGACGATGTGGAGGCCTTTGTTGAGAACATGACTCTGTTCACCCATCGAAATACCGCCGATGCACAGAAGTGTGTTGAGCTTTGGGTATTGCCCATTACTCGACAAAGCGTCGGTCCAGGCGAGGACATTTTCGTATGTCTGAGTAGCGAGTTCGCGTGAAGGACAGAGAATGATGCCGACGGGTCCTTCTCCGCGGACAAACGGCAGCTTCGCCTCTTCCTCCGCAGCCGTCATAATGACTGGAAGGCAAAAGGCTAGGGTCTTGCCCGAACCTGTGAAAGCGATTCCGATCATGTCTCGTCCTGAGAAGCTACGGATTCGTGAGAAATGTCGTAGAAGCCACAGTAGTATAACCTACGCAACGGGTATGCCTTGAATCTGTATAGGCGTCGGCTCGATTATCCTCTTGGACTTCAGTAGCTTCAAAAGAGGCTCAGGAATCTTCATGTCCTGGATGTGGGTCAGAGAGCGAGTCACGGAGCTTCGACGAAGATACTGACAGCAAAACGCTCGACCGGTGGAGGCGGGTCGTTGCCTTCAACGATGATGTGGTGTTTTTCGCGTATACGTTGATGTTGGTCCGGGGTACGATCCCTGATGTGTTTGGGCGGCCGCCATCTAACGAGAATTAGACTTGACTAACATGCAGAACGAAGTAAACTCGTACGATGTCTTGCGTGATTCGGTGTAGGAAATACCTTTGGCCAGTTCTAGGTCGGAGGCTAGCTTTTTCCTGCTCGCGATTGCCGCTAATATCTCAGCGTCTGCCTCTTCTGCTTTCTCCTCAGTAGTCTTCTTCGCATCTACAGATTGTTCTGCTTAGACAGCTCCGGGCAGCACTAAATACTGTCCCCCACATACCTTCGGCGGCTTTCTTTGAGTGCACCTCTTGAGCCTCCTGGAGAAGAGTGCGTTCCTTGCGAGCTTTCTCTCGGAGCCTTTCCTCTTCTCGCAATGCGTCTTCACGCTCATCCTGCTCTTGCTGTTCTCTCCGGGCTTTCTCCCTCTCTGACTCGAGACCGCTCCGAGCGGCTAATTTTGCGAGCTTGGCATTACGTCGTTGCGCCACCGGAACGTACGGTTCATAGGTGTCGTCCTCAAGTTTGAAGGTCGGAGATGGAGAACGCTCAATGCGACGGCGTTTGTATGTTGACTCAGACTCGGCCATGGTGGTCACTGAGAACAGCTGCTGTGACCCTAACCCGACATTGTGGTTAATGATGACTTTGCTATCGGCCCGTTCGGGCCCGCGGACGTGTTGATTCTTGACGAAGATGTAACCAGCTCACGGGGATGAGATATGGATAATAATCCCTCGCCCTCTATGAGTCTACCACCTCCATCCACCGCTATGGTAGACTTTGATCCTAGTACACATCCTCATCGGCGCTGTAAGCAACGCCTCCATTACCACCACTGGTCACTCACTGCATTGCTGCTTGACAAATCACTACAGTCAACCCGCTCACGAACGAGCACGTTCTTGTTTCTCCGCACCGTACGAAGCGGCCATGGCAAGGTCAAACGGAACCTCCGCAAACCACGAAGCTGCCGGATTACGACCCCAATTGTTACCTCTGCCCGGGCAACTCCCGCGCCGGTGGACAGAAGAACGAAACTTACACCAGTACGACGGTATTCGAAAACGATTTCGCTGCTGTGTTACCTGGTCCAGCTCCTGCACCGCCAAGCGCGCCTCACCCCCTGTTGTCCACTGAGCCCGTCAGTGGAGGATGCGACGTTTTAATCTTCCATCCGAGGCATGACCTCACACTGGCAAGACTGGAAGCCAAGGATATACTACTCATCATCGAAGAATGGACGCGGGTGTATGTTGGTCGTGGTGCCCAAGAAGGAATTGAGTACGTCCAGATCTTTGAGGTGGGCCAGCGATTATCTGCGACCACGTCGAGGGTATAACATAACGCACAGAACAAAGGGGCGATGATGGGCTGTTCGAATCCTCACCCTCATGGTCAAGTTTGGTCGCTATCCGCAATCCCAACTCTTCCCGCTATGGAGCTAGCGAACTTGAAGAAGTACTCAGTCTCAGACGTCGCTCCGTCATCGGCCCCAAAAGGCCCGGAGGGACGCCCTTGTCTTCTATGTGATTACGCGAATTTCGAGGTTGGCGTTGCCGAGGACGAAGGCCGCGTCGTAGCCAAGAATGAACACTGGGTGGCCCTTGTGCCTTGGTGGGCGACTTGGCCTTTCGAAGTTTTGAGCATGTTGGCTTCTTCTCAGCCTGTGTTCTATGCTGAACGTCACTTTCATCCAGTGCTCCCATACAGGCGCCATGTTCCATCTCTTCTACACCTCACCGCCGAAGAGAATGCGTCATTTGCGCAGATTATCTCGCGCCTCACGAAACGCTATGACAACCTCTTCCAGTGCTCATTCGCGTATTCCATGGGCATCCATCAACGGCCTGTCCCACCTAGCGGCGTTACGCTCGAATCGCTAGCGGAATTTGACGGTGTGTCAAGCAATGGTGAACAAGATATCGCCCATTTGCACCTGCATTTCAGCCCTCCGCTCCTGCGCAGCGCCAGTGTGCGGAAGTTTTTGGTTGGGTACGTCAGTCCCTACCTTTTTTCCGATCATTTGTGAATAATCACTTAGGTTCGAAATGATGGGCGAGCCACAACGAGATTTGACTCCGGAACAGGCTGCCGCGCGCCTGCGCGCGTGCTCAGAAGTGCACTACCTTGACGCGCATGCTGATGGTGTTTCCGAGTCCTAGACACACATGATTGCATTCGACTGCTGTCCCTATAGTAGTATCATTATCCATGGCAGGAGTGCGGTGTGGGAGCCACCCAAGTCAATGCCGAACTATGCGTGCATATGCTACGTACTACGAGTTGAAACAATACAGTTTGTGTGCAACCATGTTTTGTTTATATTCCTCATCGTAGAACGGCAGTCACCTTGCGTGATACTAAGCCGTTGCCGGTGGAAATAACTTGGATTAAATTGAACCGGTTTTCAATCTTGCAGCTAGCGCATATCCAACCGCAATGTGATGAAGTCGCGCATCTACGACGCAGCCCTGACACATCACTCAGCAACTAAATCATAAACATGTGGCATATATGCACCTTCTTGCTATATTCTTCCAATTCCGCATGGAGATTGTCCAATTCGACAACACGCTTCACAATGAATTCACCAGCGTCCAGCTTTTGATCGTACGTTTGCAGATCGTCCTCCATGGAGACTGACAACATGCTGAGTTTCATATTGGCGGTAGTCATCCCTGGGAGAAGCGTGAAAACCGCAGTCATAAGTGGCATGCTTGATCTACCTGGGTCGGTGGCAAGCAGAGAACTAGTCTCAATGACTCGATCCGCCTTGAAACCCGTCTCCTCTTCAAGCTCGCGAATAGCAGCAGCCTCGACAGTTTCGCCGTCGTCAACCAGCCCTGTTTTCAAAGCGAGTTGTATCATCTTCCTGGAGTGAGTGGTGTGTACTAACATACCTGCGGGAAGCTCTGGGGAGTACATCACTTCTAATTAGCTACTGATCAGCAGCAGATCGAGGACATACCGATGATGACCTTGTCAATGGGTGGCCGGTATTGCTCGATGATGACGGTGGACGGTTTGAAGGTTTCCTTCTTGGACCTTATGATTGCAAATATTGCGACGGCTAAAGGCTCAGATCATGAGCCGAGATTCATGGACCGTGAGTCCCGCTCACCATCGACACCCGATGAACCTCTGGTCTTTCTCTCAGCAGCTTCCCAGAGACGCTAGGACGGCAATGAGAACCTAGCATATCAGGTCAGAGCTGCTTAGCGCACATCCTTGCCAGTCGGATCCTGCCAATGTATCTTCTTCAGGCCTATCCATCTATGTATGACATGATATGTCGGTGCTGCATGATCAATGTATACTATTCCTGGACAAACTTCGCTTGCTGGCTGTCTAGCTCCTCAAAGGCAACAACTCTGGATCTGAATGCCATGCTCGTGAAGGTGGTGGTCCTGACTAGTCGTGCAGATAGAGTAGAGAGTCGTAACGTCGCGGCGGAGAGCATACATCATCTCCTTCCCCGGTTTCCCCACGAAGCCGTCGATCTGAGGCTGTGTTAGATACGGGTTTTGGCGCCGGAAACTTTTCTCTTGTCCGCGTCCGTCAACCTAAACGACTGTCTAGAGTCTGCCTGGGGAGACAACTGTCAACCCAAAGCTCGTATAAGCACCGTCTACGCTGCAAGCATGGCCCGGGGCGTGCTCCTGACGTCCAATCTCCCACAACTACAAAATCTCATCAAGAGAGATCCCGTTGCATACCGAGAAGAGTTCCTCCAACAATGGAATCACTACAACAGCATCCGTCAAATATTCCACATCAATCCGGATGAACATGCTCAGCATTTCAGAGAGCTTGTCGCGTTCATTTCCCAGGTATGTGACCGGCTGGATGTATGTAGGATGGTCCAGGTCTTTGATTATGCACAGGTCTCGCCGTGTTATCCCAAAGAGACGACAGAGTTCCCATCGCAATTATCTACTCTCCTGTTGGAGAATTACGGAACATTGTCTCCGGACACCCGCAAATCGCTTGTCCAGAATCTCGTCATGTTGCGTAACAAGAATGTCATCACGTCGGTTGAGTAAGTGCACCGTTGACTGGCCGACTTGGCACGACTTGACGACGAGCAGGCTTCTCAAGACACTATTCCCGTTGCTGCCTCGAACGACTTCATCTTCGCTTCGTCAAACCATACGCAAAACTATCATGTCTGACATACGCAGCGCCAACATGCGTACGAAGAACCACAAGTTAAACAGAGCGGTCCAAGCCATGCTCTTCGGTATGGTGGAGCGTGGCATGGATGCGGAGGTTGAGACTGAGAAGGGTAAGGGAAGGGCCAATACTGCGAATAAGGGTGGCGAGGCTGCGTGGGCTGTCTTGGTAGCGAAGGAACTATGGAAGAAGGGCGTCTGGTACGCTCCTGTTCGTTCACTTCCACAAAGTTAAATCACGGAAAGACAATAGGACTGACCCCAAGACCGTCTCGATCATCTCCTTGGGTTGTTTTCATCCCGCCACGAAAGTTCAGAGAGCTTCAATACACTTCTTCCTTGGCGACGACGAAGATGAAGAGGAGGACGATAGCGATGATGAGGTATTGTTCAGTACTCCGCCTGAAGTCTTCGTATACTGAGACACGTTAAAGGGTCCCGACGTGAAATCCTTGCTGCACAAGCGCGAAGTTAAGAAAAAAACCCGCAGTGGTGACAAGAAATTGCAGAAAAGCATGAAAGAGGCCAAAAAGGTTGTTTCCCACTTCCGCGTGCGTGGGTATTGCATTTCTTACTCCGATCTGTATGTAGAAACGCAAAATGAAGTCGGATGCATCCTCGCCCAACTTCCCAGCAATACAGCTCCTGAACGACCCTCAAACTTTCGCGGAGAAGCTATACGAACTCCTTGCTCGTCACGACAAACACTATTCGCTGGAGCAGAAGATTCTGATCATGCAGCTTCTATCGCGAGTGGCTGGCGCCCACAAACTATGCGTGTTGCCTTTTTACACCTATATCATCAAGTATCTCACCTACCATCAACTCCGCGTTCCCTCCATCCTTGTCGCCCTAGCTCAGTCGGTGCATGACCTGACGCCTCCGGACGCTCTCACTCCCGTGATCAGGAAGGTTGCACAAGAATTCGTCCACCCTGGAGTAGGAAGCGAAGTGATCCGCGCTGGGCTCAACAGCATCAGAGAGGTATGCAGGCGGCAGCCATGGGCGATGGAGGAAGATATGTTGGGTGATTTGGTGGAGTATAGAAAGAGTAGGGATAAGGGTGTGACAGCCGCAGCAAGAGGCCTTTTGCAGCTCTACCGGGAGGTCAATCCTGGCATGCTCAAGAAGCGGGAACGAGTAAGCGTCTCGGTGTACCTCATCCGACGTGAACACTGAACGCGACAACAGGGCAAAGAGGCAACCATGGGTATCGCTAGCGGAACCAAGCCCTTGCCGTTCGGGCATTCTGCTCAAGCGGCTGTGGACATCGATGGTCTTTCGGTGAGTATTTGCGTGTCCTAGTTAACCACACATTCATCCCATGTGCTCTAGTTATTGGAGGACCATCTGCAAAAGCTGCGCGAGGAGAACGGGGATGAAATGGACGTGGATGTGGATGACTCAGCCGCATGGGAAGGCTGGGACGTCGAGACGGATAGCTCGGAAGAATCGTCGGATGAAGAAGGCTGGCTCAACGTTGAATCCGACGAAGAACCCTTAGAGGTGTCTGACTCCGAGGACGAGGATATGGAGAAGGCGAAGACAGTATCAAGTGCCGACGCTAAGCAGGATGACAAGCTCGTTGAAGACGCTACCTTGCGTGTATCTACGCTCGCCACGACCAAGGTAAGAGCATATCTCTGCGATTTGCGCCGTCATCCTGACCGTCACGTAGATTCTGACCCCTGCGGACTTTACGCTCTTGAACGAGCTGAAGCTACAAGCTGCCACCAAAGCTGTGGAGGCTACTGGCAGCTCGTCCGCAAAGCGTAAATTGGCGACCCTCGAAGCACAGAAGAAGAATATGGCCTCCGGGAACATGGCTGAGACCTTCCTAGCCGAAGACGATATCTTGGGTCCGAGCAAGAAGTCCAAGGCGGACTACGCCGAACGCATGGCCTCGATTGAGAAAGGCCGTGAAGGTAGAGAGAAATACGGCTCATTGAAAGGGAAGAAGGAAAAGGCCAACCCAAGCAGCTCGACGAACAAACAGAAGGCGAGGAACAAACCGATCATGATGATTCTCAGCAGCGGTGCTGTCAGAGGAAAGAAGAAGGCGAGTCTGAGGGAGAAGCAACAGAAGTTACGGCGGCATATCAACAAGGCCAAGAAAGCCCATCATTGACACCTGTAGTCGACACGTTTGTAATGTGCTATCCCATGTGGTGGTGCAAAGCCATATGATCCAATTATGTTCCTCGTCTAGCGACGGCTAGTGCCTCCGGCTCGGGTATAACAGCAGAACGACGTAAACAATCAAAACAGTACGACAGCAAATCATAACCACCTCAACGTGCGCCAGCACCCTGAAAGATCGGTCAGGATGTACGGGCACAGACGCACGGACGAGTGACAGAAAGACATACAGGAGACAATATCAGTACTGCGCGTGCGCTAGCACAGCTGAGCTCGCGTCAATTACATAGAACTTGATGTAGCCGTCTTGATGTAGTCGTTCCCATCACGTCGCGGTTGCTGCAACAGTGGCTACACTTGGTGTAGAGGCACCGGTCGCCATATCGTTATGCGGAGCGGGGTCGCGCTCTGAGGCTCCTCCAGAAGATGCAGCCCTATCTTTCCCCTTTCCGCGGAGCCCACCTCGGCCTCGGCCTCGGCCAGACCCGCGCGTTACACTCGTTTCAGCAGTAGGCGTACGTGCGGCCTGCGAGTCTTCGGGCCTTGCGGTATCGTTGGCAGCATCAAGGGACGGCTGAGGTACAGTCTTCGGTCTGAAGTCGTTGCCACTTCTCTTCGCAGAGTCCCATTCTCGACTCTGCATCTTGTTCATCTTTCGACGCGCGTTCTCCTCACGTGTGCGGTTGATGTCCTCCTGCACTTTCTTTGCCTGTTGGCGCTTGGCCGCTTCCTTCTCTTGAGTCTTTTTGAACGCATCTTCATCAGCTTGCACATCCTACAACTTCATCGGTATAGTGCAGAGCTCTTGGTTGATGCGACTTTACCATCCGGCGCTGTTTGATTTTCTCGTTTTGTTCACGAATGCGTGTCATGCGTTCGGCGAGCGCCTCGTCACTGAGCTTTTCCTAGATGGCCATGGTTAGCTACGGATGATCGTCAAATATCTGGTCCTCACCCTCTGTTGACCACCAGTCTTAACACGCTCTGGATTGACATATGGTGCTTTCTTTTCTTTCTGTTCCTTCACTGGCGCATCGGTCTGAAGGGTAGGCGATTTGTCCCGGTTCTCTTTGCCTTCGTCATTGTTAGCTTCTGCGCCTTCAATGGAAGGGACATCGGCGGCGGGAGGATCCGCAACGGCCGGGGCCGACTCGGTCTTGTCCAGCTGAAGCCCCAATGAGTTCTGGGTCATGACGGCGTGAGTCGAGATGGCACAGCGTGGCTGTGCCCGGGATCTCCAAACGATATAAGTGCTTGACCATCGATGCAGGATGTTGCACACAGATCTCTTCTACTATGTCGCTTTCCAACAAGCTCTCCATTACAGACCTTGACCTTAAGGGCAAGCGTGTCCTCATCCGAGTGGACTTCAATGTTCCGATGCAAGACGGGAAGGTCACGAATCCCGCGGTACGCAAGCACCGTAATCTATGACGAATGGCTCATATTCAGGAAATGTACAGCGTATCGTTGCCGCTTTGCCGACCATCAAATATGCTCTTGAGAATGGTGGGTTACACGAAATCCTCATATATGGTCTCTAATGAACCTATGACTTTACAGGAGCGAAAACGGTGACTCTCATGTCCCATTTGGGACGTCCGGATGGCAAGGTTGTTCCGAAATACTCCCTCGAGCCAGTCGCATCCGAGCTAGAGAAGCACCTCGGAAAGCCTGTCACTTTCTTGAAGGACTGTGTGGGCCCTGAGGTCGAGCAGGCGGTGAACTCCGCCTCGCCTGGTTCGGTCATCCTGTTGGAGAACCTCCGCTTCCACATCGAGGAGGAGGGCTCTGTGAAAGATAAAGAAGGGAAGAAGACAAAGGCTGATCCCGAGAAGGTCAAGGCTTTCCGGGAGGGACTCACGAAACTCGGCGATGTCTACGTTAACGACGCTTTCGGGACCGCTCACCGTGCGCACTCTAGCATGGTCGGTGTCCAGCTCCCGCAACGCGCTTCCGGCTTTCTGGTGAAGAAGGAGCTCGAGTACTTCGCCAAAGCACTCGAACACCCCGAGCGTCCGTTCTTGGCCATCTTGGGTGGAGCCAAGGTCTCGGACAAGATTCAGTTGATTGAAAATATGTTGGATAAGGTATGCCAAGCATCGACTCGTGTTTGGCATCTGACGCATACCTGTCAGGTCGACTCGCTCATCATTTGCGGAGGGATGGCGTTCACCTTCAAGAAGACTATCGACGGGGTATCAGTGAGTTCGCTTTCGTATCGTAGTGGAGCCATGACGTAATTCTTGTCGTCAGATCGGCAACTCCTTGTTTGATGAGCCTGGATCGCAAAAGGTCCAGAGTCTGATTGAGAAGGCGAAGTCCAAGGGCATCAAACTGGTGTTCCCCGTTGATTACATTACCGCTGACAAATTCGACAAGGATGCCAAGGTACGAACGGAATATACAGGACCACCTTTTTCGTTAATCATTTCTACCAGACTGGAGTTGCCACCGACGCGGAAGGTATCCCAGAAGGTTGGATGGGTCTGGACGCCGGCCCGAAAAGTCGTGAGCTGTACGAGAAGACAGTTTTGGAAGCCAAGACCATCCTCTGGAACGGGTGAGCCTGCCAGATCAGATGTGGGTCGTTGTCCCGGTATTGACACCTCTGCAGACCGCCTGGTGTCTTCGAGTTCGACGCGTTCGCCGGTGGATCGAAGGCGCTCCTGGACGCCACCATCAAGGCCGCCCAGAATGGCGCGACTGTCATCGTGGGCGGTGGTGACACTGCAACAGTTGTTGCCAAGTATGGCGCGGAAGACAAGCTCAGTCACGTTTCTACTGGCGGTGGTGCCAGTCTTGAGCTCCTCGAGGGGAAGGTATATCGCTTCGCGTACAGATCAAGTTGAATACGCTCGTTACTGATATATACCCTGCAGATCCTGCCCGGTGTTGCGGAGCTCAGCGAGAAATGATTGCTATCTGTTGCCGGAGATAATTGCATGACGTCCAGGATTAGAGAAGTATGCTATGTGAAGTGTACAAGAAACAGGTGTACCAACTATCGCGTTAATTTAGACTTGCCGTACAAAGAGCGCCGTATTATGTAATTCTAGTTTGCTACCCCACGTGACCCCAGTGCATGCGGCGTTTCGTCCAATCGTTGACCCTGGGCTTGAACGCGCAAACCAGCCTAATCAACAGCTTCCGGCTCATCTGCCGCACAATACGTTCGCCATGGTCGCTGCTCGTCGCAGGTCGAGTAGAGTGAATGCGCAAGCAGTGCAGGCGTCGCAGGACTCAGCAGCCGAGCCCAACGACAGCGAGTCGCAAACCAACGGCCACAATGAGCCTTCAGCCAAACGCTCCGCTGAGGAAGACCGCTGTCCTGCATGTGAGCCCAAGGATGAGCAAGGCTCGGGTGCCGAAACTCCAGCGGCAGATAAGGAGAGCTGGGTCAGATGCGATGCCTGCAAAACGTGGTTCCACTGGAGATGTGTGGGGCAAGGCGGTGGTGACCTCGAAGCGGTCGACAAATGGTGTGCCCAAAGTTGAATCTCATTCGCTGCCAGACCCTCGTTCAACATTGTCTCTCTCGAGGTTCTGCACGCCATGCCGATCGAAAGATCCATCTCGTGTCATAACGATGAAGCCTCCTGCGCGCAAATCATCAAGAAAGCGAGCGCAACGTGACTATGCTAACATGCACTCGGGCGACAACGTGGATGCGACTCGGTGGACAAAGATGTTTGAAGGAAAGAAGATTTCCCCAGATAACTTCAGAAGAATGCAGGGGAGCGAGGTCACGATGGAATGGTTGGAAGGGGACGATGCCGCGCTGAAGACTCCGATAGTCATTGAAGACCCAGAAGGTCTTGGGATGAAGATGCCAGATTCTAGCTTCACCGTCAGCGACGTGGCGTCCATAGTCGGGGAGCAGACGCCTGTGGAAGTCATCGGTAAGATGTTCCGTGCTCGTGGATTGGCAGGAGGCTCATATATTCATGTGTAGATGTCGCATCGCAAGCTAATTCGCCCGGGTGGACTCTCGGTAAATGGGCTGAGTATTACAACACCCCACCAGAAAAGCGAGACAAAATTCGCAACGTTATTTCGCTCGAAATTTCTGGCACTTCTCTAGCCGACCAAGTGCTTCCACCTCGACTAGTTCGAGAGTTAGATTGGGTGGAGAAATTCTGGCCAGCCAACCGCAAGGGCAAAGGGCATGCATATCCGAAGGTGCAGCTGTACTGTTTGATGGGGGTGAAAAACGCATGGACCGTAAGGACTCGTCATTTGGTCAGCTTGGGGGAGAATCTCACTACAGCCACCAGGACTGGCACATAGACTTCGCTGGCTCATCGGTGTATTATCACGTTCTCAGAGGGGTTAAGGTGCGTCCAAAGTGCTTGATCGCAAGGTTTCTTTGCATAGCCCATTCTAGGTCTTCTATTTCATCAAACCTACCCCTGCCAATCTTGCGGCCTACGAGCGTTGGTCTGGGACCGAGATACAGAATCATACCTGGCTCGGCGACATGGTCGATGAAGTCATCAAGGTTGAGTTGCATGCGGGCAATACGATGATAATCCCCACTGGTTGGATACATGCAGTGGTAAGTCTACATCGTAGCTAGCGCGTGTATGACATATCTGTCAACTCTCGTCACAGTGGACACCGGAAGATGCTCTAGTTTTTGGAGGAAACTTTCTGCATTCGTACAATATGTCAACTCGTGAGTCTCGCGCACGTATACCGTGTAGTGTGTGCTTACCGTTTTCCGTTAGAACTGCGGGTCCGTGATATCGAAATTTCGACCCATGTACCGGTGGGTTCACGATGCAGTCTACAGTTGATTCGTCCTTTACTGAGTGCATGTACAGAAAAAGTTCCGATTTCCGCATTTTGTGAAGTATGTATTTAGTACGTGAGGGCATTGTGTGATTCTGATCAGACCTGACAGACTTTGCTGGTACGCCGCCGAAAAGTACCTCCGGGACCTCAAAGCGAAGGAGGAGTTTTCACTTCGGGTGTTAACATCTGTGGAGGCCCTGGCGGACTTTCTCGTCTCGGAAGTTCGGACCATGGAGCGTGGGTCGGAGTCCGCCAAGCGAGAGGCGAGAGAACAGGTCCCCTCAGATCGCGTGAAGGATGCCCCTGGTCTTGCCCGAGAATTGCGATGGCGAGCGCGGCTAGCTGCAGGCTATAACAGCGACGACGAAGGGTCAGGTCGTCGACGCGTCAAACAAGAAAATGGTATCGCGCATAAGCGCAAACGAGAAGATCACGGACACGATGACGATTCGAGGCCGTTGTTTAGGAACTTCCACCCCAAAGCATGGGACGCCGTGTCGGAACAGGACATGGGCACGGTATCACGTGTTATCAAGGTGCCTAAGTCGGCGCAGGAGCATGCTGAGACGTGGATGGACTGTTCCACTGGACCGCAGGAGACGTCGGATGGGGAGGAGGTCGAGGTTCGGCGCCGGGTGGACGTGATGACCAAGTATCGGAAAGTATCAGGAGGTGTCCAGAGGCAGCGGATTGAGCGCGTATGGGAGGACTGGTCCTGGAGAGAACATTGATGCCAACACTCGGGTTGCGCGTATTCTATGTTTCCATAGTCAAAGATGGTCGCGAGGAGCCAGTACTTCAGTGGTTCACGTAGTTGTGACTTATTGCTTGTATGTATTGATCGATGATCCGCTCCCGCCCCGCTACCCGTGCTGTCGCGCGTGCGGCGTCCATCGAGACCAAACGCTCTTGCACCCTCCACCATGTCCAGCGTTGCAGCTACCGACACTTTGCCCCCGGCCGACGATCGGCTTCAATCACCGGCGCAGAGTCGGAGCTCGCGCCGTCACGGTTTCGCAGCCGACGCATCCGGCGGCTGGTCTCCCGCCCTTAATGCCATCCCCGACGGCCATGCCTACGAATCAACCGATGGCTCCCAGTGGAACCCACATCCTCAGTCTGGTAAGGCTCTTCTATTCAACCATACATGGCACTCATAAGTCCCGTTCCGCGCCCAGGTAACAGTATAATGCGAATGCCCAATCGATCCACCCCGGCCCTTCCTTCGCAACGGCCTCAGAGCGAGGAGCAAGTGGAAGCAGTCCCATCACTGCCTCCTCAGTATGACCCTACCGCCGTGCTCGATCAGTTTGGCGCGATGCATCTCAGTGATCCTCCGGCGAGGACGCCTAGCGTCGCGTCATACGGCTCTGATCCCGTTCCTCGAGCCGGCACCTCCATGTCTGTCCATTCCGTCCAGCCTCCGACACGCCAAACGTCGCTCCCGGATAACTCACTGCCATCCTCTCCGAGTCAGAACAGGCCGCCCCGTAATCATGCTTCCCCACAACAAGACGTCGCGTCGTTGTACTCGTACCATACCGCGGGCGATCAAGACGGGCTGGCTTACGATTCCCCTGATCCCTCATCCTATGAAGGGGATCGCTCAAGCGCTTACTCTCAGCACTCCCAACCTCCCTATCCTATGCAACAACAATACAACGGCTATCCTCAACAGGGTTGGCAAGGGCAAGCTTCTGGTTATCAGCCCTATGCCGAGGTTTATGATCCCGTAGCTGCAGCTGCTTCCAGTGTTCTGGGCGTTCCTCCCCCTCCGCCACCTGGCTACCAGTACAATGGTAGCCCAGGGCCCAGTTACGCACCCTCTGCTCGCAGCACTTCCTATGCATCGAGTGTGTACTCCATGACATCCGCCCACTCCGCTCCCTCCGTGAACGGGGGACAGTACTATGGGCCTCCCGTTGGCCAGCCTGGCCCTCCGCCAGACCCCTACATGGAAGAAGAAATTGCCTCGAGACCTCCCCTCCAGCGTTCGGGGACTACTGCTTCTTTCAATCTGCGCACGCAGAAGTCGAAAGCGATTGATCTCAGCGCTCCTCCGTACACCAAAGAGTACATCGACCAGTACCGTCAACGCATAAAAGCTGATCCCGATCCCGAGGCGCATTTTGCGTACGCCAAATACCTGATCGATGCTGCCAAGCACATTGGGGCTGATGCGAAGGATCAGCGAGCAGTCAAGAAATACCGCGACCTGCTGATCCAAGAGGCATTGAAGGTCATGCGTCGTTTGGCCACGCAAGGGCAGCCTTACGACGAGGCTCAGTTCTTCCTAGCCAACTGTTACGGCACCGGGATGCTCGGTTTGCAAGTCGACCACGAAAAAGCGTACCATCTGTACCTGCAGGCTGCCAAGCAGAATCACCCGGCCTCCTGTTATCGAGTGGCGGTCTGCAATGAAATCGGTGCGGGTACTAGACGAGAGCCGCCGCGCGCTATCGCGTTCTACCGTAAAGCAGCATCGCTGGGCGATACGGCTGCAATGTACAAGCTAGGAATGATACTGCTCAACGGATCTCTTGGAGAACAAAAGAATCCTCGGGAGGCGATAGGATGGCTAAGGAGAGCCGCAGAACAGGCCGACGAAGAGAACCCGCACGCGTTGCATGAGCTCGCCTTGCTGCACGAGATGCCGAATTCCGGCCTCGTCCCCCATGATCCCTACTACGCCAAGAAGTTGCTGACGCAGGCGGGGCAGTTGGGTTATACCCAGTCGCAGTACAAGCTGGGACAGTGCTACGAATATGGCACTCTGACTTGTCCCGTGGATCCTCGAAGATCAATCGCATGGTACACTAAGGCGGCGGAGAAGGGCAACGCCGAGGCAGAGCTGGCACTAAGCGGGTGGTATTTGACGGGAGTCGAGGGCATCTTGAAGCAGAGCGACTCTGAAGCGTATCTCTGGGCTCGACGAGCGGCGAACAAAGGCTTGGCAAAGGCGGAATACGCCGTAGGGTACTATGCCGAACAAGGTATCGGCATCAAACAAGACATCGAATTCGCCAAGCGCTGGTACATGCGTGCTGCAGGTAGGAGTGCATCTTCGTCTTTCCTGCTTCTGGAACTAACGCTGTCTTGCCGTAGCTCAAGGCAACAAACGTGCAATGGCTAGATTGACGGAGATGAAACGTGGTGGTGCCAGACGCGCCCAGAACCGCCCCACGCGGCAGGATGCAAAGGACGAATGTGTTATTATGTGACATGGATAGTTCATGGTTCCATGCGTTGCCTATCATCTTTGGAGTTTTGATCAATTGTAACTAACTTGTTGGGCGATCTTGATTACTCGTCCCCGCATGCAATAAGGCACGGAATTAGTTCACGTGAGCTACGAATCCCTCTTCATATCCACGATCATGTCTACCGATGTAAGTTCACAGTGTCGTTCACTGGCACCGTGACGGATTGTAAGTCTGTAGGCATCCCTCCTGCAACACTTGGACACCTCACAACTTGTCTGTTTGAACGAGGCAAAGGGCCATACCGCCATCTCCATTTTGTCCGAGAAGAAGAGGAACACATCTGGTTCCTACCTACTTTCCGACGCCGATGAGCAATTACTTCTGAGCGTGCCTGTTCGTTGTCTATCATCTCTATAGATGAGCCCGTCAGCTTCATCGTGCGCCTTAGTTCCATCAAACGGTCAAAGTCAAATTCCTGGTCCTCCGATGCCAGACCGCGCCGCAAGGACCGAAGAAGATCAAGCTCCTCGTCAATAAAGCTGACGTGACGTTCGAGGACGTTGAGGATGCGGAAGAGCCTGAAGTTGCTCAGATTCTAGAGTTAACGGAGGAACAAGTTTCGAATGGTGTCCCTATCCCACTGCGCTTTGTGCGTTTTCAGTCAGTTACCAGCTTACAGGTCAGAGCATTCGTAACGCCGTTAACGTTCCACAATTTGATCTTCTGATCGTACACTTTTCTTCGGCCTTGGTGTACTCAACAGATCTTTGTTGTCTCTAACCAAGGTGACCAAGAGCAAACTCGGATAGATGCGATAGACTTCTTGGGGGTTGCTGTCGAGTTCGTCCAACCCAATCATGATCTTCAACTCGGAGATCTAATACCTTCACCTGAAGGAATGGTACCCGCGATTTGAGCGGTCTCGGAAAGCAGAACGAGTGATAGTATTTAAAACCGAACAGCCATCAATTACGCATGAGATATAGTTGTATTCTATGTAGTACATTTTGGCAGCTGCAATTGCCCCTTTGCAGGAAGACATTCGATAATGTATGGCATGATCATGTATGGAATTAACCTTCTACTTCTGTTCCCCGTAGTATTCTCGTGCCGAGTGCGAGGGAGGAAGTTGGTGGTGATGGGCCGTTCCGGGTTTCGGTCGATGGGTGTCCACGGCACCGATTGGTAGGGTATATCTAACAGCATAATAAGCACAGAAACGAGCCCAGTATAGGCGGACGAACCTCTCTTCATCACAACCGTATGCTTTAGGTGTCAGCTTTATAACAGTGTGCAAAGGTATCTTAATATAAGGGAGATCGGCATGTGGAAGGTTGTGGAAATATGCGTATCTAATTACGACGTTAAACCAGGTGACAACACATTCCCTATTGAACGGGTACTTACAAGCAACGCAAAATAGCCTGTTTCATCATTCAGCATTCTGCGGCCCTGAACCTGAGAACTAGGCTAACCTGGTGACCGATTATAAGGATGTTCTCTTGTCGTTCTAGCTCCATGATGACTGGTTCCAGACGGACGACAACGTCACGGTATGACTCCCCGCCTATCAGCCATTAAGCAAGCAAGCAGGGATCCCGCACAGAGACACCTTGCCTCTGTAACGATAGTTGAATTTATCCTCATCGCGGTTCGCATAATCTTCCGGGTAAGCTTCCTACCCAATCCATGACCAGTTAGACGCCCGGATTAAAGGGCGTTGAAGGAACGTACCTCAATTTGCTCGTATGTCATGCCGTCACATACCCCGGCGTCAAGCTCATCCAGCGACTTCCACGTGAGCTTGGTGTAAGGCAGCTGGGCAGCCGTTTGTATAGTCCGCGTCAGAGTAGAAGTCCACACCTGATAGACGTTACTCAGTGAGAAGAACAGACAAAAAAAGAGTGGACGGACAGTCAAAGGAGCATCGCCGATGTTGTCGCGAATAAGTGCCGGCAAAGCATCGGCGTACTGCATGCCTCTCTTGGAGAGTGGAGCGTCTCCGCCAATCTTTCCTTCTACATTGAACTGACTTTCTCCATGCTGATGTATTCGCAGGAAGATATCAGTGACTAAACTTCGATGAGTCGGGAACACTGACGCGAGAGAAGAATATGCTGCGTGGCTTGAGGTGCAAGTTCATCAGATAGAAAGCAATGCGACTCTGTAGATAACCGTGTATCCTGCATACGGTGACCTGATCGCCCACGTCCGTGATCCTCAGATAGCTGAGATGCGGCTCAGTGATAGTCTCATAGATCGCTTCATACTGCTTGATCCGACGAAGAAAGTCGGCTTTGGCTTCCTCGCGTGACATGTCCTTGTAGTCTGGATCTCCCGAAGTAACCTTCAAGGCTACATTTGCAGCGATGACCGCCGGATCGTTGCAGACGCTCTCCAGGAATATCACGCTCATGCCTTTCTCGGAAGATACCCGTTCCGATATCTGCGCTCTTGACATCGATCTGAGTATGTGCCTCGATGGGGATCTATATTAGGGCTTACCTTCTATCCCGGGTGCTGTTGGTTGCATCTTAAGGAATTGTATCGTAGTTCATCAGGGCGATGTAGACGTGGCTACTCTTTCGCTGCGCATACCATGGATTCCAACATTTCCACCGTCCTTCAGCCATTGAATCAGCATTTCCAGGCTGTCTCGCGCGAGCTGATCTCTAATCTTCGTAGCTTCCGCATTCTCGTGGCTGAAGTAGCTCGCAGTATGATCTTCATGTATGCCACTCCTGACAAAAACTTTATGTAACGTTCACTCAGCGTAATCTTCGCTACGCACTGCCGTTGCTTTTGGCGAGCCCGGGAGCGCCGAAGTTGGCCAACATTGAACACCTAGGCAATGATTTAACTTCGCACTTTCGTGCGAGTGTACATGATGAGTATAGCTAACCTTGACGTCATATTCTAGCCACTGACCGAACGTTTAGCGGGTGCGGGATGCGGATCTCTGGTCAACTCACCTTCAGGTACCTCATCAACTTGTTACTGAGATATGACTTCCCTCGCGCAGGTAGGCCCACCTGAGACAGGTTCAGAGTGCAGTACGCACAGTGGGCGTGTAGAGCAGACCATAGCGAGCACAATCTTAGCCTCAGAATAATCAGGCTTAGCAACTGAAAGCGATGTTCGTCATTATGTAGTTCGACCCTCTCGGACACAAACGTACCTTTATTTCCGATGCCCACCACGGAACGAGGAGGTGTAGGGGCAGCAGACGATGCGGCGCTCTTCGTAGTTTGATCAAATTCTTTCAATCTGATAGGAGGCATTTGTCTGGATAAGGGCCCCGCGGACAGCGATACAGTAAGGCGAACCTCGGTCCTACTGCACCGAACGACGCTGGAGGGACTGCTAGTGTCACAGACTCGGTTGGCCGCGTAGGCTGCGGGGAGACAGGTTCTGTGGTCGTAGTTTTGGGGCCGTCCATGGTTGTCATGCTACAAGTCTGGAGTGTGGACGGGCAAGTGAGGCACCGCATCCTCTGCGAGTCGCGACATGTCTTTCACTTCTTTCATCCATCCCCATAAGGGCTTTCACTTCATTCTGACTACTCGGATATCCGCTGCGCCTCCTACAACTCGATGCGAATTGATCGTGGCCTATGAGCTTCCCCCCGATGTCATCGCGGACAAATATGAACTGGCGCTCAGAGGTGGATCCTATGCCGCGCAAATCCGGGGCGCCACGGATCTCGAGCTGCCGTCCTTTGTTGCGGCAAACGGTTCTTTGCTATTATTGCGAGTCCCGGAATACGCTTCAGTAACTGCGCTCGAAATCCCACTGCATGTCCGATATGGAGTTCCATCTGCTCGTGTCACGCACATGAATGTGCCATTACCGCTACCAGTGCCTGTTTGGGCGTGTCCGGACCATGAACATGGTGTGTTGGCCGTACTTGACTTTACGCATTCTGTTCTCTGACGTTCATTAGAAACTTTTGTTACTCCACATTTACCATCCGAGATCGTTTCTGTTGTAGGTGGCTCTGCATCGGCCTTATTCCCAATACCTCAGGCAAGCGGACAAGCCGACCACAGCGGGATCATCACAGCACCTCTCGGAAACCCTGTCGACTTGCCACAAGTCCAGGCTACGACAGCTATTGTGCTTCTGTCGTGTTTCATCCATGTGCTGTATGCAACATCTTCGACGGCCGTCCGCCTCCATCGTCGCAGGGTACGCAAGACGGATTAGGAGAAACCGATATCTCGGGTATACTACAATTCTTCCGTCCTCTATGGTCAAGCCTATCACTGGCACGGAGCTGTTATAATATCATGCATTTTCGTTGCCGCACCATCTTGCCCCATTTGCCCTTCATACTCTCCTTCAGTGCCATGGCAAATACCTCCTGCACCCCGACACCAGTTTTCGCTGAGCATTCGATGTACTTGGCTCCTATATCGCGTGCAACTGCACCACCTTGTTCCGGCGTGACGGGCGTTTGGCCCTGTGCGCTCAGCATCCGTCTTGTTTGGTCATCCCGTCGTAAATCGGTCTTGGTGCCAACGAGGATAAGCGGCGTGCCTTCACAGAAATGCGCGACTTCGGGATACCACTGGCGTATGCAAGTGAGGGGATGGGAGACAGGGGAGTCGTGGACGCCGTACCTTGTCTTGTACATTGCCTAGACTGACAGGGAAATCGATCGAGAATACTATAAGTATCACGTCACTTTCTGGGTAGCTGAGCGGTCGTAGTCTGTCATATTCTTCTTGGCCCGCTGTGTCCCATAATGCGAGTTCCACCAGCTTCCCTTCAAAGGGGACTTGCGTAACATAGTTCTCGAACACGGTTGGAATATACGCCTTGAAAACGGCGACGTGCTTGACATGAGCCTCTCGTGAAACTGCCGACAACATACAGCATACTCACCTCAGGAAAACGGTTTTCGGCATATACAATGAGCAAACACGTCTTGCCACAACCACCTGCGCGATGAATGCGTCAATTCATGAAGTCGAAACCCAGGGTAATGGCGCACCATCGCCTACGACCACAAGTTTCTTCTTGATATCGGGCTTGCGAACAGGTTTCGAGGAGGAAGGATCCATAAAAGCAGGCTGAGATGCAGGTGGTTGGTGAACGGAGTGACGGTGGCTGAAGGAGAGCTGGGGAAACGCCCCTGTCTCAACTAGGCAAACGCCGATGATCTTCTTTCCTCGGGACGTTCACCTTCAAGGTATTTGCTATGGCTGGAAGGCGCCTGCCGTCATCGCTGGTGTTATTGAAAACATGGAAGTGAGCTGCTCTACTGAAACGACATATCTGTGTCCCGCTAACGAAGATACGTATAACTCAGCTGTCCCGTGTCGAAGAATTACTCGACGCACCCGAAGTAAAGGACCTATTGCACGACGACCCACCTACTGCTCTTGGTTTCTGCATCCAAACCATCACCGGAACCTCAGCACCGTCCATCAGCTTCTTTGACGCGAACATTGACTGTGGTCAAGAGTTCGTACTGCCATCCCAAGCGGGAACCTTGCATACGCGAGCCAAACCTGACGTGTGCTCAGAATAATATACTACCAACGACCTAGTCAGAGGTCTATGCGCTACTATTCTCTCTCGTCATTGCATCTGGACAAATATCGGACGAGTGCCGCCTCAGTGTCGACATCCAATCCGCAGTTCTCGCGCCGTTTCACGACTAATTCTTCGGGAAATCCGCGCTTGTTTCTGAGCCCGTCGGTATTGGATCGTGTACGTCACTACCTTTAACGTCGACGAGATCTGAACAAAGAGGTGTTAGCTTAATGCCGCAGCTCATTTGGATGAACTATTACGAAACCGGGCTTCATCATCTCCAGGAGCGCCGGGTCTGGATCCTGACACGAGCAAGGCTCGCAAGTCTTTCACGGCTTCCTTCATCGGTAACTATATCACTGGGATTACAAGCCTGATCAACAAGGCCTGCCGAACACCAATTCTTAGCGGAGCATCAGGCCCACTACTCAGAGATGCTTCGTCCACCAGTCGGTCATCTACTTCTATCGAAACCGTATATATTCCAACATCATCCAGTTCGGCAAATTGATTCACGTGCCGAACAATTCACGGCATTGTCTCGCCAGTTGGTCGCCGTTGTTCAGGGAGACAGTCATCTAAGTCGGTCTACCTCGGAGTACATCGCGTGAGACTGCCCCCATGCACACGTTGCTTGATTGTTCACCTTTTCGTCTTCTTCAGGTTCTACAATTCCGTATGGCTTATCCTGAACGACGTGATCGTGGGTCTTGCGTTCGGAGTATTTCTTCGTGATAATCATCAAGCACTGGCGAAGATGCTAGCGACCGTCTTCACTGTACGACGGAGAACCTCCTTCCAGTAGAAGACATTGACATTCAGAGTAGGACGTCTTGCTCAGCCCGTTCCCGCAAGCTTTGTTGTGGCTTGATCAATGGCCGGCCGGTTTGAAGCTCAATGGTCCGCTCAGCCGATTTTGTTGTATGCTGTTCATTCGGATCATCAAGTCGTGGTCTCGTGAGCAGCATTTACGTTTTGACTTGCTCAGTTCTGAAGCTTGCATATGGGACTCCAGGCCTGATGATCCAGGTCACACCATTAATGCCCGCAGCAACATACCTAATTGGATCGGCCGGATTCTGTGGCTTGACTATGATTTTATCATTGTTTTCAGACCTCTTGGACATCTTGACTCTTCATATCTACATTTGTTATGCCCTTGCCACGACCATATTTCACGCTCAAGTACGGACAGCCGTATCTCTCTGGAATCTGTTCCGCGGTGGGTCATGAACCGAGGTACTTCACGGACAGTTTTTATGGTTCCATGTCATAGGGAAACGCTTCAATGTCCTGCGGAATCGTGTGGACTCCTGGGTTTACGAAGTCGATCAGCTTCTGCTGGGAACGATGCTATTCACGCTGCTGGCATTTTTATTTCCTACGGTATTGGCGTATTATGCGGTGTTCATGGCGGTCGGCCCAGTCTTTCTCTCATTAAAATATAAACTTACACTTTGGCAGGCTCGCCTCTTGGTCATATTTCTTCACGCCATCAATGATACTTTTCTGGCCGCAATGAATCATTTCCCCCTCTTTGCCCTGATGCTGAGGCTGAAAGACCCCTGGAGACTTCCTGGTATGCGTGAACATGTGATTCCTACAATGTTTAGATCTAAAGACATTCTTCTCAGGTGCGATCGAGATCCGAGTTGCGCATGATTCACGCTCCCTGTATGCCGCTTATATTTTAAAGGTGAATCGCCGGTCCCTCTACAACCCCTTATTGACTATTGTCATCACAGAGCAAGCCCACGTCATATTCAACCATATTCCATCAGTACGGTTCGTAGATCTATGCACAGCCAACGCACAACTAACCATGCCCATCGCGTTATAGGCTATCTCTGGTCTCAGCTTTCTGGCCATTATCACCCTCGGCGAATTGCGCAGCAGTTGCTTACAGGAAGATATATTCGTCCTATTCCAACCCATTCCATACGATACGGGGCATTTACACCTGAGCGCGATACGTAGACCAGCCTTGAACAGTATACACGTGCTTCCCGTTCAAGCTCACAATATATATGCAACAAATGTCCCCCCGGGGAGCGCGATATCACTCTACGCGCTTGTATTTGCCATTTGGCCGGCTGCGCAATAAATTAGATAGCCTAGGCCGCATGGCTGATCACTCACTTGGCTTCGTGCCGTATATTCTCCCCTTTGCGTTCAATCATACGGTGCGCGCGCCTATTGATTTCCGCCGCTTGTTGAGTATCGGGGAAACCAATGTCCCAGTAGCCAGGAGGCGTGCTAGGGCCAGCCCATTGTTGCCGATGACGTGAAACCTCGTTACGATGCAATTGCATGGCCACCCGTTCATCACTCTCCGGTGCACCCTCGCTCCCTGAGAAGCTAGCCTTGCGAGGACGTTTGCATTGCTTGTGAGGTGAGCCGGTAGGAGATCGCCATAACGGTTGTCGTTGACGTTCAGGTTGCGCACCCACCGCCTCGTAATACTGCCCATGAGTCAGCGACGAATTCGTTGGATGCGAAGATCTGGTGTACATCTCGACAACATTCACAATCATCGCCAGGTAACCGCTTCCTATCCCTATAATTTCTGACGACACCATGGAATTGAAAGTCGAGGCCCTCGTTCTGGTCAGGATCGATCATAAATTGGGTTCTGATGCCGTGTTCATCTCCTCTAAGAAACGGTGATTAATCTGTCCAGTCTCATAGACAGCTCCATACCGAGTCCTGTCAACGCTAACCAAACGTGACCTTGCAGTTGTACTTGTGACTGGAAGAGCGTCTAGCGAATGAATCGTCTGGTCGTTCTCCAAGGCCGTCAGAGTTGAATAATGCGTCCTGTGTGAAGCACCCGCGTTATTCATGCCATCACTAGAATACTGGCTCCGAAGTTCATCTTGGTGCAAAATGGAACTGTTCCTAGTTTGGAGTGTCGAGGGAGATGAGTGTTCATCGGACGGCCGTAACCGGCTATCTGTGAACCCCACGTATGAATAGACAAGTGCAGGCCCGCAAGAAAGATCACATCACCTGCAAGTTGTCCATGTGTCCCTGAGCCTGATAGTCCATCGAGGGCTTCTTCATCGGCGTTCGAGGTCGACAATGCTGCCTCTGACTGATCGAGTATGGTATCCAAACCAAGGTCCGTGAAGCGTTTTCGCTTTCTGAGGATGCTAGCCATTTGAATCATTTTGCGTCCTGCAGGATTCTCCTGAACCTCCTGTGCAACCTCCCGGTCTTCCTGGAATAGATACTCCTTGAATCGTCTCCACTTCTTGTAGTCGTTCCGATAGCGCTCCGCAGCACGTTCTTTGGTGGCAAGAAGTGCATCGTAGCGTTGCTGCAGCTGAGATAATTCAGCAGCAAGGCCAACATCTGAGAGAAGTGGATTGTATGACGATTGTGCCATGTCGTTCTTGATTTGCAGCAAAGACAAAGGTGTCCGATCCACTGGTGGGCCATGCGCCTGATGCGGCACGTGATCTTTCAAAGAGCGACATTGGAGCTTCATTCCCGGTGAAAAGTGGTGTACTATATACTATATGACACCTTCACTTCGTCAACCCCGTCGAATCGTCAGTCACAGGCCGGTCACATATAGTACTTTCACGTGGGGGTATAGCGTGCACCCGTAGTTGCGCGCCAGGTCCGACTCCCAATTGTAATGTTCACAGTTCTTTGCTCGTTCAATCAGTCCTGCGATACATGGATCCCGGTGAAAACGGTGTATATGTCCTCGAATCTGCTCGAATTGCGAGACCAGCTGGCTAAGATAAGCGAGACTAAGCGAGAGCACAGACGAGGGTGTTTTTTGTGATGGTACCTGTAGTGCGGACTCAGGGCTAGGCCTGTCCAAGGAAAGATGTGTGCGAGGACCGAGGCGAAGTCAGAGGCTGCCAAAGTAGTAGGTAAATGGGATGTTATATAGGTATGGTATAAGAATGGCAGGCGAGTTCAGGATGGAACCGAGGGAGATACTGAGTTGTGCGCGGGACGGATATACACTGAGACTAGTGGCTAAGACGGAGCAATAACAAATGTTACTGATTTTCCCCTTGCCCCCCGAGACTACGTACGTTGGGCCTTTTATATCCTCCAGCCCGCCCGTATCCATCCAATCCTTGTCCTTCGATTGGCTTGCGTATGCTGGGCCTGAGGGTGCGCCAATGCGCGCACGCTACGTAAGCGGTCGAATATCCACGGAAATGTGCAGAACATTGTCGGGGTGGTGGTGCTGGCCGCCAGTCGTCTGAGACTGTTGTGATTGAGCCGGGACCACAATTGCTTGATGACTGAGCCCAAGCCGGGCTGGTGAAGAGGGGATTCTGCGTGCACCGGCCGTGCCTTGACGTTGAGGGCAGGTGGTACGGTGGAGGCCAGGAGGCGACGGGTGCGCAATAACGAAGTGCGACGCGTGGTGGAGGCGGGGAGGCGACGGGCGCGCAATAATGAAGTGCGGCCTACTTGTTTGTGGCAGTGCAGACCTTAGGGGACGTTGTGGCGCTCTGACTTCGCGTGCGTCCGGACACGCACCTGATTGCGCTACTCAACGCCCGGTGGCAGTGCGGTGGCCTCTCGCTCTCGCCTCGACGACCTCACCCTCCCCCGGCTCGGCATGGCACACACGGAATATCCTCCAGCACCCGGCCGCCGACGGTCCGCATAGCCGCAACGACATCGCGCACGAGAACAGGGCTCAGTCGGCACCAGCATGTTATCGGCGGCTCTGCTCTGGCCCACGACGACGACTTCGCATCTGGCAAATCGGCGGCCTCGATTCATCACGACCCGCGGTTACCGGCCGCTCGATCTCGACGACAACCGCATGCGCGGGCGATGGGCTCGATACGGCCAGGGACGAGGGACGAGGGATCAGCAGGGGCGAAAGATAGGAGTGATGGTCGCGTACGGA